CGGGATAGAAGTAAATTGAGGTATTATCAAATGTTGTCATTTACATTTCATTTTTAGTATGCTTTAATAAACAACAAGTTGGTATTTGAAACTAAATTAATGGAATGAGCTGCAGTAATCAGAGGAAGGCACAATCTAATGCGAAACAGCTATTACCTAAATATTTTATTTAGTAATGAGATCAGGAAGATAGGAGCAATAAAGAAGCAAGGGACAGTCTCAAAAATAAATAAGGGATGGCAATTGGATGATAAATTACCAATATTAACTAAGTGATTGTTTAGGTAGGTGGTAATATTGACACATGGGCAAAACATGTGTCAAAAGGGGGATGGTAGGAGATGATAAGGAGATGTAGGATTAAATAATAAATATATACGAAGGAGAGGACAAAATACTTTTAAAAAAAATTGAGAGCTGAACATGTGTGAAGATAATTTATTAACCACACCCGTATGTCAGAGGTTTTGTGCCCCACAGGTGAACTAAAGGAGAAGGTGACCCACTCTATCTAACCAGGTGACTGGTGAGCATCCAGTCCCTAAAGAAGAAAAACTGGAAGCAGGCCTGTTGGGAAGGGCCCTATCAGGTTATATTGGTCACTGCCTTTGCCATTAGAATAGCTGAGAGAGCCACTTGGGTCAACATTACCCACTGCAAAAAGGTAGGCCCACATGCCAACACCGTTGAACATACACAGAGTTAAAGAGAAGAACTGGAACCAATAGGGTCTGGGGGTAAACTCTGTTAACGAAGATCCCCTACCCCGACCTTTCATCACTGTGGGGTGTTTATAGAGGTGTGAGTATGGGGTAGTACCAAGCAGAAAGACTGAGGACAGGAGAGGGTTGGCGGTTTTTGGGAATATGGATAACTTGAGTTGCATCATAGTCTCGGTAATGGTCTTGATATGTCAAGATCCACCACCAATTATGCTATGCCCTTACCATTGTTAAGAAGTAAAAGAGAAGAGAAGCGATCCGACATACTGACCGTCAAGGACGAGTGGCCTACAAAATAGGAGTCAGAGAAGTGCAGACTGTCAGATTCAAAATAAGGGTTAGGGACGTAGCCAACGGGTGGGGTACATGTCAATAAGCAAATTGGGATTATAAAATCCTATTATATTCATGTTTGGCCCCCACGGCGGATTGTTCCTAGACTCAAGTGTTTAAATACACTTGGGGATGGGGATATGAGACCGAGGAGGGCTGAACATCCAGATGGGGGGTAAAGAGAAACAAAGACATCACCAATTATCAATTGGAGACTTAAGTTCGGAAGCACAGGAGAGAATTCTGAACCTTACAGCCCCTGTAACCGATGTGTGGTGGGCGTGTGCCAGTAAAGGCAGTGAATTCCAAAGGGGGTAGCTAGATACATGCGCCCCTGGTTCTACTGGTTCAGCTAGTTAGAATTAGTCACCAGGAACCAATGATTAAACAGATGTAGGAGGAGAATAGCCCTATTTAGATGGATGCGATTGGGCTACCAAGGGGGGTATCGGATGGATACCGAGCTATGAAACAATTAGGGGAAGGGTTTACTACCACGTTCTTTTGGTGGGTGACAATAAACCAAATTGTGAATTGGATTAATTATATCTATTACGACCAACAACGATTTATTGGCTGGACTAGGGATGCAACAGAAGGGATCTTTTGAACAATTATCCGCCATCTCACTCTTATGACTTCGTAAAAAGAGGTTGGCTCTAGATCAGGCAGAAAGGGGTGGTGTCTATAGAATGTTAAGCTATTGTTGTATGTTTATCCCTAACAATACCAGTCCTGACTAGTTGGTTTAGATAAACTATCAGCTGAAATGAAGTGCATGGCTGAAATGGAGGGAAACGGACTGTTCTCCTGGTTGGGTGATTGGTTTGGCAAGTATTCAACTATTGGTGGTTACTGGATTTCTGAACCTAGTAGTTGTGTTTCTAATATTAATGTGCTGTACTGCCTGTGTAATTCCTTGTCTGAGAAAGTCTGTTACAGATGTCGTGCATTCGGCTGGTATGATGCCCCTCCTAGGGGCTCAAGAAGGAGATGCAGACACTGAGATAAAGTTGACTGAGGATGACCCTTGGTTTGCTATTGGTGAGGTGGTGGAGTGACACCCTAGAGGGTGTCTAAAGGGGGCCAAAATGTATTAATCTTTGTGTTTTATGCTTTATTAATCAAGTTAACCATTGTGAATGTTTGTCTTTCCTTATGTGAAGGTTTAAAGTTCCTGGGTGGCTGGTAGCCAACCTAGTACAAGTTGGGTGTAGATGGAAGGACTGAAGGCTTTTTTATTATCGCCTATTAATAAAAGTGTGATTCTTTTTGTTTGTATTGTATTTTAATGAGTGACACCCTTGAGGGTGTCAATAGGGGGAATCCTGAATTTCCCTGAAATTTCTTATTTTGGGTTCACACCCAGTGGGTGTGAAAAGGGGGATTGTGGGGGTCTATTTTCTTATAACTAGATGTGATGCCTAGCTTAGAAAGAATGCACTAATGATTAAACATAATAGGTTTGTACTGTACTGATATAAATTGTTTAACATAACAAGCTGTGATTCATGTGAGGAATGTTAGGGAGTAGGGTGAGACAGACTTATGATTCTCACAGACACATACACACTGCCTCTTTGTTAAACCGCGCTCAAGGACATGTGTTCTGCTACAGTGGAGAGGAACAGACTATGTCTGAAGTTGCAAAACAACTAAACACCTGGCAACAGTGAAGCGCCAAGGGGCTGGGACCAGCCTGTGCGCCAACTTAACAATCGCTATCGACAAACCGGGCCCTGGTCCAGACGGCTAGCATTTCATTCTGTCTCACACATCAGACACTGCTGTGTGCCATTAGCTTGGGGACCAGCTTACACTGTCAGAGCACAAGACACCTCTGACCACATGACCGATCTCTCGCTCTCTCTCGCTGTCCTTCTGACCAGGGGCTGATGAGGAAGAAAACACAATCTCATCACCAATTGTTTTTTTATTTTTTAAACATTTTAGTCATTTAGCAGACGGTCTTATCCAGAGCGACTTAGTTTGTGAATGCATACATTTTTCAGTCATGGGGAAATCATTAGGAACCAACCCGACAGGAGGATATTGCAATGGAGAAGAGACCACCACATGATGAATCCAAGAGCGATGCTGCAAATCAATACCTTCTGGGGTGACTGAATCACAACATGAACCATGTGACAAAATGCCCCAATCAAAACGCAACTCACTGCCACCCTGTCCAAATGAATGGCCCACTCTTGGACCTGTCACTTCCATCATCAGTGAGAGACAGTGGGGCTGAGATGAGACCCAGACTGCAGACCTGTAGTGCTGCAGGCACATAGACTAGCTAGCGCCTTCTGTGTTACATGACCAATGGTAAAGACAAGGCAGCTGGTGCCTGGAGGACCATTTCACTGTCATCTCAGCATGCTAGTTGCACCAGCCTGTCTGAACAGGACAGAGCTAGCCTGGTTCCAGACCTGTTTGTGCTGTCACCGTGTGACAATGGCCATAGGCGTTGGCAAGACGGCACAAACAGATCCGGAACCAGGCCAGGACTGCTGTGAGATGGTGACAGCTCTTGAAGTCAGCCCACTGCTCTGCAGCTGCTTGCTTCTCTCTGCAGCCTCATCACAGCGCAGTGGCTCCGTATCTGGTAATGTGTCCTACTGTCATTCTTCAGTATCCACTTACACATAGCAAAGGCCAGGAGCATGATAAAGCTACAATAGAAAACCATTTTTCCTCATAGCTAAGTGTCAGGCCAATAAACCTTGCTGAAATGTTGCATGGAATTCTGTTACACATGTTCATTAAGATTCTCTCTGCTGGTGGTCAGTGTGGACTTGAGTGACCTTGTGATGGTGGATTCCGACTGGTCCCATGCTGTGACTCATCCAGGCTCTTTGGAGAGGTTCACTATGACTGGCTTTACATTTGATCTGCCAGGGAACTCTCAAGGACAATTCAAAATGACCATAAGGATGAGCACAATCTTCAGGGAAGAGATCCTTCACAAAATTATACAATTGTTTCAAATAATTTGCATTAGTGTGATGGCACACTAATAGAAGAGTACATCTTTTTATAATTAAGGTCTAGTATGATTGGCTATAGTTTGTTTCAGATGAAGGGTGATAGGTTACAATATATAATAATGTTAAGAGACAAATGGGACTCCATTTTATACATTTATTCATGTAGTTATTTCACTCTGATTCAAAGGCTCAAGGCTGGGTCAGTGATTTAATAGCCAAAACGACTCTAGAATGTGGTTCATGTCTTCATCTCCTTTCTTGTTTTCTTCATTGTTTTGTACCATCCTTCCTTAAAAACACCACAAAACTTTGAAAAGTGCATTTCTTTCAATTTTTTCATAACTTCTCAAGTTTATTATTTTTTCTTCCCCTCTTTCTCCTTCCTTCCCCATAAAAATGCCCCCCCCCCCCCATCTTCAAGGCTTATGAGGTCACAAATTCGCAAAAACAGCCAACATTTTTCCCCCAAAGTTTTTATAACCATCCTGTTCACACACACAAACATCCTTCTCCTTTTTTACACAGCCAGAGAAGAACAAAAAAAGAGAAATAATAAACTCCAAAACCTTTTGTACAGAGAAATCAAACTAAATGGAGAAAATGTCTTTGATATTAGTCCAGGTTTTAATCCTCAATGTGCTCGCGCTCAGGTTTCTGCCATTTTAATGTGGAAGGGGAGGGAGACATACCAGGCACAGGTCTGTGTCTACTGACATGAGGCTCTGTGTGTAGTAGGTAATATCAGTCAGTCAGTTAATCATACCACTCTGCTGGTCTGTCTGTTTCTATATATGGATTAGGAACCAGTTGTACGTCTAGATACCATTTCCCCAGTCATCCAGTAATGTCTATGATAGCGCCAGTGTGTGTGTGAGGATGTGTCTGTGTGTCTATGTGTCATCAGAGTATGCAAGTCTAAATTGTGTGCGTGTTAAGAGTCTCTGTGTGGGTAGGTCTAAGCCAGTCCAAATCCCTCTGAGCATTCCTGAATGGCCAGCAGCAGCATGTGTCTCAGCTTCTCATAGCTCTCGTAGGCTGGGAGGTCCAGCTGGTTAAAGCTACAGGAGAGGAGGAGAGAAATGGGTTATAAGGGAATTGAGAATGGTAGCGCTTAGAACTAACTTACCAGAGTAATTGAAGTTCTATCATATCGAGCTGGCTGAATGCAGACTTGAGATCTACATACATAACTACATTCTTTTGACATCAAACCTTAATTTAAGCAACAAAAAAGTAGATATCAGGATTCTGCCCTTAGCGAGCAGATTGCAGCACAGCTGGTCTAGCATTCATTAATTGTACCAGTTGTAAGTGTGTTATTAACCAGGTGTGAGCAGTGCGTGCGTTAGTGCATGTGTATATGTCTTTACCAGGTGTGAGCTGACGGTAGGCGGTCGGTGGACCGGTCGTCACGGTGGATCTGGAACTTCTGTATTCCGTTCATGCCCTCCAGAGCTGCAAAGCCCTGCAGAGGAACCTTGGACGTGCCCGTCACAAACTGCAGGAACTTGGCTCTGTCCGCCTGGTCGAAGGAACGCAGGGCCCGCCAGAACCACTGGATCTGAGGAACAGTCAAGATCACAGCCCCAGTAGCACATCACCAATATGAATGCATAGTATATAATACAACTAATAGACTGTCATCTGGCACTGTGGGACATCGTTAGTCCCTGGGTCGTATTCATCAGAACTTGTCCAATAAGAAACACTCGTCTTAGTGTTCCGTTGCAAAATGTTTCGCTACATTTTGCTCTAGTGAATGAATACGACCCTGGTGTTTGCATCTATGTAGGCACCTGCATGGAGCTGGACTGGTACTTGTGTACTCTGTCAGTGAGCGTGTGTGTGAGAGTTGTACTGTATTGTGTGTCCCCCTCTCTACCTGTATAGAGCTGGACTGGTACTTGTGGTACTCTGTGTTGGCCTTGAGGTCATCTATATCTATAGTGGGCAGGCCAGATATGAGCAGCTCCAGCTCCTGCTCTGTGAAGATGGAGATCAGCCTCTTGGGTATGATCTCATAGAAACCCTCCAGATAGGCTGACAGCTGTTTACGGATAGCACCTACAGGGGGAGGGACAGAGAGAGAGAGAGGGAGTATAGATTTAAAACACTTACAAGGCTACACAAGTAGTACTTCATTACGACAAGACTTGTTCTGCCGAGCAACCTATGAGAGAAGGCAGGTTCACACAAAACAGACTTCAATATCTCCCTTACAGGAGGTCTTATTTTTCCCTTTCTTGCAGCAGACAGGTCAAAACGTGAAGGTGCATACTTTACGTGTTCTTACAGACAGTGTTCCAGACAAAGTCTTGATGTACATTTGACTTCGTATGCTCCTAGTTTATAAGGACACCTCTAATAAAAGTATGACATGTATAATTGTATAATATTCCTCTGGCTGCTTGACCGAATGTTCACAAATGTACTATGCCAATTAAATATGTACTTTTAAAGGCTGGGTATCTGTACAGCACCTTGTGACAACTGCTGATGTAAAAAGGGTTTTCTATAATACATGTGATTGATGTAAAAAGGGTTTTCTATAATACATGTGATTGGTGATGTAAAAAGGGTTTTCTATAATACATGTGATTGGTGTGATGGTGTTGTGTCTGGTCTCACCAGTCATCTTCATCTGACAGACCAGGTGGACGTACTCCTTCTTGTTCTCCTCAGTGACGATGATGTTGCCTCCGTTAGGCTTCAGGTCCCGTACCTCACACACACCAAACTCCTGGACCTGAGACAGAGAGACAGGGACAGAGAGAGAATGGAGGGACATGCGAGAGGAAAGAGAGGTAGAGAGAGGAAAGCGGGAGTGGGGTGGAGGGATGGGAGAGAGGGGGAGGGAGAGAGAGAGAGGGGGAGGGAGAGGGAGGGAGAGAGAGGGAGGGAGACAGAGAGAGGGGGAGGGAGAGAGAGAGAGGGAGGGAGGAAAGAGAGGGAGGAGAGAGAGATTGAGGGAAACAGTTCAGCAGAGCTTCCACATAATTTAATAGTATCTATGGGGTCACTGGCTATAGAGAAATGTAACTAACATGATTTATCCAATTTAATATTGGGTCATGGGCTGGCATCAGTCAGCATTTAGGTCAGTCAGATTCTTTATAACCATCCTGAGGCACTCAGTTGCATAATTAGCAGTTTTCTGAGTTTGGATCATTTAAAAAAGACACGCCAAGACACACCGACAAGCACACACACAAAGGACATACCTCAGTGCTGAATGTCAGCTCATAGCCCAGAGTGGAGACGTCATTCTCCAGCAAGTAGACAAGGCCCTGGAAGAATGGGTAGTCCTCACTCTCCATGTCTGTGTACCTGAAGACACAACACACACGTGCTCAATCAACTACTGGAAGCTGATACGCCACAGTTAACATAACACACATCTCTAGCTACCTACAAGTACATCTCGATGATCTGAACACCATTTGCCCTAGTGGGCCCAAAAGTAGTGTGTGTACGTGTGTTACCTGACGCTCTTGCCCAGGATGTGCTTGTAGAAGCTCCGTGTGAAGTAGCACTCCAGCAGTCGGTTGTCGTAGACGGCCTTGGCCACTACGCGACCTACGAACTTGAAGTAGCTGAGGTGGTTGGGGTTGCAGTGGGAGGAGGGGTTAATGGTGTAGGTGACCCTGTCGCCGGGCGAGGTTCTGAACAGGGCGTACATGGCGTTAAACATCTCCCGGGAGATGATCATGTACCACTCTCTCAGCAGGCCTCCGGCATCCTGACCCTCCTCTCCTTCAAACACTATGTACCTGGTGGGGGAGAGGGTAGAGGAATGAAGAGAGAGAGGGGGAGATGTACGAGATCAGTGCACTTGACTGTCATTCTGTTGTGTGGAGTAATAGGCAGAACAAATACAAAAAGAGAGAAGCAAGCCAGATAAATAGAGAGAAACCCTGAGAGAGAAAGACAAGAGAGAGACCAGAGCGAGAGAGAAACCCTCAGAAACAGAGAGAACAAAAGAAAAACCCTAAGAGACAGAAAGAGAGAAACCCTAGGAGATAGAGAGAGAGGAGAGAGAAAGAAATAGAGAAACCCTAAGAGAGAGAGGGAGAGAGAAACCCTAAGAGAGAGAGGGAGAGAGAAACCCTAAGAGAGAGAGGGAGAGAGAAACACTAAGAGACAGAGGGAGAGAGACAGACAGGAAAAAACCCTAAGCACAGGAGGGGAGAGAGGACAGACAGAGACAGAAGAAGAAACACTAAGAGAGCGGGAGAGAGAGCAGATAAAACACTAAGAGACAGAGGAGAGAGGACAGACAGAGAGAGAAGGAAACACTAAGGACAGGGGAGGGAGAGGAGAGACAGACAGAGAAGAAAACACTAAGAGACAGAGGGAGAGAGACAGACAGAGACACACTAAGAGACAGAGGGCGAGAGGACAGACAGAGACAGAGACACACTAAGAGACAGAGGGCGAAGAGAGAGGGACAGATAAACACCTAAGAGACAGAGGGAGAGAGACAGACAGAGAAACACTTAAGAGCAAGAGGGAGAGCGACAGGACAGAGAGAAAAACTAAGAGACAGGAGGGAGAGAGACCAAAACAGAAACACTAAGAGACAGAGGGAGGAGACAGACAGAAACACTTAAGAGGGACAGAGGGAGAGAGAGAAGAAGAGAAACACTAAGAGACAGAGGGAGAGAGACAGACAGAAACACTAGAGCAAGGGAGAGAGAGAGACAAGAGAAGAACCAGAGCAGAGAGAGAGACAGACGAGAAAGAAACACTAAGAGACAGAGGAGGAGAAGACAGGACAGAGAAACACTAAGAGACAGAGGAGAGAGACAGACAGAGAAAACCTAAGAGACAGAGGAGAGAGACAGCAGAAGACAGAGAAGAAACACAAGAGAGAGACAGAGGGAGAGAGACAGACAGAAAAACAGAGAAGAGAAAACACTAAGAGACAGAGGGGGAGAGACGACAGGAAACAAGAAACACGAGGAGGACAGACAGAGAAACCTAAGAGACAGACGAGGGAGGAGAGAACAGACAGAGAAACACTAAGAGACAGAGGGAGAGAGAGACAGACAGAGAAACACTAAGAGACAGAGGGAGAGAGACGAACAGAGACAGAGAGAAACACAAAGAAACAAGAGAAGGAGGAGAGACAGACAGAGAAACTCTAAGAGACAGAGGGAGAGAGACAGACAGAGAAACACTAAGAGACAGAGGGAGAGAGAAGACAGAGAAACACTAAGAGACAGAGGAGAGGAAGAAGGACAGACAAAAAGGAAACACTAAGAGACAGAGGGAGAGAGACAGACAGAGAAACACTAAGAGACAGAGGGAGAGAGAAGACAGAGAAACACTAAGAGACAGAGGGAGAGAGGAAGGAACTAAGAAAGAGAGACAGACAGAGAAAACACTAAGAGACAGAGGGAGAGAGAAGACAGAAACACTAAGAGACAGAGGGAGAAGAGACAGACAGAGAAGAAAACTAAGAGACAGAGGGAGAAGAGACAGACAGGAAAGAAACTAAGAACTAAGAGACAGAAGGAGTAGAGAGACAGAGGACAGACGAAGAGAAACACTAAGAGACAGAGGGAGAGAGACAGACAGAGAAACTAACAGTAAAGAGAACAGACAGAGGGAGAGAGACAGACAGAGAAACACTAAGAGACAGAGGGAGAGAGAGACAGACAGAGAAACACTAAGAGACAGAGGGAGGACAGAACACAGACAGAGGAGAGACAGACAGAGAAACACTAAGAGACAGAGGGGAGAGAGAGACAGAGAAGAAACTCTAAGAGACAGAGGGAGAGAGAACAGACAAGAGAAAAAAGACACAGAGAGACAGAGGAGAGAGAAGACAGGAGAGAAACACTAAGAGGACAGAGGGAGAGAGACAGACAGAGAAACACTAAGAGACAGAGGGAGAGAGAGAAGACAGAGAAACACTAAGAGACAGAGAGGGAGAGAGACAGAGAGAGAAACACTAAGAGACAGAGGGAGAGAGAGAGAAGAACAGAGAAACACTAGGAGAGACAGAGGGAGAGAGACAGAGAAACCTAAGAGACAGAGGAGAGAGACAGACAGAGAAACACTAAGAGACAGAGGGAGAGAGACAGACAGAGAAACCCTAAGAGACAGAGGGAGAGAGACAGACAGAGACAGAAGAAACACTAAGAGACAGAGGGAAGAGAGAGACAGAGAAACACTAAGAGACAGAGGGAGAGAGACAGACAGAGAAACACTAAGAGACAGAGGGAGAGAGACAGACAGAGAAACACTAAGAGACAGAGGGAGAGAGAGACAGAGAAACACTAAGAGACAGAGGGAGAGAGACAGACAGAGAAACACTAAGAGACAGAGGAGAGGGAACAGAAACAAGAGAAGAGGAGAGAAACAGAGAAACACTAAAGACAGAGGGGAGAGAGACAGACAGAGAACACTAAGAGGACAGAGGGGAGAGAGACAGACAGAGAAACACTAAGAGACAGGGGAGAGAAGACAGACAGAGAACACATAAGAGACAGGAAGAGGAGAAGAGACAGACAGAGAGAAACACTAAGAGACAGAGGGAGAGAGACAGACAGAGAAACACTAAGAGACAGAGGGAGAGAGACAGACAAGAGAAAACACTAAGAGACAGAGGGAGAGAGAGAAACAGACAGAGAAGAGACGAGAAACACTAAGAGACAGAGGGAGAGAGACAGACAGAAAACACTAAGAGACAGAGGGAGAGAAGAGACAGAGAAACACTAAGAGACAGAGGGAGAGAGACAGACAGAGAAACACTAAGAGACAGAGGGAGAGAAGAGAGAGAGACGAAAGAGAAACACTAAGAGACAGGAAGGGAGAGAGAGAGAGACAGAAGAAACACTAGAAAGAAAAAAGACAGAGGGAGAGAGACAAGAAACAAGAACAGAGAAAAAAAAACACTAAGAGACAGAGGGAGGGAGACGAGACAGGAAGCGAGAAACACTAAGAGACAGAGGAGGGAGAGGACAGAAGAAACACTAAGAGACAGAGGGAGAAGACAGAGAAACACTAAGAGACAGAGGGAGAGAGAGAGAACACAGAGACAGGAGAGAGACAACAACTAAGAGACAGAGGGGAGAGAGACAGAGAAACACTAAGAGGACAGAGGGAGAGAGACAGACAGAGAGAAACACTAAGAGAAGAGAGGGAGAGAGAGGACAGAGAGAAACACTAAGAGACAGAGGGAGAGAGACAAGACAGAAACACTAAGAGACGAGAGGAAGAGAGAGAGAGACAGAAGAAACACTAAGAGGACAGAGGGAGAGAGACAGACAGAAAACAATAAGAGACAGAGGGAGAGAGGAAACTAAGACAGAGGGAAGAACAGACAGAGACAGAGGGAGAGAGAACAGACAGAGAAACACTAAGAGACAGAGGGAGAGAGACGAAAACAAGAGAGAAAGACTAGAGCAAGAGACAGAGGGAGAGAGACAGAGAAACACTAAGAGACAGAGGGAGAGAGACAGACAGAAAAACAAGACAGAGAAAGACCAGAACTAGAGACAGAGGGAAAGAGAGAGAGACAAGGAAAACACTAAGAGACAGAGAGGGAAGAGAAGACAGAAACTAGAGAACATGAAGAGACAGAGGGATAGGAGAGGAGAGAGACAGAGAAAACACTAAGAGACAGAGGGAGAGAGACAGAGAAACACTAAGAGACAGAGGGAGAGAGACAGACAGAGAAACCTAAGAGACAGAGGGAGAGAAGGACAGAGAGAGAAACACTAGAGACAAGGAGGAGGAGACAGAGAAACACTAAGAGACAGAGGGAGAGAGACAGAGAGAAGAAACACTAAGAGACAGAGGAGAGAGACAAAAAAACCCTAAGAGACAGAGGGGAGAGAGACAGACAGAGAAAACACTAAGAGCAGAGGGAGAGAGAGACAAGAGAGAGAAACAACTAAGAGACAGAGGGAGAGAGAGACAGAGAACAAAACACCTAAGAGACAGAGGGAGAGAGACAGACCAGAGAAACACTAAGAGACAGAGGAGAGAGAGAGCAGACAGAGAAACACTAAGAGACAGAGGGAGAGAGACAGACAGAAACACTAGAAGACAGAGGGAGAGAGACGGAAGAGACAGAAGGAAGAAAACACTAAGAGACAGAGGGAGGAGAGAGACAGACAGAAAAACCCTAAGAGACAGAGGGAGAGAGAAGACAGAGAAACACTAAGAGACAGAGGGAGACAGACAGAGAGAAGAGAACACTAAGAGACAAGGGAGAGAGGAAGAGAGACAAAGAGAAACACTAAGAGACAGAGGGAGAGAGACAGAAACAAGAAGAGAAGACAACTAAGAGACGAGAAGAGGGAGAGAGAAGACAAGAAACACCTAAGAGACGAGGAGGGAGAGAAGAGACGAGAGAAACACTAACGAGGACAGAGGGGAGAGAGACAGACAGAGAAACACTAAGAGACAGAGGAGAGGAGAGAACAGACAGAAAGAAACGACTAAGAGACAGAGGGGGAGAGAGAACAGAAAAACACTAAGAGACAGAGGGAGAGAGACAGAGAAACACTAAGAGACAGAGGGAGAGAGGACAGAGAAACCTAAGAGACAGAGGGAGAGAGACAGACAGAGAAACACTAAGAGACAGAGGGAGGAGAACAGACAGAGAAACAGAAGAAACACTAAGAGACAGAGGGAGAGAGACAGACAGAAACACTAAGAGACAGAGGGAGAGAGACAGACAGAAACACTAAGAGACAGAGGGAGAGAGACAGACAGAAACACTAAGAGACAGAGGGAGAGAGACAGACAGAAAAACCTAAGAGACAGAGGGAGAGAGACAGACAGAGAAACACTAAGAGACAGAGGGAGAGAGACAGACAGAGAAACACTAAGAGACAGAGGGGAGAAGAGCACGACAGAAAAAACCCTAAGAGACAGAGGGAGAGAGAGACAGAGAAACACTAAGAGACAGAGGGAGAGAGACAGACAGAGAAACACTAAGAGACAGAGGGAGAGAGACAGACAGAGAAACACTAAGAGACAGAGGGAGAGAGACAGACGAGAAAAACAGAAACACTAAGAGACAGAGGGAGAGAGACAGACAGGAAACACTAAGAGACAGAGGGAGAGAGGACAGAAAGAAACACTAAGAGACAGAGGGAGAGAGACAGACAGAAAAAACCCTAAGAGACAGAGGGAGAATAGAGAGAGAACAGAGAAACACTAAGAGACAGAGGGGAGAGAGGAGAGAGGGAAAGACCAGAGAAACACTAAGAGACAGGGGAGAGAGACAGACAGAAGAAACACTAAGAGACAGAGGGAGAGAGAGACAGAGAAACACTAAGAGACAGAGGGAGAGAGACAGACAGAAAAACACTAAGAGACAGAGGGAGAGAGAGACAGAGAGAAACACTAAGAGACAGAGGGAGAGAGACAGACAGAGAAACACTAAGAGACAGAGGGAGAGAGACAGACAGAGAAACACTAAGAGACAGAGGGGAGAGAGAGAGAAGAACCAACAGGAAACACTAAGAGACAGAGGGAGAGAGACAGACAGAAACACTAAGAGACAGAGGGAGAAGGAGAGAGGAGAGAGACAGACAGAAAAACCACTAAGAGACAGAGGGAGAGAGAGACAGAGAAACACTAAGACAGAGGGAGACAGACAAGACAGAGAAAACACTAAGAGACAGAGGGAGAGAGACAGACAGAGAAACACTAAGAGACAGAGGGAGAGACAGAGAAACACTAAGAGACATGGGAGAGAAGACAGAGAAACACTAAAGAGACAGAGGGAGAGAGACGACAGAAAAACCCTAAGAGACAAGGGGGAGAGAGAGACAGAGAGAAACACTAAGAGACAGAGGAGAGAGACAGACAGAGAAAACACTAAGGACAGAGGGGAGAGAGAACAGAGAAACACTAAGAGACAGAGGGAGAGAGACAGAGAACACCTAAAGAAGACAGAGGGAGAGAGACAGAGAAACACTAAAGACAGAGGAGGGAGAAGACGAGAAACACTAAGAGACAGAGGGAAGAGACAGACAGAAACACTAAGAGACAGAGGGGAGAGAGACAGACAGAAACACTAAGAGACAGAGGAGAGAGACAGACAGAAACACTAAAAGACAGAGGGAGGAGAGACAGACAGAAAACCCTAAGAGACAGAGGGAGAGAGACAGACAGAGAAACACAAGATGACAGAGGGAGAGAGACAGACAGAAAACACTAAGAGACAGAGGGAAGAGAGAGACAGAGAAACACTAAGAGACAGAGGGAGGAGACAGACAGAGAAACACTAAGAGAGGGGAGAGAGACAGACAGAGAAACCTAGAGACAGAGGAGAGAGACGACAGAAACACTAAGAGACAGAGGGAGAGAGACAGACAGAAAAACCCTAAGAGACAGAGGGAGAGAGAACAGAGAAACACTAAGAGACAGAGGGAGAGAGACAGACAGAGAAACCCTAAGAGACAGAGGGAGAGAGACAGACAGAGAAAACACTAAGAGACAGAGGGAGAGAGACAAGAAACACTAGAGACAGAGGGAGAGAGACAGACAGAGAAACACTAAGAGACAGAGGGAGAGAGACAGACAGAAAAACCCTAAGAGACAGAGGAGAGAGAGACAGAGAAACACTAAGAGACAGAGGGAGAGAGACAGACAGAAACCCTAAGAGACAGAGGGAGAGAGAGACAGAGAAACACTAAGAGACAGAGGAAGAGACGACAGAAAACCCTAAGAGCGAGGGAGAGAGAGACAGAGAAACACTAAGAGACAGAGGGAAGAGACAGACAGAGAAACACTAAGAGACAGAGGGAAGAGACAGACAGAAAAAACCCTAAGAGACAGGGGGGAGAGAGACAGACAGAGACAGAGAAACACTAAGGACAGAGGGAGAGGACAGAAGAGAAACCTAAGAGACAGAGGGAGAGACAGACAAGAAACACTAAAGACAGAGGAGAGAGACAGAGAAACACTAAGAGACAGAGGGAGAGAACAGAGAAACACTAAGAGACAGAGGGAAGAGACAGACAGAGAAACACTAAGAGACAGAGGGAGAAGACAGACAGAAAAACCCTAAGAGAAGAGGAGAGAGACAGAAAAACACTAAGAACAGAGGGAAGAGACAGACAGAAAACCCTAAAGACAGAGGAGAGAGAGACAGAGAAACACAAGAGACGGGGAGAGAGACAGACAGAGAAAAACACTAAGAGACAGAGGAGAGAGGAGACAGAAGAAAAACCTAAGAGACAGAGGGAGAGAGAGACAGAGAAAACTAAGAGACGAGGGAGAGAGACAGACAGAGAAACACTAAGAGACAGGAGAGAGACAGACAGAGAAAACTAAGACAGAGGGAGAGAGACAGACCAGGACAGAAGAAAAGAAACTTAGAGACAGAGGGAGAGAGACAGACAGAGAAACACTAAGAGACAGAGGAGAACACAAGAGACAGAGGGAGAGAGACAGACAGAAACACTAAGGACAGAGGAGAGGGAGAGAGAGAAGACAGAGGAAGAAAAAGGAAACTGAGAGGACAGAAGGAAACCTAGAGACGAAGGAAATCTAAGAGACAGAGGGAGGCGGAAAGAAGAGTCCCTGTTCCTTACAGTCTGTTCTTCATGTCCTCGGGACTCTTGCGGTGCAGCTCTCTGTAGGAGTCTTCAAACACGTGATCTCTCCTGACGTGGACAGCCATGTCCTCCTTCCTCAGACCCTCGTCCAGACGCTCCAGCTCCTGACGGAAGTACCTGGGGAGAGGCAGGGGGACTCAATAAATCAGTCAAAAAAGAAGCTAAAATGTTATCATGAAAGAGGCACGCTTCCATCCAAAGGATCAGTTATTGACCTGATCCAACTGAAAACATTTTTTAAAACTGTTTTGAAACAAAAAACGAAATGAGAGTTTCTTTTTGGACAGGTCCAGGGTGTCCCTCCCTCTAATGAACATGACCCAGATGATGCCCCAGAAGAAAAGCCTTCCTCACTTTCTCTTGACGTCAAAGTCGAGGATGCGGATGTAGTCGACCAGCACAGCGAAGGGTCCGTCGGCCAGGTGGGTGGTGGACTGGCGCAGAATCTGGTTAAGCACCGTACGGTGAGTCTCTGTAGGGGGGAGAGAGGGAGGGAGAGAAAACATCTCAGTTGCACTGTAGGTCTTTAACACACGTGGGCTTTCCAAAATGATCCAGGCTGAATCTCTCAATTATTTATTTCCACTCCTCACTTCCGCTCTCGTCTCCTATGAGGAATCATTGGAGGAAAAGAGGGGATTGCAAGGAAAATACTGGAGTCTATACCCTGCTATACCCTCCCATAGCCTCCTTTGTAGTCCCAAAACTCACCAGCGAAGCGGAGGAACTTCTGTGTGTCGGGAGGCAGGTTGGAAGAGATGTGCATGGAGGAGGGTTCCCTGGAGAAGAAGGGGTCCAGAGAGGAGGGGGTGGCGGGGGTGAGGGGTGCGGGGGACAGGGGGGGAGGCTCGTCTTTGATGTGGGACAACTGGCTCTCCCTGGTGTCTCTGACAGGGGGCTTGCTCTCCCGCTCTGTGGCATGGACCAGGAAGAAGGCCTCCACCGCCGGCTGAAGAACTGAGGGAGAGAGAGGGGGCGATATGTGAGTAGACTACGTCATCAATCCTGTGAAAGGATTATTCATTTATTTTTTACCCCCTTATTTCCCCCAATTACGATCTTGTCTCATCGCTGCAACGTGCTCGGGAGGCGAAGGTCGAGTCATGCGTCCTCCGAAACATGACCCGCCAAACCGCACTTCTTAACACCAGCCCGCTTAACCCGGAAGCCAGCCGCACCAATGTGTCGGAGGAAACACTGTTCAACCGACGACCGAGGTCAGCCTGCAGGCGCCCGGCCCACCACAAGGAGTCCATAGGGCGCGATGAGCCAAGTAAAGCCCCCCCGGCCAAACCATCCACTAACCCGGATGACGCTGGGCCAATTGTGCGCCGCCCTATGGGATCACGGCTGGTTGTGATACAGCCCGGGATCGAACCCGGGTCTGTAGTGACGCCTCTAGCACTGCAATGCAGTGCCTTAGACCAAGGTAAGGTAATTATCCAAGGTTGTGTTCAGTAAGTACAAAACATTCCATTTGAAAACGTTTCCTGTTTCGTATGGGCTGAGGGTTGATCATGTTTCATTGCATGACTGCAAAATTCAGGACATATGGTTTTCCAATGGAGGTTCTACGACAGATACATATTGTTAACACATAGTATACAGATGTCACACTCAGGAAAAACTCAGGGCCCTAGTTTTACCCATGTGAGTTTCAATATTGTAAACCTAACGTACCCAGAACAGCGTGTTGATCATGTGACTCCTCCAGTTCCTTCAGGCACTCCCCGAGCATGTCCCACAGCTCGTCCAATAGTAGCTGCTCGCTCAGCAGGGGGAGGTCCGGGAGACGCTCCTCTGTCTCTGATTGGCTGTTGCCTTCTTCATCTGCACAAGAGCAAGAAATACCAAACACAATAATGTTAGAATCACACTCCCTAAAGAATGGTATTTATGTTGTGGTTTGAGGGCCTCTGGTCATGTTCAAGGTTGTCTTTCTTTGCAGTCACGTTGCTCTCAGAACTTTGCTATACCATATGAATGTGTTTCCTGAAACACTTTTCGAAGGCGTTGTGAAATCTGATCTGCACAGCGTGACTGCAATAAAGATGAGCTGGAACGTGTGTTGTGGAGGACTATAGTGGTGACTGTAGTGGAGGCCTGTCTAACCCAGGGGTGCAGGGTCTACATCCATGGGAGAATCATCCCTCTGGGCTGCCTGGGGCTCAGACACTGACCCTACCTCCGACTGGAGAGAGGACTGGAGGGAGGGCAAAAAGAGAGGAGAGAGAGCAAGAAAGAGTGAGAAACAGAGCGAACAAGTTAGAGGGAGAAAGAAAAAAGAGGGAAAGAAAGAGAGAAAAAAATGAGATTAATTCAACACAAGGCTGACAGTTTTCCAGTAAAGCAGAAAACCAGTGTGCCATGCTGATGCACAATGACATTCTCATAAGGCTGCAGACAGAGACAGACTGGGGGGGGGGGCCAAAAAGCATGAAGCCATGACAGCCAGCCAATACACACATCATATCATACAGTAAAGAGAGCAGCCAGCACATCCCTTCCAGACCTGGGTTCAAATACTATTTGAAATCTTCAAAATACTTTGAGGGTCTGCTCTCTTTACTCTATTCTATTGTTTCCAATAAGCCAGGCTCTCTCAGCTCTCTCAGTCAAGCTCAGATAAAGTATATGAAATGACTTCAAATAGTATTTGAACCCAGGTCTGATGCATTCACTCTTCAGACAGACCGTCCGCCAGTGGAACATGTCAATAACAGGAGACAGGCCGTCAGAATACAGTGGATCATTTGCAGTACATATCTCTGTCTGTTTTCAGCTACTGTCATCATTCATCATGTCAGCGGTATGGATGTTGGGCTGTACTGTAGGCTGATTGTAAATGCAATGACGATGTCAATAGCAGTGTCAGTTTACATGCCTGTAGAGTAAGTTCAATATGCATGGGGATGTAATCGATAGCAGTGTGAGCGTATGGTCAGTATGCATGTAATCAGACCTTGGTTAAAATAGTATTTGCCTTCTTTCAAATACTTCAGCTACACTTGATTGAGCTTGCCTGATGCAATGAGTCCCAAAAGTGCCAAAAAAACACCCATCTGGTACTATTTGAAGCCAGGTCTAAAGAATAAGCACGTCGTCAGTATGCGTCATGTAGTCAATAGCAGTAATGTGTGAGTGTATGGATCAATATGCATGTTTGCATTTAGTTATGTTTGCTCAGTAGTTGCAGTATTCTGTCAGTGCGATGCGGCCAATCATGCTAACCGTGGCAGCGCTCGCCGTGCCGGGGGCAGCGGCGGGGGCATGAGGGGCGGCCACGGAGGATCCGGCGGCGGTGGCGACGGCAGTGACAGAGGCGGAGGGCGGGGGGGCCTGCTGCAGACGGCGTGCCCGCTGCCCCTCTCTCACCATCTGAATGATGGCATCTGCCTCAGCTTCTAGCTGACGGACTGCCGCCTGGATACTGCTGGCAGAGCCCAGACTGGTGGAGCCTGGATTCACAGGAGAGACCAGTTACATAACACCCAGAGCAGAGATGTGATAGAAAAGCTGTCATTCCTGATAATCAGGGATATCACATCCCTGCTAGAGAAAGCTCTCAACCGGTATCGTCTTCAAAGGGCATTTCCTGGTCATATTAACCTGCTCATAAATAAAACGTTTTGTTACGGTTCATTTCTTTACATTAACAGACTGATGACTCAGCCATTACTATGAATGATTTTACCCTCTGTGTGTAATGGGGTACTCTGTGTGTAATGGGGTACTCTGTGTGTAATGGGGTACTCTGTGTGTATGTGAGCGTGTTTAGTAGTGCACTCCTTTCACCTAGACGTCCGGTCTGCTTGGCCTTCTTGTTGGCGCGGCGCGTGTCCTCCCGGAGCTGGATGATGACCTGCAGGACCCGCAGGAAGAACTTCTGGGTGGACGTCTTTGAGGTCAGGGAAGACATGCAGGGCAGCTGCAGCTCCCGCCCGCCCAGCGTACGCTTCTGGGCTGCCACGATCACCACGCTCTCAGAGCCGTCAAACCTGCGCCCCCGCCAGCACGCGAGGATGGGCGACAAGGCAAAGTATAGTCAGTATACAGAAACGGACTAGCGGTAGAGGAGTATAGACACACACAGACACACCACCAAGGCAAAAGCTGTGGCCTAAATGATCAGACACTGACAGATTGTTGAGTAACCTTTATTTTATACGCCTAAACCTCAACTTTTTGAGTATCATAACCATATAAAAATAAAAAAAGAGATTTGTTCCATTTCAAGCCTTACACTGTGGGTTTCTCTCTATTCTCCCAGACTCATCTATTTAAAGCGTCGTATTTAGCCAAACCTGAATAGGTCAAGTTGGCACTAGGAGGAGAGAACCACTGATGACTATTCATTACTATGACACTTTCATCAGAGAGGAGTGTCCTTAAGAGAGCTAAATGTCAGCCTAATCACATAGCTGCCTCAACAGGATACTGTCCTTAATACTGGGCATTTAGTCTCAAGATAATGAAATCCATTAGAAGTAGTCCTTTCACACAGTCTTCCCTGTCCTAGTATGTAGACTACTTGAGTTCGACACTGAGGCCCAGTTTCCCAGACACAGATTAAGCTGACTAAAAAGCAATTGAGAAGCCTACCCCTGGACTAAAATTGAAAATGATTTTTTGTCTAGGTGTGGGCTTAATCTGGGTCAAGAAAAACAGCATCTGGTACTATGTCCTCCCCAGAACCTCTCTCTTCACCAGCTAGAGAGCTTAACCCTAACCCTGACCCGTCTGTCTGTTCCCAGAACCTTGCTCTTCAACTGGTAGAGCGCTTGACCCTAACCCGTCTGTTCCCAGACCCTCTCTCTTCACCTGCTAGAGAGCTTGACCCTAACCCTGACCCCTAACCCGTCTGTCCTCAGACCCTCTCTCACCTGCTAGAGAGCTTGAACTTTACCCTGACCCCTAACCCCCATCTGTCCCCAGACCCCCTCGCTTCACCTGCTAGAGAGCTTGACCCCTAAACCCCCGTCTGTCTGTCGCAAGGCTCTCGCTCGCTTTACCTGCTCGAGAGCTTGCCGGCCTTCAGCCTGGCGGAGAGGGAGGTATCCTCAGCAGGGGCGTCAGGTGACTGGGCGTCGGCCCGGGCTCTCCTCTGCTGCTCCAGGTTGTACTCACGCAGCTCGGCCAATAACGTGCCTGGAGGAGGAGAGAGGGGGAGTAGACAGGACAGTAAGTGGGTTACCTTTGCACATTATTTATTTAACCTTTATTTTATCAAGGAGTCATACTGAGACCAAGGTCTCTCACAGATGAGCCCTGAATTACAGAAATGACCGAAAACACACAGCAGGAAGACAAACATTCATAAAAAACAAAGACATTCATCAATAATAAGGTCCTCAATCAGCTTTTTGAATTGACTTAGAGGCACCAGAACATCAAATGTAAGAACATTTTGAAGACTGTTCCACAAATAAGGTGCAAGCTGATTTCCCTAACTCCGTAAAGACTGTAGGAATTTTCAGAGTTAGCCATCCCTGAGACCGGGTTTGGTAACTCATAAGTATAAAGTTTAGTAATGATGTTAGGTACAGTGGGTGTTTTGTAAAAGGGCTTTATAAATGAAAATATATCTATGTATCAACCTACATGACATCAAAGAAGGCCAACCAACTTTCTGGTAGAGAATGAAGTGATGAGCACAAATACAAAGTCACCCGTAACAAAGTGCAGTGCGCTATGATGAACTGCATTTAACAGCTTTAATGAAGTGGCAGATGCGTCCATATAGATGTCGCCATAGTCTAGGACTGATAGGAACGTCGACTGAATAATCTCCTTTCTACTATTTAGCGACAGGCATGACCTATTTCTATAGAAGCCCATTTCTATTATCTTAACGAAATCGTCAATATGGTTTTTAAAAAAGACAGCTTTTCATCTATCCAGATATTTCTAAGCAGGGACATTATCAATATCGACCCCATCTAAAGTACATATGCTTAAATCAGAGTTATTTTGATGCGCTCTAGAGAACATATACTTAGTTTGACCTGCATTCAATACTAATTTCAGGTCAATAAAGTGTTTCTGTAATACAGTGAAGGCAGACTGTAGTTCAGATAGAGCCTGGTCAACCATGGGGGCAATGGCATAAACAACAGTTTCATCGGCATACAAGTGCAGGTTACAATTCTTTACAGACAAGTCAAAATTATTAATGTAAACAGTAAACATTTCAGGACCCAGAATTGACCCCTGCGGAACACCTTTCATTATGTCCAGAAAACTAAATTTAACACCATCAGTAGATACACATTGAGTTCGCTCTCAAGTAATTGTTAAACCTTTTTTTTTTTTTATGCATTTTATTGACCATTCCATTGGTTCATAAGTGAAATCTTAAATGAAAATGAACCGAACGCAACCATTGGTAGTGTGTGTAGTGTCAGCTTTGTAAGGCTACAAACAGCTTGACTGTATATGGTTGTGTGTATGATGTGGCATACTAACCGATCTGTTTGCAGAGCGTGTATCCCAGGTGTGTATGATGTGGCATACTAACCGATCTGTTTGCAGAGCGTGTATCCCAGGTGTCTAGCTCCACTCAGCAGCAGACGCAGCACTGTGTCTCTAGTAGCTCCGTCTCCTCTGGACAGCTGGAGCAGGATGTTGGCTGCATCCTCCAGACCCTCCTCTGAACACGAGTGACTGGTCAGCACCTGGGGAGGGGAAGAGTGTTACTCAAGCCAAAAAACATTCCTTACCCCAGGACACTTCAACAGGTGACAACCCAGGAAACTAAAGACAAAGAAAAAGGAGCCCTGATCTGAGAATGTACTTTCAGGACCTAGAAACAGGCCTACATTTCGACGTAGGACGCCTTTGTCAGAGCTTGGGGTAGAAAAAGGTGGGAGGCACTATATTAGCCTGGCAGGAGACTCTCCCACTGGTGTTACTCAAGCCTGGGGGGTGTTCATTATGAACCAAACAGAAGAAAACAGACAAACACGAAGGAAGTACTACTGTACCTGGGCTCTGGTCAAAAGTAGTGTACTGTAGGGATATGACTAGACGTTGTTTTGTACCCCGCACCTGAAAGTGCCTGGACGTAGTGCACTACTTCTGAACAGTTTCTACTACACCAACAGATACACCTAGCTATGTAGAGAGCTATGAGCCTTCCCAGTTAGGAACCGAGTTTTGGTTTTGGGGGCATTCTGTTCTGTACCTCGACAGAGAGCTGCAGTTGTTTCTCAGTGAGTCCAGTGGAGGCAAGTTTGGTGTCACTTTCAACACAGAGCACGGTCGCTCGATGCTTCCCTGTTGAGACAAAACACAAAATCACACACACACCACAATCACACATCACAATCACATTATAGTCTTCTACTATGGGGCGTTACCTTGTAGCGTTCACATAGATAAACATTGACACTATTAGTATTGCCGGGTAGACAAGACCAAACTCCACTTAGTGACAAAGCTAATCTCATTTTAAGAGAGTCAAATATAAACTGAGGTCAGTGAATTGCTTCTGAAGTGAAGTTGCTGTGCGTTCCCACCTGTGGCACTGGCTCCAGTAGAGGTGGGTATGGACACTATAGCGGTGGAAGATGAGCCCTGAGCTCCTGACACCACCCCTACGGTGGTCCCCTGAGCAGAGGCTGAGGCCGAGCCCGGAGCACCGGCTGCACTGGTGGCAGTGGCGGGATTGCCAGCTCCGGTTGTGGTAGACTGCGGCGTTGGGTGTCCAGCTGGGACTTCCGTAGCCTTATTATCAGGCAGGGCGATGGAGATGAGGGAGAGGAGACGCAGCAGCTTCTCGGTGAGCAGGGAGGAGCGTCGTATCACGGGGTGGGACAGCATATTCATCAGCTGGCCCAGCGGAGAGGCTTCCAGGCTGTACTGAGCCCCCTCGGCCTCCCCTCCAGCCCCCAGGGAAACTGTCTTCATGGAGGCCTTGCCTTTCCTCGACACATTCATGTTGTCCAGCTTCACCAGCAGGTCCCAGAAGTCGGTGGAGATGCCCAGGGACTGGGGGGTGATGGCCGTTCCACAGGCGCCCCCGCCGATGGAGTTCTGGGCTGAGGAGGGAGTGGAGAGGGTGTTGGAGGTCTGGGTAGTTCTAGAGCCTCCTCCTGCTGTTCCGGTGACGATGGAGGCAGCAGCACACAGACGTGAGTCCAGATCAGAGGTGGAGGAGGAGAGCAGGTCCTTACAGCGCTGCTGGGTGAAGTGACTGGGGAACACCTGGAGATAGGAACACACAAGGTTTAATGACCTGGACTAACTAAGAGACGCATTACATTGAAAATGCACTATTTCCGTAACATTTTCAAACCCACTTTCAAAGTAAAAACAAACCGGATTTAAAGACCATGACGTACAAATGCTCTGGTCATCTGGCAGTTATCTATCAAACACACCATTCAGAAAAACCTGCACAAAGTTTTGGAGCCCTAAGATGAATGACTGATACAGATTCCAGACCCACTTTCCCTGAGAAGTACCATGTTCACCCAGAGTACTAAACAGTCTCCTACCTTGGCCAGCTGGATAAGAGTATCCAGTACGTGTCGACAGACCACAGGGGCGGCCTGAGGGTGGATGTGTACAGTTGACCCTCCTCCCCCTGCACACGTCACCCCAGCTGTAACCCCCTGTACCCCTCCTCCCAGGGTCCCCCCGGGCCCTCCTGACGTCCCCCCAGCAGAGTGCCGGTCGGCGTGCTTCCGCCCTGACGCCCGTTGGATCTGGAAAATGTTTGTGCGGCAGCCGAGCGCCGCATCCATGGAAACAGACAGCCAGGAGAGCTGGGAGGAACTACGAGACTCCACCCTGTTGATCAACTCCAGAGAAGAGGAGGAAGAGGAGGAGAGGGAGGAGGCAGCGGTAGCTGTGGTCGTAGATCCTTTACTCCCACTGTAACCTCCCTGACCGGCGGTGGTCCGCTTGCCTCTGGCATCTTCCAGCCGGGTGGTCTCGACACAAACCTCGCTCTCGCTGCTGCGCTGGAGGATGGAGAGGAGACTGCGGATGACCCAGCCACGCGTCTGAGAGTGATAGCACAGGTTGCGGAGCACGCGGTGCAGACGGCTGGTGTTGAGTTTGGGTTCGTCTACGAAGAGGAGGACCAGGAGACAGGACAAGGCCTCGTGGTCCAGGAGCAGACGACCACGCAGACGCAGCAGAGAGTCCACACTGGAACTGGACGGCCTGGGGAGAGGACAGAGGACACGTTAGACGGAAACTTAAGATGTAACGTGCACGCACACTTTAAAACCGATGAATCACGCAGACAAATTCTCCCCCTCACACCAATCCTGTCCCTCTCACCTGCTGTGGTTGGCCCCTCCTCCCATCTGGAAGGTCCCTCCTCTCTGCACGGCCAGGCGGGTGTACTGAACTCCTCTGTTGCCCCCCAGGCGGCTGGTAAACGCAGGCGACCTCAAGATAGCCGACAGGGCCGAGCTGGAACTATGGCCAAACAGCCTCTCGTGCATCAGCTGTCTCTGACGAGCCTGGTGATGTCAAATTTACAATCAATGCAATGATGAAATGACACATGATGTAGCCAAAACAGTATTTGATCAATTCTGTTGTTCTTTTATCGAAGACATTCTATGCGAGTTGGCACAGTTTTGTTACTTGGTGATAGTGTGTAGGAAAAGGTTTGAATCTTACACTCACCTCCTGCTCGCGGCGCAGCGCGGCTGCCTCAGCAGCGATGTCCGGGGGCATGACTGCCAGCACGCTGTCTTCCATATCTTCCAGGACGGAGCGACGAAGCTCTGAGGGAAGGGTCTGGATGAAGGTCACAGGGTCCAGGGGAATGTCGCCCTGCGTGGGCTGCTGGGACAGTTCTCTACGCTGCTGCTCTGCCCTCTGCTGCGCTAACACCTGGGGAGAGGGAGAGAGGGAGGAGAGAGGGATGGAGAAAGAGGGGAGGGGGAGAGAGAGGTAGGAGAGAAAGGAGGAAGGAGAGAAAGGAGGAGGGAGAGATGGAGGATGGAGAGAGGGGAGGAGGGAGGAGGGAGAGAGGGAGGAGGGAGAGAGGGGAGAGAGGGATGGAGGAGGGTGAGAGGGAGGAGGGTGAGAGGGAGGAGGGAGAGAGGGGCGAGAGAGAGGCGAGAGAGAGGCGAGAGAGAGGAAGGAGAGGGAGGCGGGTTAGGCTTCTAGAAACAATCTAGAACTACACCGGTCCCACTTTAACCAAAATTTTAAACAACTTATAAAGGCTATATAGAGAATTCATAAAGTCTTCAAAATACTTCTTACACAGTTCTCTCAGTCCTCCAATTACATTGCTGGTTAAATAATACGCTTTTTAATAGTCCTAAGTTTTGTTGCTCACCTCCTCCTGTATTGCAGGTGGCAGGGCAGCCAGGAACTCAGGGCTGACCTCTGTGACCCCGGCTCCTCCTCCCAGTATCAGGGGTGGTGGTGGAGGGGAGGGTGGAGGAGGGAGGGGGGCGCGCCGGGGGTCGGATACCCAGCTGGTTCTGGAGCACCTCACGACGGATGTCCTCTGGAAGAGCTGCCAAGAAGGACGGGTCCACACCCTCTGGTAGACTGATGCCTGGACAGAGAAAGAGAGAGAGAGAGAGGGGGGGGGAGTGAGTGTAGAAATGTAGAGCTTTACTGTGCATGAAGTAGAATAAGTGTGGCCAACCCTCCCTCTGGAGAGCTACTGTGTATGAATGATTTTGCTCCAACCCTGCTCTAACAATCTAGATCAAATCAAGGTCCTGATGTGCAACAGGTGAGTCGTAGAATCAGGTTAGCTCTCCAGGAGGGATGCCCATCACTGAGCTAGAGGGAATGAGACTCTTCTTACCTGCCAGTGGGTCCTCATCCTCATTGCTGGTGGAAGGGAGGGGCTCTTCCTGGATGGCCTGGGATTGGCTGTTGGCACGGTCACTCCGGGGCATGGTCTCTCCAGGGGAGGAGACAGTGGTGGAGCTACAGAGAGAGAGAGAGGAAGGGGGAGAGGCATGAGAAAAATAGTTTTGTTTAGCTCATCTTTCCCTCAGAGCCCCTGCCTAGATCACATTTATTTGTATCTGATGTGATCTAAACAGATAACATTGATATAAGCAATATGGAACAGTAATAGCTCCATCTTGCCCTCTGATAGGTGAGGTAGAATTTCCATCATGTTTGATACAAACCTATCCAAATCTTCTAGATCTAGACAATTGCCAAAGGAGTAAGGGCTAGGGTTCGAATTTGGAATGTATCGTTAGTATTTTCTTCTAAGACCCTCACCCTGTCTCTGCGTCTGTGTGCCTGTCCGTCAGTCCGCTGTCTCCACTCCCAGACAGCTCCTGAGATAGATGAACAGCCTGGGCGGGGTTGGGGACGGGCTCTTCCTGCGTGGCAGAGGCGGGGCTACTGGTATCCATGGGAGACCCTTCCAATTGTGACACGCCCACCGCTGCAGGCTCTGAGGTCTCCACGATGTCTGGACTCAGGGAGGCTGGGGGGCAGGACAGGGGAGGAAGGAGAGGAGAAGAGCAAAATTGTCAGTTAATACACTAAACAACTCTTCATAGGCTGAAGGCAACAGCCTGGGGAAAAACAATGTGGTTGCATTTTGACACATGCATTGTTCCGATATCTACCCTAGCACAACCCTTTGAAGCAATGTTGCAGTTTGCCATGAAGGGTATATTTAAAAGGAGACAGATTGTTGTCGGACAGATTAGTCAACAGCATCACTGCAAATACAGATGTGTGTCCTTACTGCTCATCAAATCACTCTGTGAGAGGGTGCATTCGTTTTAGCCAGCCTGGTGCCCTGGCTGGACAAGACCAATGGAATGGTCTCAAATGTGCAAACTCCGCCAACCGGTGCTCCGGGCGAGCTATAACAAACATACCAATACTTTTTACAGTTTCAAAGTTAGTCTACCTTCCCTGCCTCCATCCATCATCGCTCCTCCTCTCCTTCCTCCTCCTCCTCCTCTCTCACCAATAGTGGGCGCCGGGGACATTTCCATCTGGGACGCCTCAGCTTCACAGTTCGGCCTATCGGATGATGCCGCCAGGGCAGGCAGACCCGCCCCCGCCAGTGCGGCCAGTGAATTGGCGTGCGACTCGGCCAGGAGCAGGTCTGCGATTGGCTGGTGGACCTGCTGGCAGATAGCGGTTTCCAGGGAGACCAGGGCCTGTTCGTGGGGGGCTGGGGTGGTGGGGGTGACCTCTCCTGAGGGGGGCGCGGTGAGGAAACCTTCGGAGACCCTTGGGGGATCCAGACAGGACACCCCACTGCCCTGGGGCTCACCTTCTGAGCCAGGGAAGACACACAGAACAGAGGGGACAACTGACAAACAGTTCTGATTTTCAGTAATAGGTTCACTTGATGTCACTGATGGCACAATACACAGAACAGGAGATGAGGGGTTTGAGTCAAACTAACTCAGTAGGGAGCAACAGGTTCACTACTTCAGTTACAGAGGAGTACAGAAACAGATCCTACAGGTGTGCTAGTACTGTAGATTAAATAAGGGGAACTGGCTGTGGTATTCAAGGAGAGGTTTGAGGAGCACTGAGTTAGAGGGGTAACAATGACATCAATGGTCCAAAGCTTATTTTCCTGAGTGAGATTGCTGTGAGACGTTGTTCGGCAGCACTGAGGAAGGCAGTAAGTTGTATAGTTATCTCCCGTACGGGGTGCACTATCCTGATCCCCAACAACAACACAACTTACTACCTCACCACAGCACAGCCACAGAAGGGTATGGGTTCCATCCGTACAACAAGCGGACAAAAGCACATTACATTTCAACATCACTACATACAAAGCAACCATCAGTTGCAGAGTAACCGTCCACGCTAAGATGGCAGTCCTGTGGTTTCCATGGTAATAGTTGGGTAGCCATGGCGTTGCCGTAGGAAAGACAGTAGACTGTATAGTCATCTCCCAGATCTGGTGTGATCCTAAAACTATACAAACTACTACCTCAGCCCACAGCACGCTAATCTATCCGACCACCCGTCTGTCCACTGGCTTCAGAAGGGTCCAGAGGGTTTGGGTTAGGCTACTCAAGACATGCACAGAAGAAGAATATACTGAAAATGACCAGAAAATTATCCGAAAAGTAAGTATTCACTTTAGCAGAATGTTTACAAGTTAAAGCTTCAAACTTCGAAGGAATCCGGTAAAAGCAATGTTACAAAAAAAGTACTCTTCTTCTTGCAAAAGTAAAGTGGAGGCATTTCAAAACAGAAAGTGCCAGTACCAGCAGTGGTCTCTCCAACAGCACCGTTGACCGTCCCCAGTCCTGAGCCCTGCAGACTCTGCTCCCTGGGCTCCTCTCCTCCTCCTGACCTTCGGTCGTTCTGCTTAGCCTCCTCTTCCTCAGCCAGCTGTCTCCGCCTTCTTTCCCTCCTCTCCTCCAGCTCCTCGTCTCTCAGAGTCTCCAGGTGCTGCAGGATAGGAACCTTCACCACTGGGAAGGAGATAGAGACAGGGGCGGGGTTAGAGGGGTGAGGTGTACTGTGTGTGTGTGTGTGTGTGTGTGTGTGTGTGTGTGTGTGTGTATGTGTGTGACTGCATGGTTCAGCAACAATGTGAGAATCAGGGAATACAATAATGATGTGTCAGACTAGTAGAAGATGTGTCATACCTGCTACACAGTCGTGCATGCTCTCAGCATCCAGCACTTTACACTCATCAGTCCATCGGGTTAAGGCAGTGGGGATACTGGACAGAGTGCCTGGAAAGATAGGATATATACAGAGTTACGAGGAATTCAACACAATGGATATCAAAGCTTTGACTGGGGCTCCTAGCACATAATAAGCCCTTAGGAACCAGTTTCCCCACAGAGATTCAGCCTTGTCCTGGACTACTTCTCCAATGAAATTATTTCTACATCCAGGACTAGGCTTAACATGGGTCTGGGAAAGCAGCCCATAGAGCAGAGTGGACTGGTGGACAGTGAGTGAGTGTTCTACCCGCTTGTCCTCCGGTGCTGCTCTGCTCGTGGAAGAAATCGTCCAGCAGCTCGTCGTCGGAGCGGGCGATGATATGCACGTCCTCGTTGCCCACCAGGAGCCGGGCACGGCCACGGGACTGCAGTGGCAGAGAGCTGGACAGCTGCAGGATGTCTGCTGCAGCACTGGGACCCAGTAGTCTAGAGGAGAGGGAAGGTACAGGCATATACCGTACACTCTTATTATCTTTAAAACAGACATGAACCCATGACCTCCTTGGAAATGGACCTGGGTCAAACACATGAGTAGAGCAATTCTTGTCAATACTTTGTTTTTGAGGTGCAATTGATTTATCTTGGAGTATGTACTTGGGGGACTATTCCAAAAGTCCCTTTGTACCTGGCAAACTAAACCAAAGGAAGCTCAAGTATTTGACAGAATCTGACCCACGACCTAGGAAAAGTCCCATGAATTAATCCATTCATTAATTGTAGCATCTGTCTCACCTCTGCAGGATGAGTGGGGGGTTGGGCTGTCTGTTCCCAGGGTAGTGGACGTGTATCGTGTGGCCCGTGTTGGCGGTGAGCTGGCGTAGCGTTCTCTGGCTGCGACCCATGCCCTGCGCCAGACGGTTGTTGGTGCCCGCTCCGCCCAGCGTTAAGGAGCCGTGGTCGGCGTGGCGCACCATCAGGGGGTGCGAGCTGGGGATGTTGCCTGGGGAGGGAGGGATGTCAGCTGATGGGAACATGATAAACAGAGAGAACAGTTGCAGACATTAGGGGGACACGTAGTGACACAGCCCCGTCATTCTACATACTTATATGGTTACTATAATCTGGCCTATATATTATTACAGCTACATAACTATTCCAGCTATTGGTACGGCTGTGTGTCTGTAGTCTTAGTTGTTCAAGAGGATTTCAAAGAGACAGACTAGAAATCTACTTGGAGATATCAGGGCTTGTATTCATAAAGCATCTCAGAGTTGGAGTGCTGATCTAGGATCAGGTCTGCCTTTTCAATTATAATGAATATGATTATATTGACAGGGGGTACTAATCCTAAATTAGCAGTCCTACGCCAAGAAGCTTTATAAGTATGGGCCCAGTCCAATAACATACGTTGCCTTCTAAATCTATCTATATATTGAAAACAAAGATGAATAAAACACCAAGATGACTCACCGGTGGTGGAGAACATGTTGTCAAACTCTATGATGAGGTCATCGTCGCGGTCAAACCTCTCGAAGCGGATGTGTGGCGCAGCGTTGATGTCTGGGAAATCTTCATCCAGCTCCATCTCAGACCCTTCATCATCGTCATCCTCATCACCTTCTTCATCATCCTGAGACAAAGAGAACATGGCATATTTTTTTTTGACATTACATAGTGTCAAACTAATTCTAAAGTGAATGGAAACCGTTCAAATGTGACCGAGCAGGTTCACACCCAGATCTCCCCTGTATTAGCCCACTAAGCCAGAGCCAATGCAACTCTTTAGGTCTAATAAAAGGTTACTAAATCAAGCACGGCCCAAACAACAAAAACACTCCAAACTTATCCTCCTTTTCCTCACCTGGTCCTCCTCCTCTTCCTCTTCCTCCTCCTCCTCTTCATCTTGGCTGTCTTCATCATCGTTGCTGCCGCTGGAGTCTTCCTCCTGCGTGTGCTCCTCATCCTCGGGCTCCAGGATGTTCATAGAGTCTACGGTAGGAAAAGAAGGAGCGATGGAGTGAGAGATGGAGAGAGAGAGAACAGTGAAGGAGCGATGGAGGGTGAGATGGAGAGATAGAGAACAGTGAAGGAGAGTTGGAGGGTGAGATGGAGAACCGTGAAGGAGCGATGGAGTGAGAGATGGAGAGAGAGAGAACAGTGAAGGAGAAATGGAGGCAGTGAAGGACAGATGGAGGGAGGACAGTGAGTGAGACCCAACACACTTTGACCCTTTTCACACTAATAAACCCATAGTACTAAATAGAACAAATTAAATAGTTATTTAATGTATCTTTATGACAGATCCGAGCCAAGCCAAGCTGTGCTGTGCTGGCCACCATAACTGTCGGAGCCATGCTGGAGAGGACAATGTGAAAAGAAAACATCAGAGCCAGCACTGACCTTCTCTGTTGGTCTGTAGAGTAGAAGCCTGACTGATATTGGATGGCGCCTCATCCATCAACACGTCCTCTTGTGATTCGTCCTCACCGCTGCTACGTCCCACTGAGTGACAGAACAAACAACCAATCAAAAACAAACCGCCAAGACTGTATTGTATGTGCCCGCCCCTTTCTATTGATACCATCACTCTGATGAGCCCAGTGGTGTATTCAGAGGGTGAAACGTTAAGAATATTTCCGATAGAGATGTAAGCAATAGAGTGGAAATGATGCCCAATTCTGCAGGACAAACAATCAGCTGTTCTACAAAACGTATTTCTACCTGAAGGTTTTGTAACATTTCACCCTTCTGAACAGACAAAAATAAATAAGAGACTCCTGGACAGCAGACTGCTTTGCTTACCGATAATGGAGCTGTTGACGGCGCCGGCATCTCTCTCCAACAGCTCGTCTATCAGATCCACCAACTCATTCTCCACCTGCATGGCCGTGGTGCTGAGCACCTCCGGCTGTCCAGCGATGACCACCGTGTCTCCCTCCGTCTCTCCGTCCATCAGGTCACTGTCTGTCCCTTGGACCCTGTGACTGCCCTCCACCAGAGTCCCCTCAACCTCACCCGAGTCACCTGCAATGAGCATGGATCCAGTAAGATGAACGCAACGGTAAGCCTAGAACAGTCTAAAAAATGTGACTTTTCTATTTCCCTTTGCTTCTGTGGAGTACGTGTTTGTGTGTAGTGTGAACATATTTGTTAGTACATGTGTATATGTGTTTATGAGTGCGAACATGTGTTCATACAAGGATTTGTACATTGCTAGACATGACCACCTTGTTGACCTGGTAGCCAGCAAGGTGAGACAAGTAGTCTCACCAACAGCACACACGTATAAACATTCTTGTGTAAGGGGAAGCTGGTTTGAGGTTTTTGATTGTGTTTTCCTGTGTGCCAAATACGCTAGGATACTGTTGTTCTGGGGGGAGGTGGAAGTGGGCTGCTCATTTGACAGCTACATGGAGCAGGCCTTTGCAGAGAAGCTGCTTAAATACCAGCCCCTCGTGGCACGCTTGGACAGCCTCGGGCGGAGGTGCAAGCTGGTGGCGCTGATATTTGGCAGTCTCGGCCACATACACAGGCTTGCAGTGCGTGGCCTCCAGATTGCGGGCCTGACAAAAACTAGGGCAAAGCTACTGGATAGGTAATGCTCTGTTTCAGCTGTAGTGAGCAGCCTAGCTGTTGGAGAAGGTGCTTTCTGTACCCTTGAGTGCCATGCATACAGGGACCTTTGAAATGTTTGGATCCTTTTTTTGGTGGATTCAAATAAAGTCTTGTGTCTATATCTATCTATATACACACAGTGCATTCGGCAAGTACTCAAACCCCTTGACTTTTTCCACATTTTGGTACGTTACAGCCTTATTCTAAAATTGATTATATTTTTTTTATTCTCCATCTACACACAATACCCCATAATGACAAAGCAAAAACAGGTTTAGACATTTTTGCAAATTTGAAAAAAACTACTGAAATATCACATAAGTATTCATACCTTTTACTCAGTACTTTGTTGAAGCACCTTTGGCAGCGATTAAAGCAGGAGTCTTCTTGGGTATGACGCTACAAGCTTGGCACCCCTGTATTTGGGGAGTTTCTCCCATTCCTCTCTGCAGATCCTCTCAAGCTCTGTCAGGTTGGATCAGGAGCGTTGCTGCACAGCTATTTTCAGGTCTCTCCAGAGATGTTCAATCAGGTTCAGGCTCTGGCTGGGTTACTCAATGACATTCAGAGACTTGTCCTGAAGCCACTCCTGCGTTATCTTGGCTGTGTGCTTACGGTTGTTGTCCTGTTGGAAGGTGAACATTTGCCCCAGTCTGAGGTCCTGAGCGCTCTGGAGCAGGTTTTCATCAAGGATCTCTCTGTACTGTGCTCCGTTCATTTTTGCCTCGATCCTGACTAGTCTCCCAATCCATGCCGCTGAAAACAAATCTCCACAGCATGATGCTGCCACCACCAAGCTTCACCGTAGGGATGGTGCCAGGTTTCCGCCAGACGTGACGCCTGGCATTCAGGCCAAAGAGTTTAATCTTGGTTTCATCAGACCAGAGAATCTTGTTTCTCATGGTCTGAGAGTCTTTAGGTGCCTTTTGGCAAACTCCAAGCGGGCTGTCATGTGCCTTTTACTGAGGAGTAGCTTCCGTCTGGCCACTCTACCATAAAGGCCTGATTGGTGGAGTGCTGCAGAGATTGTTGTCCTTCTGGAAGGTTCTCCCATCTCCACAGAGGAACTCTGGAGCTCGGTCAGAGTGACCATCGGGTTCTTGGTCACCTCCCTGACCAAGGCCCTTCTCCCCCTATTGCTCAGTTTGGCCGGGGGGCCAGCTCTAGGAAGAGTCTCGGTGGTTCCAAACTTCTTCCATTTAAGAATGATGGAGGCCACTGTGTTTTTGGGGACCTTCAATGGTGCATCATTTTTTTGGTACCCTTCCCCAGATCTGTGACAATTCCTTTGACATCATGGCTTGGTTGTTTCTCTGACATGCACTGTCAACTGTGGGACGTAATAAAGACCGGTGTGTGCCTTTCCAAATCATGTCCAATCAATTGAATTTACCACAAGTGGACTCCAATCAAGTTGTAGAAACAACTCAAGGATGATCAATGGAAACAGGATGCACCTGAGCTCAATTTCAAGTCTCATAGCAAAGGGTTTGAATACTAATGTAAATAAGGTATCTGTTTTTAATTTTTAATAAATTAGCAAACATTTCTGAAAGCCTGTTTTCGCTTTGTCATTATGGGGTATTGTGTGCAGATTGCTTAGAAACCCCCCCCGATTGAATACATTTTAGAATAAGGCTGTAACGTAACAAAATGTGGAAAAAGTCAAGGGGTCTGAATACTTTCTGAAGGCACTGTATGTGTGTGTGTGTGTGTCACCTGTGGTACCTTGTGTGTTGCTGTTTGAGTCCCTGGCAGCTCCCACAGTGTCATGCTCAGTCTTGTTCTTGCTGGATCCCCCCTTCCCTCCAAACAGGCTGCTGGGCTGGTTGACGATACGGGACAGAGTCTCTAGGGGTTTTAGAGCTGCATTCACCGTGTTGGCCATGTTGGGACTGAGATCAAATAAATAAATGGTGAGAAAATATGCAGAAATACCGGAAATCATTCCTTCCCAACGGAAGGAAGAAACACGAGGAGACATTCAGCGACTTGATAATTGGCGACAAGTTGAGAAAGTGTGAACGTTATGCAAATTTCAGACTGCAATGACCAATGGGGGGAGAGAAGCTCTCACTAGCCAGCTGTGGCTAGACAGGCTATCAATCAATGTGCTGTTTTGCAACTTTTTTGGAAGAAACACCCACATGGGGAGATTTCACTGATGCCTGAGTGGCGCAGTGGTCTAAGGCACTGCATCGCAGTGCTAACTGTGCCACTAGAGATCCTGGTTCGAATCCAGGCTCTGTCGCAGCCGGCCGCGACCGGGAGACTCATGGGCGGCGCACAATTGGCCCAGCGTCGTCCAGGGTAGGGGAGGGAATGGCCGGCAGGGATGTAGCTCAGTTGATAGAGCATGGCGTTTGCAACGCCAGGGTTGTGGGTTCGATTCCCATGGGGGGCCAGTATAAACAAAAAAAAAATCAAACAAAATTATATATATATATATATATATATATATATATATATATATATATATATATATATATATATATATATATATATATAATGTATTCACTAACTGTAAGTCGCTCTGGATAAGAGCATCTGCTAAATGACTAAAATGTAAATGTAAAGCCTTACTATAATGTAGTAATTAGGGCTGTTGCGGTGACCGAATTACCGCCACACAGTCAAATTCCACGTGACCATTGAGTCAAGGTAATCTCCTCCTATTCTGCGCTCTGTAGGCCTACATGAATGGCGCCGATGCGTTGGTAGTACCCAACTTCCTAATGGATGCCAGGCCGTCATTGTAAATAAGAATTTATCGTTGGACCAGAGCTATCAAGCGTGTGTGTGCAGAACAGCGCTATAATTTATATATATATATATATATATATATATATACACATATATATATATATATATATATATATATATATATATATATATACATATATATACACACATACACACACCTTTTTCTAGTTAATAATTCCAACGTGAAACGTGATAACTATAGTATCCCTAACTAGCACTGAAAAAGTTAATCCATTCTTCTCTAATTAAAAAGATCTCCCTAATTTCTGAATCACGCTTGTAACGTCGTCAGTAGGCTACAGTAACCTATGCTTCGGAGGGCGAGGGGCAGGTAGCCTGCACATGCACTGGCAAAGATTTCCAGCAGGCAGACACTGGAATACGTTTCTGAGTGACAGAGAGCTTTGCATAAGTGCTTTGTTGCAATTTTTGTGGGACTGCCCGGAATGTAAAAAATTTACCGGTTCCCATGCTTTTAAAATAACGGTTATATTCCGGAACAGTATAGATCACTTCCGTTCCCGGTTCTGTTCCCTGAACTGGTTCCAACCCCTGCTCTGCGCTCTATTGTCCATCTAAATCACTCTGACATCAATGCAAATGCAATCGAAAATCACAAACACTTCATGATTGCATTTGAATAATCTGAATGTGGATAAATGGTAATGGGGTTAGAGGTCACGTTCCGAAATGGACCTGGGGGTTTCCCAGCCGGACACAATATGAACAAATACATTTTTAAAACAGTGACCCGGTCGGGTCCAACACCCGATTGTTTTAGTACTTCATTAACCGGAACGGAGAAAGGGAGAGAGCGAGAAACAGAGCGCGCACGGCGCTAGTGATCAGGGGAGGGGAGGGGCCGTGTGGTGAGTGTGTGCACTGTGAGTGACACAGGAATAGGAACAGAAAGAGAGAAATGGCAAGCACTGTTAAGCCACCTTAGAAGACTAAAGCTTCTTGCTAGTTATTGATCTTCCCATCTGACTGTAAGTCGCTCTGGATAAGAGCGTCTGCTAAATGACTAAAATGTCAGATGTAAATTACATAGCACCCATCTTGACTGCATCAAACCGAGAGAAGCTAGTTAAGCTAGGCTAATTGAGGCTAGCATACATAACGTTACTGCAACTACAGTTAAAAGCAACAACTCTGTTTGGTCGTTGTAGCCTTTCTTTCTCATTTCACTTTTAAATTCATTTTAATTCCATCTTCCATTGATTAGATAGCTCCTAACTTGCTTACCACACAAGCAGAGCAGCCATGCAATGTTCTCTCTCTCTCTCTCTCTCAGTGGGAGGCGCAAGGAACAGAGCGCATGCCTTTTTTGCAAGTGCTTCCAAATCGCCAACATAGTTGCATGCAGTCCTTATGTTTTGATTTCTAAGACATTCCCAGGTTTATAGGCCTATCACAACTAAAGTTGACAATTAAGTCTAAATGAAGCATATAGGACCCGTTCAAATGATCACTTTTACACTCAACACAGATTAGCCCGATCCATTGCGCACACTCGTCTCACTCTGCAATTGTTTGAGAACAATAACATTTCTTATATATTTAGCTACTGTACCTGTATGTTAACATATTCTTCTTACTATAAAATCATAATATATAAAGCTTGTATTCGTGGATGCTAAACATGTTTGTTAATTAAAAGGTAAATTACCGTGAGACCGGCAGTCAGTTACCGGCTGACCAAATGTCACGACCGCCACAGCCCTAGCAGATATCAATGTGAATCCTCTGTAAGAGGGTGAGAGTAAGAGGATCAGTGGGGTGTGTACCTGGACAGGTCGAGGCTGTGTGGTACTCTAGCCAGGTCGTTGACCAGTCCCTTCTTGAGGAAGAGACGTATGATGTTGTTCATGCCGTTGTGCTGCGTCTTGGCTGCTGCCGTGCTGTAGAAGCTAGAGGTGGATGGACACGACTCCATGATGGTGCTGATGATACACATCACTGCCTGGAGCCTGGGGGGGGGGGGGGGGGGGGGTTGTCAGTAAATCTTTATTATAAACTGCATAATAAAGTCAAAGCATTAACTGGCACTGACGGCTATATTACTCATTACATAACAGTAATAGCTAGTAGGGTTGGGTGGTATCCAGATTTTCATACCGTCTCTGTACCATACCGGGGTTCCGGTATTACCGGAAGTGTACTCAAGGGGCACTATTTCTATATATCAATTATTATTTTTACGCACAAAACAATTTTAGGCAACAGGGATCTTGAATGTCTCTGCTGTAACCAAGAATCTTGATATTGACATCTAGCCACTTAGCTTGCAAGTTGGCAAACCAAATACATAGCTAGAGCCCTGATCTGGATATCATTTATTTTACACATCTTAGATTTCTTATAGTTATACTTAACTGATCATTATAAGCAGCGGCATAGCACGCACCCCCGCAAGGTTGACACCCACACCCAACCCACACACAAACCTGGCGTGTTTCTCCGTGCCCTCTGCCATGGCCAGCGCCCGGCTGAGTGCGGCTTTCACCTCGTTGACCAGGGCCACCTGTGCGTCGGTGCCCGTGCCGGCGGCTGCCAAGCTGGCCAGGAACAGACGTGCCAGGGCTGGGGTGTCCTTATCCTCAGAGCTCTGGGTGTGGGGCAGCAGGTGATCCAGCACGAAGGCTAAGACACTACAGTCCTGCAGGTGGAGAGAGAGCAAGATAAATCCAAGGGAGTCAGGAGGACAAATATTATACTCAACAAATATACAGTAGAACAGTGCAGCATAAGGAGAGAGAAAAGTAGAGTTGGACCCCAGGGTGGTCCAGCAAAATGGCCAGGAGAGAAGAGAGGACTAGAGTAAGGACAATACTGAGGAACCTATTGGACAAACTTCTACATAAAGCCGGTTGGCACGACAATATGCTTTCATTGAAACTCAATGTTAAATTCACATCTTCCTACCATTATATCTAAGCCAATATGACACCAATGTCGTAGACACACTCCCTGCCCCTCGTCATGAGACAACCGGCTGTTACCGAGAACCACATACTGGACTTTAACAGGGTCAATAGCATTAGGGAAAAATACCATTTCTTGCCCCGACCTAGCTCACCATCTAGGTGTCAGATAAGAACGAGACTACAGCGTCCATAAAGTGACCATTAGACTTGCCACCTTTTGGACTGAATAAGTTTTGATTAAATGTATAATTAATCACTCTCACGTGCTTATTTCTGTCCATTAAGAACAAACAACGTGCTACCTTTTGTAGCATTTCTGACAACACCAACATATTTTTTCTAACACATGGTCGAGCAACTCAGTTTTTAATAATCGAACAGAAACCGAACCGACCGCCAAGAGCACAAATCGCTCAGCATTAGTAGGCAGGTTGCTTAGGATTCAAACATTCTCAAACAGCCTAATTCATACTCATCAATGGAATAAAGGACTTTCCAGTCCTGCTACTAAAATAATATATACAGTTGAAGTTGGAAGTTTACATACACTTAGATTGGAGACATTAAAACTTGTTTTTTAACCCCTCCACAAATTTCTTGTTAACAAACTACAGTTTTGGCAAGTCGGTTAGGACATCTACTTTGTGCATGACACAAGTAATTTTTCCAACAATTGTTTACAGACAGATTATTTCACTTCTAATTCACTGTATCACAATTCCAGTGGGTCAGAAGGCTGACTGTGCCTTTAAACAGCTTGGAAAAGTCCATTAAATGACGTCATGGCTTTAGAAGCTTCTGATAGGCTAATTGACACCATCTGAGTCAATTGGAGGTGTACATGTGGATGTATTTCAAGGCCTACCTTCAAACTCTGTGCCTCTTTGCTTGACATCATGGGAAAATCAAAAGAAATCAGCCAAGACTTCAGAAAAAAATTGTAGACCTCCACAATTCTGGTTCATCCTTGGGAGCAATTTCTAAACGCCTGAAGGTACCACGTTCATCTGTACAAACAATAGTACGCAAGTATAAACACCATGGGACCACGCAGCCGTCATACCGCTCAGGAAGGAGACGTGTTTCTGTCTCTGGAGATGAACGTATTTGGTGCGAAAAGAGCAAATCAATCCCAGAACAACAGCAAAGGACCTTGTAAGAAATGATGGAGGCAACAGGTACAACGTACTATTTTTTTTTGTAAATATGAGTCCTAATCAACCATACCTGAAAGCGCCGCTCAAGTACAGAGGAGAAGCACTGCTCCAAACCACCATAAAAATCCACACGTAACTAAGTTTGCAACTCACTGGGACAAAGACGGTACTTTGGCAAAGAAAAGTCCTTGCTCGACAATTAAACAAAAGAGAACGGTTTGCCATACATGACCATGTTATTTTGGAGAAAGGGAAAAAAAAAGGGGGTAACTTGCAAGCCGCGAAGAGGATGGACTTCACAAATAGTATGGCAGCATGAGGAAGGAAAATTGTGGATATATTGTAGCAACATCAAGACATCAGTCAGGAAGTTAAAGTTTGGTCGCAAATGGGTCTTCCAAATGGCCAACGACCCCAAGCATACTTCCAAAGTTGTGTCAAAATGATTTAAGGACAACAAAGTCAAGGTACTGGAGTGGCCATCACAAAGCCCTGACCTCAATCCTATATAAAATGTGTGGGCAGAACTGAAAAAGTGTGTACGAACAAGGAGGCCTACAAACCTGACTCAGTTACACCAGCTCTGTCAGGAGGAATGGGCCAAAATTCACCCAACTTATTGTGGGAAGCTTGTGGAAGGCTACCCGAAACGTTTGACCCAAGTTAAACAATTTAAAGGCAATGCTACCAAATACTAATTGAGTGTATGTAAACTTCTAACCCACTGGGAATGTGATGAAGTACCTTGTAGAGCCGTGTAGCTCAGTTGGTAAAGCATGGCGCTTGAAACGGCAGGGTTGTGGGTTCGATTCCCACGGGGGGCCAGTATGAAGAAAAAAAAAAATGTATGCACTCACTAACTGTAAGTCGCTCTGGATAAGACTAAAATGTAAATTGAAATAAATAAAAGCTGAAATAAATCATTCTCTCTACTATTATTCCGACATTTCACATTCTTAAAATAAAGTGGTGATCCTAACTGACCTAAAACAGGGAATTTGTACTAGGATTAAAATGTCAGGAATTGTGAAAAACTGAGTTTAAATAATGTATTTGGCTAAGGTGTATGTAAACTTCCGACTTCAACTGTATATACACACAGCACCAGTCAAAAGTTTGAACACACTCATTCCAGAGTTTTTCTTTATTTTTACAATGTTCTACATTGTAGAATAATAGTGAAGACATCAAAACTATGAAATAACACATGGAATCATGTTGTAACCAAGAAAGTGTTAAACAAAACAAAATATATTTTATATTTGAGATTCTTCAAAGTAGCCACCCTTTGCCTTGATGACAGCTTTGCACACTTGTCATTCTCTCAAAACAGCTTCATGAGGGAGTCAACTAGAATGCATTTCAATTAACAGGTGTGCCTTGTTAAAAGTTAATTTGTGGAATTTATTTCCTTCTTAATGCGTTTGAGCCAATCAGTTGTGTTGTGACAAGGTAGTAGTGGTATACAGAAGATGGCCCTATTTGGTAAAAGACCAAGTCCATATAATGGTAAAAACAGCTCAAATAAGCAAAGAGAAACAACAGTCCGTCATTACTTTAAGACATGAAGGTCAGTCAATCTGGAAAATTTCAAGAACTGAAAGTTTCTTCAAGTGCAGTCGCAAAAACCATCAAGCGCCATGATGAAACTTGCTCTCATGAGGACCGCCACAGGAAAGAAGTTACCTCTGCTGCAGAGGATAAGTTCATTAGAGTTAACTGCACCTCAAATTACAGCCCAAATAAATGCTTCACAGAGTTCAAGTAACAGACACATCTCAACATCAACTGTTCAGAGGAGACTGCGTGAAATCAGGCCTTCATGGTCGAATTGTTGCAATGAAACCACTACTAAAGGACACCAATAAGAAGAAGAGACTTGCTTGGGCCAAGAAACACACGCACATTTTTAATTGTACCTTTATTTAACTAGGCAATTCAGTTAAGAACAAATTCTTATTTACAATGACGGCCTACAACGGCCAAACCCGGACGACGCTGGGCCAATTGTGCGCCGCCCCAATCACGGCCGGTTGTGATACAGCCTGGAATCGAACCAGGGGGTCTGTAGTGACGCCTCAAGCACTGAGATGCAGTGCCTTAGACCGCTGCGCCACTCGGGAGCCCAATGGACCGGTGGAAATCTGAGATTTTGGGTTCCAACCGCTGTGTCTTTGTGAGACACGGTGTGTGTGAACGGATGATCTCCGCATGTGTGGTTCCCACCGTGAAGCATGGAGGTGGTGGTGTGATGGTGCTTTGCTGGTGACACTGTCAGTGATTTATTTAGAATTCAAGGCACACTTAACCAGCATGGCTACCACAGCATTCTGCAGCGATACGCCATCCCATCTGGTTTGCGCTTAGTTGGACTATCATGTTTTTCAACAGGACAATGACCCAAAACACACCTCCAGGCTGTGTAAGGGCTATTTGACCAAGAAGGAGAGTGATGGAGTGCTGCATCAGATGACCTGGCCTCCACAATCCCCCGACCTCAACCCAATTGATGATTTTGGATGAGTTGGACCGCAGAGTGAAGGAAAAGCAGCCAACAAGTGCTAAGCATATGTGGGAACTCCTTCAAGACTGTCGGAAATGCATTCCAGGTGAAACTTGTTGAGAGAATGCCAAGAGTGTGCAAAGCAGTCATCAAGGCTAACGGTGGCTACTTTGATGAATATAAAATATATATTTGTTTAACACTTTTTTGGCTCCAACATGATACCATATGTGTTATTTCGTAGTTTTGATGTCTTCACTATTATTCTACAATGTAAAAAATAGTAAAAAATAAAGAAAAACCCTTGCATGAGTAGGTGTGTCCAAACTTTTGACTGGTAAATATAAACGCCACATGCAACAATTGCAAAGATTTTACTGAGTTACAGTTCATATGAGGAATTCAGTCAATTTAAATAACATTAGGCCCTAATCTATGGATTTCACATGACTGGGCAGGGCACCAGCTATGGGTGGGCCTTGAAGGGCAAAGGCCCACCCACTTGGCAGCCAGGCCCACCCACTGGGGAGCCAAGGCCAGCCAATCAGATTGAGTTTTTCCCCACAAAAAGGATTTATTACAGACAGAAATACTTCTCAGCACCCCGCTCCACATGACCCCGCAGGTGAAAAAGCTGGATGTGGAGGTCCTGGGCACATGGTCTGTGGTTGTGAGGCCAGTTGGACGTAGTGCCAAATTCTCTAAAACAAAAATTAACAAAATTCTCTGGCAACAGTTCTGGTGGACATTCTTGCAGTCAGCATACCAATTGCACGCTCCCTCCAAACTTGAGACATCTGTGGTAGTGTTGTGTGACAAAACTCTACATTTTAAAGTGGCCTTTTATTGTCCCCAGCACAAGGTGCACCTGTGTAATGATAATGCTTTTCAATCAGCTTCTTGATATGCCACACCTGTCAGGTGGATGGATTATCTTGGCAAAGGACAACTGCTCACTAACAGGGATGTAAACAAAATTGTCCACAAAATTTGAGATAAACAAGCTTTTTGTGTGTATGGAACATTTCTGGGATTTTTATTTCAGCTCATGAAACATGTTGCGTTTATATTTTTGTTCAGTGCATGTACGGTGCATTCGGAAAGTATTCAGACCCCTTCACTTTGTTACGTTACAGACTTATTCTAAAATGGATTAAATAAATAAAAATGTTCCTCAATCTACACACAATACCCCATAATGACAAAGCGAAAAGAGTTTGAAAGTTTTTGCAAATATATTAAAAATTATATTAAAAAACAGAAAAACCTTATTTAGATAAGTATTCAGACTCAAAATTGAGCTCAGGTGCATCCTGTTCCCATTGATCATCCTTGACATGTTTCTACAACTTGATTGGAGTCCACTTCTGGTAAATTCAATTGATTGGAAAACGCACACACGTGCCTATATAAAAAGGCCCCACAGTTGACAGTGCATGTCAGAGCATTAACCAAGCCATGAGGTCGAAGGAATTATCCGTAGAGCTCCGAGACAGGATTGTGTCGAGGCACAGTCTGGGGAAGGGTACCAAAACATTTCTGCAGCATTGAAGGTCCCCAAGAACACAGTGGCCTCCATTTTTAAATGGAATAAGTTTGGAACCACCAAGACTCTTCCTAAAGCTGGCCGCCCGGCCAAACTGAGCAATTGAGGGACAAGGGCTTTGGTCAGGGAGGTGACCAAGAACCCGATGGTCACTCTGACAGAGCTCCAGAGTTCCTCTGTGGAGATGGGAGAACCTTCCAGAAGGACAACCATCTCTGCAGCACTCCACCAATCATGCCTTTATGGTAGAGTGGCCAGACGGAAGCTACTCCTCAGTAAATGGAACATGACAGCCCACTTGGAGTTTGCCAAAAGGCACCTAAAGGACACTGACCATGAGAAACAAGATTCTCTGGACTGATGAAACCAAGATTGAGCTCTTTGGCCTGAATGCCAAGCGTCACGTCTGGAGGAAACCTGGCAACATCCCTACGGTGAAGTATGGTGGTGGCAGCATCATGCTGTGGGGATATTTTTCAGAGGCAGGGACTGGGAGACTAGTCAGGATCGAGGGAAAGATGAACGGAGCAAAGTACAGAGAGATCCTTGATGAAAACCTGATCCAGAGCGCTCAGGACCTCAGACTGGGGCGAAGGTTCACCTTCCAACAGGACAACAACCCTAAGCACACAACGCAGGAGTGGCTTCGGGACAAGTCTCTGAATGTCCTTGAGTGGCCCAGCCAGAGCCTGGACTGACAGAGCTTGAGAGGATCTGCAGAGAGGAACGGGAGAAACTCCCCAAATAGACTTGAGGCTGTAATAGCCGCTTCAATGTACTGAGTAAAGGGTCTGAATATTTATGTAAATGTAATCTCAGTTTTATTTATTTTGATACATTTGCAAAAAATATCTAAAAACCTGTTTTTGTTTTGTCATTATGGGGTATTGTGTGTAGATTGATGAGGAAAAAATGCAATTTAATCCATTTTAGAATAAGGCTGTAACGTAACAAAGTGAAGGGGTCTGAATACTTTCTGAATGCACTGTGTGTGTATATATCTATCTATCTCATTAGGCTGTATGTATTTTTAGATATAGGCCTAGTGTAAATGTGTATTATTCTAGCGTCACAATCTCTACTGCAAATAGAAATACAAACATAACTTTAGACTACATATTAACTTGACAGAGCACAGCAATCGATAAAACAGGACCATGTTTTCAAAACAAGTGGTTCTGAGCTTAGGTCAAGATTACACAGGTAAGCTAATGATTACAGAAACCAGGAATGTAGACAGGCTGTAAAGACCTCTATCTATATGAGTGACTGTGTACTACACACCACTAGCTGCTGTTCTGTTGGGCACCTACTGACCCAAAAATATTTGTTATGTATTGCCAAAATAAAGGTTGAAGGAAATACAGGCAGACACCACATCACTACAAGACAAAACAGCTTACTCAATCTTGTAAGTATGAAAGCAAAGCTTTTGGTGTGTGTAGAATCCAATACTTTACATTGTATGCAGTACAAACTCCCATTATTGTGGGAGCACCTCCTCTAAGAGTCTGAATTAGGCTGTTTGAGAAGGTCTGAATCCTAAGCAACCTGCCTACACAAGTTGTTTGAAGTACAATGGACCAACATAGCTACTTTAGTAGGTCAAAGTGTGATGGAAAACCTTGGTAGAGCATGAGTGGAGTAGGCATTGTGGTGCTCAATGTGAATTTGCTTTCTTTTTCGGCTTAAGACCAATGCCGCCGCCTTATTTAATACATCGTTTTTTGTTTTTAAAATATACATATAATCCTGTAGGGCACAGAGAGAGAGGACTCGAGTCCGGTCAAATAGAAACAATGCTCTGTAGATAGGGGTGAGAACAGGTGGGTCTGGGCAGGTGTGACGCCGTTGATGTTTGTGTGCGTCTGTATGTTGTCTTTTGTTTGTAATATTTGAACAACTAAAAGAACAAAACAATTTTTTTACTTTTCCTCAGATGAGGTTGAAGTTATGGCTATGGCAACACAGGGATGGGAAGAGTTGAACAGGAGTTTATCAACAATGCGTTTTCAAGTATTGAAAGCAGGGTTTACCAAACTCTGTCCTCGGGACCCCAAGGGGTGCACGTTTTGGTTTTTGCCCTAGCACTACACAGCTGTTTCAAATAATTAACTGATCATCAAGCCTTGATCATTTGAATCAGCTGTGTAGTGTTAGGGCAAAAACTAAAACGTGCACCCCTTGGGGTCCCGAGGACAGAGTTTGGGAAACGCTAACTTAAAGCTTTGATCCCTTTGGGTACTTTATGCAAAATGTATTAAGTGTAGTAAAAATCTCAATACAAATAGATTGCGAAAAATTGACGTTTTGTCCAGGCGAACCAACCCACCTCCTTGATGAGCTCAGACTGTCCGGCCGTGTAGCCGTAGGATGCTATGAGGGTGGCGATGCCCACATAAGACCTGACCAGCTCTGCCAGGAGCCTCAGGATGGTGGAGGTGGGCATCAAGGGCTTGGCCCCCTTAACCTCCTCTGAGCTGGCTCCCTTTTCACCCTCCACCTCCTTCTTCTCCTCACGCATCTCCTCTGGAGTAGAGGCTGGGGAGAGGACATGAGGGAGAGGAGGCAAGAGGAGAGATTAGGATCAAGCGGGGGCAGAGAGGTGTTTATAGGCATGTTAGAACACATTTTCAAGAATACACTTGTGACAAAATCATTTTTCATTAAATTTTGTACATTTTACATTTTTGTTATTTAGCAGACGCTCTTATCCAGAGTGATTTACAGTTAGTGAGTGCATACATTTTTCATTAAAAAAAAAAAGTCATACTTCCAATACATTTAAATTAAATCTTGTGTAAATACACTATATTGTATATTTTCATCCTAAAATGTAATCAAACCAAGGGGAGAAGTGTAAGGATGTAAATGCGGTCAGTACCAGTAGAGGCTGGAGGTGAAGAGGAGGGAGGGAGTGTCTCACCTTCTCCCTGGGGCGTGCCAGACTGAGAAGAGTCAGCCACAGCACCATCCGCAGTAAACACCTGGGCCTGAGAGAGTGAGGAGAGGGGGGGGGGAAATATGACCTACCACATCTAGACTAATACAGCAGTTTTCAAAACATACGTTTCCATTGACAACACTCACTCTTGGGTCCTGTTCAATCGGTGGAAAAACGTTTTGAAACGGAGAGGTATAACCTGAACTTCCAATAAGAACACATCTTCTGTTTTCTTTTGCAAAACCCCTACTGAAACAGGACCATGGCCAGAAGGACTCTCAAACAGCCAGCCAGACATGACACTTACGTTGATGTGGAAAGCGGACTGTGAGTCGAAGTCACTGCCCTGTCTGGTGAGTCTGTACTGCTGGTAGACATCATCATCCTGGAGGATCTGACACAGGTCCTGCCCCCCGGGCACCGGCACCGCCACCGCAGGCTCCTCTGGACGCTCAGCTACACGAGACACACACAGGAAGTTAGCCCACAGAACCTTCCACTTTACACACATGTAGCTACAAGGCAACATACACTGAGTGTACAAAACATTAGGAACACCTGCTGTTTCCATGACATAGACTGACCAGGTGAATCCAGGTGAAAGCTATGATCCCTTACTGATGTCACTTGTTAAATCCACTTCAATCAGTGTAGATGAAGGGGAGGAGACAGGTTAAAGAAGGATTTTTAAGCCTTGAGACAATTGAGACATGGATTGCGCATGTGTGCCATTCAGAGGGTGAATGGGCAAGAAAAATTATTTAAGTGCCTTTGAAGGGCGTATGGTAATAGGTGCCAGAAGCACCGGTTTGTGTCAAGAACTGCAATGCCGCTGTGTTTTTCACTCAACAGTTTCCCGTGTGTACCAGGAATGGTCCACCACCCAAAGGACAACCAGCCAACTTGACACAAATGTGGGAAGCATTGGAGTCAACATGGGCCAGCATCCCTGTGGAATGCTTTCAACCCCTTGTAGAGTCCATGCCCCGATGAATTGAAGCTGTTCTGAAGGCAAAAGGGGGTGCAACTAAATATTAGGAAGGTGTTCTTAATGTTTTGTACACTCAGTGTATGGCTACAGGGCTCGCTGTCTCAATCTTTTGTCGATTCCTTGCATCCTCTCTCCTCCCCTCCTTCTCCTAATGCATTAGAGACTAAGAACCGAGGGGAGGGACCTTGGACCTTCTCCAATACAGTTGAGGTGGTGGCGAGGACATAGGATGCAAGGTATGGAGTAAACCCAAATTGGGATAGGGCGCTTGTGTGAGTGTCTTACCCTCTTCAGGTGCGTGGTAGGCGGCCAGGGCGTTGAGCATGTCATAGATGACCTCTTTGATGGTGTCAGGGATGGGGGGCAGTGGAGACAGCTTGAGGGGGGTGGTTTTCACCAGCTGCACCGCGTTGGGCCCCTTGATACGCAGGTTCTCAAACTCATCATCTGACACTGAGCAGAGCGAGAGAACGACATCAACAACTAAACACTTAAAGCAACCACACACACCATCACATTAAGTCACACTGTAAAATAGGTGCACTAGCTGAGAGCTATAGGTGCAAGCGGATCGTTGACTAGCCACAGGTCTGTCTGAGATATTCAAGACGTATTCAGAAGTAGTTTCATAAAGATTTGGTCACCACACCACACTGTTTAGCATGGTCCTTCAAGCCGGATAGACCTGTGGACATTGAAATATCATTTTTTCCCCCTATCAGAGTGTTTTAACATACCCGTACCAGCTCCACGTTTCCCCCTATCAGAGTGTTTTAACATACCCGTACCAGCTCCACGGGGTGCGGGCAGGGCGATGCGGACGCAGCTGTTGGCCGTGTCAGCGAAGCAGTCTGGGTTACGGCAGGCGGCAGGGCCCAGAACACGCAGGATGTAGTTGATCTCTCTGGAGCCCAGAGAGCCTGAAACCACACCTGACGTGGTGCTGCCCGCCCCGCTGGTCACTGCTGACCGTACCACCTAGAAAGGGCAGACAGACAGTCACTCAGTGCAAATCCCAAATGGCTATATTGCACTACATTTTAACACTGACTGGGGGGTTTATCTCAACAGTCTAAAGTGTGTTCCTCTCAGTTTATCCTTGCCTTTAGCTGCACTGATCAGAAAATAGTGGAAATAATAGGTTAAAGTGTTCCAGTACCTTCTCCATGGTGTGGCGTAGCGTGGCGGGGTCCTCGATTATGTGTCTGAACAGCAGCGTGACCAGGGGTGTGAAGCCGTTGAACCCCGACCCCTGCGTCAGCCCCAAGATCATCCTGGTACTCTTCAGCTCAGCAAACATCATGGCGTAGTGGTGGGTCCTCGTCAGGCGCAGGCACAGCCTGAAGAATAATTATAAAAACACATTTAGTCCAATTGATGCCAGTCCTTCCTGTGCAATTTATATATAGATGCATTTTATGTTACGTACTTGCAGTTGTGATTCAAGTGTCATTTTATGACTGCCGCAAACCAATTTCCCATTTTGGATCAGTAAAATAAACTACTACATTTGATTTGTACAGCACTTTTCTTGACCCTTTTCAGCTTTCAACAAGTACATAGAGTAGCCAGCCAAATAGAAAAAGTAGACAGTCAGGTACCCCCGGGCCTGGGTTCAAAATATTTTGCTGATATTACCTCCATTTTGGTAGCATCTAGCACATTCTAATGCCTTGATTCCATCCGAAATACACAGCGAAATTATATGATCTGGACTATTTCCTAAGTAAGTTTTTTTTAAATACATTTCATCTTCAAGATTAAAGTCTTATTTACAGTTTTACTGCAAGATGAATTGCCACAACATTGGAGGCTTGGGAGGTATCAATATTGTCATACCTTCATACCGACCTTGTGCCATAGCGGGATATTCGGTAATAACGGCACTGAACAGAAGGAGTGCTATTTCCAAACCCCACTGAGCCTTTGTAATCTCAAGGTTAGCAATGCTAACAAACAGATGTAGAATCCCATAGAGAATGCTAACGAGCGCATTGCGAACATTTTATACAGTCTCTGACCTAAATTATTTGCAGGACAGACATCCCAGCTCAACGTTATACAACTAGCTCAAAAATGCTACTCACAGTTTGCTGCACGCACAAAATAAACATTAGACAGCAAGGCTCTTGATCTAGGAGGGGATTCTCTGCTGTTACCAAGCAAAACTTTACTATGGAAGAGGTTAACCACTTAGCTAACAAGCTAATAACTTAGCAAACCAAAAATGCACAACTGCAGAGAATTTAGCACAACTTAATAGTTATAAGATATTTAGCTGGTAAACATTTAGTTGTGAATTCCATACTACTGCACAACACTGAGTGACTCACAAGGCTCCGGTCTCTCATCGTTGTATGCTTGTAAACACCACGTGACTGGGGACAACCAGTAAGCTTCATAATGAAAGATTGTGTGACATGTGAAATGAACTCGATCTTCCTTATCTCCTAATGTATTGCACAAGTTGACTGCAGGTATTAACTTAAAAAGTAGCTACAAATATTCAAATGTATAAAAATTAAAATGTCAAAGAAAGTTTAAACAATATTGACAGTATTGAAAAAACATCCTTTGGCTATTTCCAAATACCCCGGTATATGGTATACCGCCCAAGCCTAGTTCCAAGTCCACAACGATGCTTAAACCAAATCAGGAAACCACTTTTGAGGTCTGGGAAAAATCTGAGAAATGTAGATTTTTGTGTGTAGTTACCCTTTAATTCAAGTGTGCACCTAGCAAGAGGCTGTTGTTTTCCATAAGATTCCAGACATAAAATAACAAACTAAAAGTAGGAACCTTAGTGTGGCGTGGAGTGTGTCTGGGTCCACAGGGACACTGATCATGGAGACACAGGCTCTGATGAGCACCGTGGTCATGTCCTCCGTCAGGCCCTGCACCACGATGGCTCCTCCTGCCCCGGTGCGTTCAGACGTGGGGTCCAGGGGGGCGGGAGGAGCAGAGGGACCGGAGGAGGACTCCTTTAGTTGAGTGGTAGCGTTGTCGTCTTTAGGAGCACTCATCTCCACGGCTAATGGGGCAGAGTCTGAAAGAGACAGAGGGGGATTTGACTGTGGTATACAACTAGAGAAATGGTATGCATACATTTTTCATCTAAACAAAGTGGGCTTTGTGACTATAGCAATGTCTAATAAAAGGTAAACACTTCACCTTAACATTTTGCTTATAAAACACTGGAGTTGCTCATATTTCTTCCAAAGCTATAAATCTACAGTGCTTATCGAAAGCATTCACACCCCTTTTTCCACATTTTGCCGTATTACAAATTGGGACGAAAATTGATTTAATTATCTTTTTTTGTTGTTGATCTACACTAATCCTTAAAAAAAAATCTGAAAAATAAAGATGAAAAATAAAACAGTATTATATCTTCATTAGATAAGTAGTCAACCCCCTGAGTCAATATATGTTTAGAATCCCCTTTTGCAGCGATTCCAGCTGTGAGTCTTTCTGGTTAAGTCAAAGAGCTTCCACACCTGGATTGTAAATATTTGTTCATTCTTTTTCAACTCTTCAAGCTCTGTCAAGTTGGTTGTTGATCATTGCTAGACAGCCATTTTCAAGTCTCGCCATAGATTTTCAAGCCGATTTAACTCAAAACGGTAACTAGGCCACTCAGGAACATTCTATGTTGTCTTGGTAAGCAACTCCAGGGTATATTTGGACGTGTGTTTTAGGTTATTGTCCTGCTGAAAGGTACATTTGTCTTCCAGTGTCTGTTGGAAAGCAGACAACCAGGTTATATTTTGCCTGTGCTCCGCACTATTCAGTTTATTTTTAAAATCAACAAAAAAACAAAAATCTAGTCCTTGCCGATGACGAGCATATCCATAACATGATGCAGCCACCACCATGCTTGAAAATATTAAGTGGTACTCAGTGATATGTTTGCCCCAAACATAACACTTTGTAGTCAAAACATAAAATACATTTCTTTGGCCACATTTTTGGCAGTTTTACTTTAGCGCCTTACTGCAAACAGGATGCATGTTTTGGAATATTTTTATTCTGTACAGGCTTCCTTATTTCACGGTGTCATTTAGGTAAGTATTGTGGAGTAACTACAATGTTGATCCATCCTCAGTTGTCTCCCATCACATCCATTAAACTCTGTAACTGTTTTAAAGTCACCATTGGCCTCATGGTGAATTCCCTGAGCGGTGTCCTTCCTCTCCGGCTACTGAGTAAGGAAGGACTCCTGTATCTTTGTAGTGACTGGGTGTATTGATACACCATCCAAAGTGTAATTAATAACTTCACCATGCTCAAAGGGATATTCAACGTCTGCTTTTTTTTTTACCCATCTACCAATAGTTTCCCTTCTTTGAGAGGCATTGGAAAACCTCCCATGTCTTTGTGGTTGAATCTGTGTTTGAAATTCATTGCTCGACTGAGGGACCTTACAGATAATTGTATGTGTGGGGTACAGAGATGAGGTAGTCATTCAAAAATCATGTTAAACACTATTATTTCACAGAGTGAGTCCATGCAACCCATCATGTGAATTAAGCAAATTTTTACTCCTGAACTTATTTAGGCTTGCCATAAAGGGATTGAATACTTATTGACCCAAGACATCAGCTTTTCATTTTTAATTAACAACAAAAATATTCCACTTTGATATTATAGGGTATTGTGTGTAAGCCAGTGACACAAAATCTTAATTTAAATTCAGGCTGTAACATCAAAATGTGGAAAAAGTCAAGGGGTGTGAATACTTTCTGAAGGCACTGTAGAAGGCAGTATATGTCCATTATCTGGGTCCCTCTACCCTACGCCTTGCCCCTGTCCCTGTCATCAGTCTCAGGTATCTGTTTGAGGCTATACTAGAATGGTAGCTCCTATCTAGTAGTAGTTGATCCAATCATTACCTGGGTCTGTCTGTGTCTCCTCTACCTTGCCCCTGTCCCCCTCCTCCCTCTCCGAGTCCGTCATGCTGCCAGCTTTGGCAGGTTTAGGAACGCGAGGCACTCTCTGGACCGTCAGCATCACCGGACGACGGTTACCAGTCTCTTCATTCACCTGGAATTTAACAATAATATAGAAGGCAATGGTTTCCCAAACCCAAATTATGTCCATAACTGGACTGAAAAGCACTTTCAATGAATACTCTCCATTGAGCATGCTATTAAGACCAGGATTTATTAAAGTATTCTTAAGTCTGATGATAAAAATATATGCTCCACTGTTTGTCGACTCTGTTCATTTGTTTGAGTGGTCTGTATAAAAAAAGAGACCTACACTCACCGGCGAGTTTATTAGGTACACCACTACTTTCACGAGAATGAATCGCTCCTACGTGGCCGTGGATTGCTATATAAAGCAGGCAGACAGGCATAGAGGCATTCAGTTACTGTTCGATTGAACATTAGAATGGGCAAAACAAGTGAACCTAAAAGACTTGGAGCGTGGTATGATCATCGGTGCCAGGCCAGCCAGATCCAGTATCTCAGAAACGGCCACCCTCCTGGGCTTTTCACGCACAACAGTGTCTAGGGTTTCCCGAGAATGGTGTGACAAACAAAAAAACATTAGTCAGCGGCAGTCCTGTGGGCGAAAACAACTCATTGATGAGAGGTTGAAGGAGAATGGCAAGAATCATGCAAGCTAACAGGCGGGCCACAAGCAGACTAATAACGGCGCAGTACAACAGTGGTGTGCAGAACGGCATCTCAGAAAGCACAACTCATCGATCCTCGTCATGGACGGGCTATTGCAGCAGACAGCCACACCGGGTTCCACTCCTATCAGCTAAAAACAAGAAGAAGCGGCTCTAGTGGGAACTTGATCACCAACACTGGACTATTGAGGACTGTAAAAACATTGCCTGGTGCGACGAATCCCGGTTCCTGTTGCGTCATGCTGATGGCAGAGTCAGGATTTGGTGTAAGCAGCATGAGTCCATGGACCCATCCTGCCTGGTGTCAACGGTACAGGCTGGTGGCGGTGGTGTACCGCCGTCCCATCTGCAGCAACTGCGTGATGCCATCGCGTCAGCATGGACCAACATCCCTGTGGAATCCTTGTAGAATCCATGCCCCGAAGAATTCAGGCTGTTCTGGAGGCAATGGGGGGTACGACCCGGTACTAGATGTGTGTACCTAATAAACTGGCCATTGAGTGAGTGAGTATGTATATATCTATCTCTGTACCTGGACCATGGTGTTGAACTGTACGGTGTATCTCCTGCGTCCGGCGGTGAATCGTACGCTGCTCTCCCCGGCCCTCCAGGCTGAGTCTATAGTGCCGTTGTTAGAGGCAGAGTAGCTGCACCAGCGCCCCGACCTGTCGTCAAACCAACGCCAGTTATTACCGTTGGGCTGCAGGTACTGGAGAGAGGGGAGGGGGTGGGGGGACGGAAAGGATGAGAGCAGGGAATAAAAAGTATTTTTTTTTGTAGTGAGAGAAGGTTGAGTGAAAGACCAGACATGGCGATACGATGGTAATCACACACATATCCTATAATGTGGGTTAATCTTTATGTTGCACGGGGACGATCCTCTTACCTTGTTCATCTGCGCTCTGCGTTTGGATGAAACAGCCATTTTCTCGTAGAAGTCAATGATCAGCAGCACTGGAGTAATCCACCTGTACAGAGTCGGACAGACAACGTTCAGTCGTGTTGTACATTGCCTTTTGTCTGACAGGCGCAACGCTTATACATTTACCTCACCTAAGTACGGGAAAAAGTATCGCTCTAATAAGAAAAAAACAAAGATAGTTCATGCTGCCATTTCTAGCAGGACAGTATATTTCTGATGGTCATTCATTTCTGCACGTGTGCTAGCTAGCTAGGTAATCTCTCTAGCGGTCCTTTAGCCAGGGGGTGGCAGAGCCATGTATTTAGAGACTTGGACAATTGGTGTTTCTGCATTATGATGCATTTACATGAATGACACTTCAACATATTATGGCAACCATGTTAACTCCCATTATAACTAGATGGGAAATATTTAAATAATGCTATGTAACTGAATTAGAACAATATTCAAAATTCTAAAAGTTGGCCCAACTCTCTAAACACACAGCTCTGGGGGGTGCTACTCACTTGGGCGTCTGGATGTCCTTCTGCTCCTTGGCAGCCTGCAGACAGGGCTGCACCACCTCCAGCAGCTTGATGAGCACATTGAGGATCCCACTGTTCTCCACCACCCTGGCACACGACAGCTTCAACTCCTACAGGAAACAGAAGACAGCATGGATCAGCATTCAGGGCCGGTGGGTGTGTGTGAGGAAGGAATTACAGTGCATCTATTTCTCTGTCACAAAATTAGTTTGAGCAGTAGGATGTTTTTCTCTCTGTGTGTGTGTGTGTGTGTGTGTGTGTGTGTGTGTGTGTGTGTGTGTGTGTGTGTGTGTGTGTGGGTACCTCAAAGAGCAGTGTGAGCAGCAGGATGCGTGTTGCCAGGTTGGACGCCTGGGGCAGGGTCGCCATCTGTCTGGTCCACTCTGACACCGTCTTGGTGTCGCTGGTGGTCAGGGGTATTGCTGCCTTGATCAGCACGTCTGCTGCCTCCCACACCTATACATGTCAAAGTTCACATGCTGTAGTAGATCACACCTTGACATTGCACACATACAGGACACAGAAAACTCACATAATTGGTGTAGACGGTCACAAGGACAAGCCTACAGCTTTAGACCCAGAGGTCATTAACAGTGACAACATTTGCAATCTTCATCACTACTCCAAGGCATTCACCGGTTGGTATTACACGTACCTGGTTGACGACCTGTCGTAGGATGAGGTCCCTGTACTCGGGGCCGCTCCTCTTGATAGCGGTCATGAGCAAGTCACAGAGACGGTAGACTGTGTCTGGCAGCTCGTCCAGCAGGTGGAAACAGCCGGGCAGCATGGAGTCAGTGAAGGCGTGGAGCTCCGTACTGTCCAGGGGCTCAGCCTCCAGGAACCTCTCCAGGCAGCGAGCCTCCTCCTCCTCCGTACGCTCCCTGGCTCTCCTGTCGTCCTCCTCGCGACGACGCGCCGCCTCCTGAGAGAAAGATGGAGGGAGGGAATGTGAGCACCTGTGGGGGTGAAGTGGTGTTGGCCAAGTTTCAGAAACACCCCCCAACCAATTTGTGTATAGATCTGAGAGAACCGTATAGATAAAAGCAATTAGGCTAATATTTCACCAAACCTATGAAATTAAAATGTGGCGCTGCAACAATAAATATAATTCTAGTTACGATATTGTCTATACCCAGTGTTTTCCACTAGCGCCGGCTGTCGGCTATACAGCCGATTACAGAGTCATTTTCCGCCGGGTACTTTTTCCACTTAAAATTAACTAGGCTACTTTTCAATTCGCTAGTAAGAAGAAAAAATACACGCAACTTCTAGCGATCTATTGATAGGACAGGAGCCTGTCAGTCAAAGTGAGCGATGACAGGGACACACTGCTGGTTTGACGGTCTGTCCCGCCTCTCTGTACCTGTGTGTGTGTGTGTGTGTTGTGTGCACTGTGGTCGCAGTCAAATTTCTTTACACTGCGGGAGAGTGCATGAATTTACACATCCCATATAATGTGAGGGAATTTGCATGTCCAATATGTGGTAACGATGAGTCGAAATCCACTTAGCCAATTGTTTTCTGGCACATTCATTTATTTTCCTTTTGCATGCAGGGTCCGACATTAACGTTGGCCCCCTGGCAGTAAAAACATGTGGGCCAATAACTTTTCAGCTCATCTTTTCATTCCATTTCAACATTTGCCTGCTCTGTCGCGCTCTACCATTGAAGACTACACACGTAAATGTCATGCTATTTGTATTTGAGCAATATGATTGGCCGTTCATTCAAGCACCACCACTCTCCCGCGAGTCACAACTTCGAGCAGTACATAGGTTGATGCCGTCACACAGCACACGAGCTGCACAGAGCAAAAATACATGCCAATCAATCTACTCACTGAGCTTATTTACTGTCAGGGAAAGTAAACCTTCGATAGTGAACATACTAGCAATATGCTGGCTACTGTTGATAGTCTGCAAAAAGACACGTAGCATTAGTCTTGGCTAGCCTACCATAGTCATTTTGAGATCTCTTTTGGAACATTTGTCTTAAAGGGGCAGCATCCTATTTTCAAATCTTCTAAAAAATACATACTTTAAACAAAAATGAAAGCAATTAATACAATGCAATTCTAAATAATAGAGTCATGACTTATATTAATTATATTACACAGCTTTTTAACACATCATAATAACCAAATGTAGCCTATTAATAGCTGAATAGGTCTATAGAGAGAAAGCATGCCAACCTATAGGCCCTGCATGACCCCAATGAAATTCTGATGGGCCAGTGAGAAAAAAAGTTACCGTTGGACCCTGGCGTGTTTCATATGCAGCCAAGGAGTGGTGACGCTGTTCCTCAATCAAAGCACAGTAAATAGCAGATGCAAGCTTGACTAGTTTATAAAAGACGGTGAATCCTCCTAACTGCAGGAACGATAGGTAGGCTAGTGGTCCAAAATATAAAAGAAAACTGATTGCATTGTTTTAAACCTATTGATACTTAAACGGTATTTTCAAAAGATTGATATAGGTCTACTGACTTAACCGGAGTGTTGGCAATGGAGTAGTCAACTGCTGCTTTCAGTGTAGCAAAGCCCATGTTTAACACCTGCGTCATTCTTCTATCATACCTGTATTGCAGACTCTTACATGATTCTTTAAAGGCCCAGTATAGTCCAAATATTTTTTCCCCTGTGAATTATATCATGTTGTACAACAGCTGATGAAACTAACACTGTAAAAGTGTGAAAAAAAGTAGTGTTATTTCCTGAAATTTGCTGGTTGAAAATCTAATCTAGGATTAGAATGTGCCAGAGGCCACCAAAATAGCACTTGTTGGGCAAAGATGTCTTAACCGGAGGAGCCTGGCTGGATCCTTCTTCCATTTGGCTGGCTACTCCATGCGCTTGTGGAAAACACTATCATTTTACATTTTAGTCATTTAGCAGACACTCTTATCCAGAGCGACTTACAGGAGCGATTAGGGTTAAGTGCCTTGCTCAAGGGCACATTAACAGATTTTTCACCTAGTCGGCTCAGGGATTCAAACCAGCAACCTTTCGGTTACTTGCCCAATGCTCTGAACCGCTAGGCTACACACCTATCCAATACTTTCAGATCTACACAAGTGCCTAGGGTGTATTGTAGACTCCACAGCTTGTTTCTGGAGGGGGTCCTGGTTATTCATTCATGAGCCGTCGTCCATTCATTCATCAATATGTTCTCTCCGTATGCCTGTGAGTGGGGCGTGTCTGTGTGTGTGTGGCGGCGCACCTCGGGCGAATCAGAGCGCTGTTCCATGCTGACCTCTTGTCCCAGAGACATGGCGATGGCTCTCATCATCTGGTCCTCTTCTGACATGGTCATGTCCTACAGACAAACGAACAGAGCAGTACACTTAATACACATTACGGGAGGGGACGTGTGTGTTCCTGTGTGTGTTCTGGTGCATGTGTGTGTTCTGGTGCATGTGCGTGTTCCTGTGTGTGTGCGTGTAATATGAGCATATAGTGTGTCAATGGAACGTGGCTGAGTGTGCATGTGTCTTGTGTGTATGTGGTCTTACCCTGACGGCTCCGCTGAGTAGAGGAGGAGGGTGTGTGAGCAGGTACTCTGTGGCCTGCTCCATGGTGCTGGTGTTGACCAGGGCCTCCATGGCATGCTCTCTGGAGAAACCCATGTCCATCAGCTAGATACAGGAGAGAACAAGGGTTAAAGAGGAGAGAGACAGAGAGCGAGAGAGACAGAGCGAGAGCGAGAGCGAGAGAGAGAGAGAGAGACAGAGCGAGAGAGAGAGCGAGAGAGAGAGAGACAGAGCGAGAGAGAGCGAGAGAGAGAGCGAGAGAGAGAGAGAGAGAGAGCGAGAGCGAGAGAGAGAGCGAGAGCGAGAGCGAGAGAGAGACAGAGCGAGAGAGAGAGACAGAGCGAGAGCGAGAGACAGAGCGAGAGCGAGAGACAGAGCGAGAGCGAGAGACAGAGCGAGAGAGAGAGACAGAGCGAGAGAGAGAGACAGAGCGAGAGAGACAGAGCGAGAGACAGACAGAGCGAGAGAGAGAGACAGACAGAGCGAGAGAGAGAGACAGAGCGAGAGAGAGAGGACAGAGCGAGAGAGAGACAGAGCGAGCGAGAGAGAGACAGAGCGAGCGAGAGAGAGACAGAGCGAGCGAGAGAGAGACAGAGCGAGCGAGAGAGAGACAGAGCGAGAGAGAGAGAGACAGAGCGAGAGAGAGAGAGACAGAGCGAGAGAGAGAGAGAGAGCGAGAGAGAGAGACAGAGCGAGAGAGAGACGAGAGAGAGAGAGAGAGCGAGAGAGAGAGAGACAGCGAGAAAGAGAGAGAGACAGCGAGAAAGAGAGAGAGACAGCGAGAGAGAGCGAGACAGAGAGCACAGGACAGGGTTAGAGGATAAACAGGTCACAGGACAGGGTTAGAGAACAATTCCATCTAGGGAGTTTTTCCCTAGCCATCGTGCCTCTGCATTACTTGCTCTTTGGTGTTTTAGGCTGGGTATCTGTAAAGCACTGTGACTGCTGATGTTTGTGTGTGTGTGTGTGTGTGTGTGTGTGTGTGTGTGTGAGTGAGTGAGAGAGAGAGTGCATAACAGAGAGCACAAAAAAGAGAGCGAGAGATAAACAGTGAGAAAAGGAGCAGACCAACGGCTAAGGCACAGTGTGATCAGTGAGTCAATCTCAGCATTATATACAGTGACCATACAAAACATTAGGAACACCTGCTCTGTCCATGACAGACTGAGAGGTTGAATCCAGGTGAAAGATATGATACCTTATTGATGTCACTTGTTAAATCCACTTCAATCAGTGTAGATGAAGGGGAGGAGACAGGTTAAAGAAGGATTTTTAAGCCTTGAGACAATTAAGACATGGATTGTGTGTGTGTGCCATGGAGAGGGTAAATGGGCAAGAAAATATTTAAGTGTCTTTAAACAGGGTATGGTAGTAGGTGGCAGGCGCACCGGTTTGTGTCAACATTGGAGTCAACATGGGCCAGCATCCCTGTGGAACACTTTAGACACCTTGTAGAGTCCATGCCCAGACAAACTGAAGATGTTCTGAGGCCAAAAGGGAGGGGTGCAACTCAATATTAGGAAGGCGTTCCTAATGTTTTGTGCACTCAGTGTACATTTCAAAATCATCCATTATGTTCTATCATCGCTCTTACACATCACATCCAGCCCTAACCTCTACATAGCATCACATCCTCCCCTAACCTCTACATAGCATCACATCCTCCCCTAACCTCTACATAGCATCACATCCCAACCTACAAGCATCACACTACCCTACATACAAGCATCACACCCCCCTAACCTCTACATAACATCACATCCTCCCCTAACCTCTACATAACATCACCACCTCCCCTAACCTCTACATAACATCACATCCTCCTACCTCACATAGCACACACCTCCCCTAACTCACAACATCACATCTCCCCTAACCTCTACAAACACACCCCTCCCTAACCTCTACATAACATCACCACCTCCCCTAACCTCTACATAACATCACATTCTCCCCTAATCTCTACATAACATCACCTCCTCCCCAACCTCTACATAACATCACCTCCTCCCCTAACCTCTACATAACATCACCTCCTCCCCTAACCTCTACATAACATCACCTCCTCCCCTAACCTCTACATAACTTCACATCCGGCCCTAACCTCTACATAACATCACATCCTCCCTAATCTCTACATAGGACCACATCCGGCCCTCTACCCAGTCATCAGGCCCTCTACCCTGTTCTCATGCCTCAATGTTTTACAATTCCCTCCATTTTATTTAACGTGTTTTGCTTTCACATTAAAGTGTGCCTCCGTCCTCCCACTCTCTATTGCTCCCTCCATCCCGGCCCCCTTCAGCCGTGACCCCATTACAAACACAAGAGATCAGATTCAATTCTAGTCAAATGTTTGCTCGCGCCTATTTGCGCTGTCTAGAACGTGCAAGTTCAGCTCAGCGTAGGGGAAGCATGTACATACTCAGAAAATAGACTACGTATAAATCGACTCCGTTCCTATTTTTCAGATTGAGGCTGGGTGTGGAGTCAGCTAGCTGTATACCTGATGTAGCTGCTGCTGGTTGACATTTGGCTGCCTCTCTCTGCCTCCTCCCTGACCCTGTCATAACAAGACAAAGTGGAGCAGGCCACGCCAAGTTGAGGGTTCAAGGGGACAAGAGGTTGACAACAGAACAGTTCCATTTCAACCAATGCTAACAGTGCTGTGAATGTGCAACAGAATCCATCAAATCAATGCGCTCAACAGTATCTAGCAATGCTAGCAGTTATATCTATCAAAGTTGTCGAATGATGTATGTTTAATGCCAAAAACTGTCTATGAGGAAACTTTGACAAAAACTGGCATTTCTATGAACAAACGGTCCCAAATGTAAAGGAATCCAAAAACACACACGGACCGAAAGCCACACCCTCCTCCCTCCTGTCCCCTCACCTGCTGTAGCTGAGCCTGGTTAACCGGTGGCTCTCTCCTGGGAGTAGTGTTAGTGGAGTCCTCTGCTGCCCCCCCTGGTGCAGGTGGTGCTGTACTGCCTCCGATGGCCGGTCCTGGTACTGACCCGGCAGGGCACTCTCCTGCACTCACTGCTGCTCCAGGGGCCCCTCCTGATCCACCTGCACCTGGATTTTACATTAAAGTGGTGTAAATCATAATGTGTTGTTGGATAGTTATTGTGCGTTTATCCTTCATGTGTATAAAAAATAAATTGTATCAAATAATTCAGCCTTTGCTGCCATTAATACCATGTAATGTTGCCTTATTGAAAATAAACCTTTCCCTCTCACCTCCAGAGCTGGAACCTACAGGCAGCGTAGAGGCCCCAGCACTTCCCTCCTCCTCTGGACGGGCTGTGCCCTCCCTCTCCTTGGCCAGGCGCTCCTGGAAGGAATTAATGACATTTAATTACGTGCCCCTAGCGACCATCCCTCAAAGGATTATTTGACACAAAGAAAATGAGTTTACATTACAAATACTTCGCCATCAGTTTCTCTTCTGGTGTGCCACCGCACCTTTCATATAAGAACACACACCTGGATGACAGGTTCTCCTCTCAGAATGTGGCACAGTATAGCCAACATGGACTCAGCCATTCGGCCCCCGTACACCTTAAGGGGCTTCCGGTTCCACAGGCTGCGGATGCAGCTGAACGCCGCCTAGATGGGAGGCAGAGAGAGTGGCTAAGGATTAGAGAGGGAACAACGTTTGTTTTCTTTGAAACATGTATCTAAAAAAAAATCTAATTTATTCATGTAACACACACACAGAAAAAAATAAAAATAAACACACCCCACTAACCAATCCCCCTACCTTCTGAGTGACGATGAGGAATCGCAGGGCACTGAACTGGGGGGTGGTTGGGGTGACCCCGGGGACCTTGACAGGCAGGCTGTGGGGTGAGTCCAGCACGGTACTGGGGTTCACCATCTTCTCAACCAGCATCAGCCAAGCATCCAGGAACTCCCCTGTCCCGTCTGGCAGCTCTGCATGCTCCAGGCCCTCAGAGACGGGCACCTTACCCCCCATAGACAGGGCCCAGTTAAATGTCCTGGGGAGAGGAGGGGAAAGGAGAGATGTGTCAGCGCCGCCGGGCAGAGAAACATGAGCTCTGGTTGGATACACTCACAATCATGGCACCGAATTTGTCCTTGTCAGGGAAAACTCAAGGCCCTACTCATAATCATTCTATTGACAATCCTGACAATAAGGCAGTGCCAAATGTACAGTCAGTCAGATATTATGGTCTGAGCTGAGCAGCAACAGTAATAAGCCTGGTTGTAGCTGTTCAGTTCATGTTGTAAGTATCCCTATAATTTCTGTTATTATGGTGCTATCAGTCTGTTATTAGTATGCCTGTGTGGTAGTCTCTCTGTGGATGGACATGGCCTGAGTGCAATGGCAACTGCGTACTGTGGAAATACGGTGAAGTAAACGTTGTTAAACTGGAACCTAGTCGTCGTGTCATTTTGAGTTAACATTGGTAGCAGAGGATGGTTAATAACTACAGTGTGCCACCTCGCTTCGACGAGAAGAGGTCGTATGAAAGTTGGAAAAATGAACTTGGAATCTGGACAAGAGTTATTAATCTGGACGAGAAAAAGCAAGCACTTGCGGTGGTATTATCGCTGGAGGGGGGAGAGAGAGAGATACAGCACTGGAAATATCCATTGAGGATTTGAACAAGGATGACAGTATGGGATCTTTGATCAGAGCACTGGAATCTGTGTTTCTTAAAGAAGAGAAAGACTGTGCCTACGAGGCGTATTCAAACATTGACAGTGTTACTAGAGACATTTCGGTTGCAATGACGGACTACATAATTGATTTCGAAGAGTGGTACAATAGGATGCGCAAGTACGACATGGTTCTCCCGGATGCAGTGTTAAGCTTTCACGTTGCTAGATACTGCCTGTCTGGATGGTAGGGAGAAACAGTTGGCTTTCACTGCTTGTACTGTGCTGCCTTTTGCGTCAATGAAGTCGGCACAAAATATTTTTGGGGGTGAAAAGTCTGTCAATAACAGATGGAATGCAAGTGAGTTACCCAGCATATTACACTGAGCTGCAGAGAGAAGGCACCAACAAGTCACGTTCTCAAGACAACCAGACGAGAGCGCCATTGCCCGGCACAAATCCACTGGACAGGTATGGAAGGAGATCAAAATGTGCTATTTGTCAAAGCACTTAACATTGGGTTAAAGACGGTCCTCATAAAAATGAGAAGTTAAACTAACAGATGAAAATGTAAACAGAGACAGAGCAGTGTAACATTACACTGTTGTCAAACAAATCTGCTTCTGATACTGAGATCTTTATAGTTGAATCCTTAGGATCTGCTGTGATTGATACTGCATGTACACGCACAGTGTGTGGAGCAAAATGGCTTGATAGCTATGTCAGTGAACTAAATATGAAAGTAGTACAAAATATGAGACACACCAAGCAACACAGCTTTCAAATTTGGAGATGGGAGAATCGTCCATTCTACCAAGAGAGTCAAGATACCAGCAAAAATTGGTCAGACAGTGTCACATTGAAAGAGAGGTGGTCCCTGTAGATATCCCTTTAATATTAAGCAAAGCTTCCCTCAAGAAGGCAGGGGCTGTTCTAGACATAAAAAATAACAAGGCAGTGATGTTTAAACAACCAGTGACCCTTTAACTTACTACCTCAGGCCACTATTGTGTAAACATTTTAGACAAAGACATCACACAGAGTCCATGTAAAAATGAGATTCTGACGGACACAGAGCACATGGCGATTGACAGTCACAGAGAACATGACCACAGAGGAAAAACACAAAGTATTCTTAAAACTTCAAACCGTTTGGACATGCTACAGTTGAGACTTCAGAAGTGACTCAGCAGTTCTGGGAATAATAATGATGAGAGTATTTCCATTCTACGGCAGACAGTTAACAGTTGTGAGACATGCCAGAAGAACAGCAAACCTAAGCCCAGACCAGCTGTTGCGTTTGCCACTGGCTTCCAAGTACAATGAAACAGTGGCTGTAGATCTCCATGAGTTAGGACCAAGTGTGTGGTACCTTCACATAATCCACCACTTCACGCTTCAGTGCTGGAAGCATCGTGAATACAAAGAAACCCAGTAAAATCGTCAAGCACTTCATTAATTCCTGGATAAGTGTGCATGGCCCGCCCCAGAAATTGTACAGTGAATGGAGGAGAATTCAATGACGATGAAGTAAGAGAAATGGCAGAGAAATTCAACATGGAAATAAAAGACAACTGGTGCATAGAGTCCATGGAGCAATGGACTTCTGGAGAGACATAATCAAACACTCACAGATTATGCTGAAAGTGAAGCAAGACAATGGATGTGACTGGAAAACAGCCCTAGCTTGGGCTTTGATGGCAAAAAAAACTATGCACAATGTTCATGGCTACAGCCCATGCTTACTAGTGTTTGGGCAGAACCCTAATCTTCCCTCTGTACTGGTTGACAAGCTACCAGCACTAGAAGGGACCAGTGTGAGTGCATGGGTGGGAAAGCACCTTTCAGCAATACATGCAGCGAGAAAAGCGGTCACTGAAGCAGTGTTCAGAGAATTCGCAGGGCTCTGCGTAAACGGCTTCGACCCACCGATGAGAAGTACGAGACTGGAAACAAAGTGTACTACAAACGAGTTGACTTAAGAGTGGAAAGGACCGGGAGTCGTCATTGGCCAAGATGGTATGGTGATATTTGTGAGGCACGGAGGCACCATTGTCAGGGTGCATCACTCAAGATTGCGGAAAGTAAATGATCAACAAGATGGAGGGGCTGTTGCTGAGAATCAGCCTCCTACTGAAAATGACCAAAAGGACACATTAACAGACACAAACATACTAGATGTCGCATCCAATGATATGGACACTGAAACTGACACAGGAAATGGAGCAGAGACCTTCAACCATGACACGGGTAATACTGTTGAGGGTTCAAATTAGGAAAACGTTCAACAACAGCCACGTGTTAAGACAACATGGTTGTTCCAATCTGAAAACTGGACAAACTTAAATACATGGACAGAGAAAGTGGTATTCCACACACAGCAACAGTCATTGGACGAGCAGGAAAACCTAAAGGAAAACACCAGAACTGTTACAACTTGCAGTACTCTGAACCAGCTACACTTTCTGGTACAACAGGGTCAGCTGACCTGTCACTTGTAGATCATCTCAGAATTGAACCAATGGAAAAAATCGAGAAAAACAGAATGACATTCAAAATGATGATGTACTTGAAACAAAGGACGTGTCATTTGACTCAGCTAAACTAGATGAGCTCAGTAATTGGATGAAAAATTGAGTGTTTGAGGAAGTCAAAGACATGGGCCAAAAACGTGTCTCAACAAGGTGGGTGTGTACCCTTAAATAATCCTTAACTGGAATAGTGCCAAAAGCACATCTAGTTGGTTTTGAGGAGCTGGCTGCTAAATAACTCCCAAAATACTCACCGACATGCGCCAGAGTCACTCAGATTGCTGCTGACAGTGATCTGCCAGAAAAATTCCATACACATAAAATCTGCATTTTTGCAGGGAACAGAGCTGTCAAGGGACATTCACATCCGACCTTCTTCAAGAGCCGTACAAAGGAATTCCCCTCTCTGTGGAATTGAAGCTGATCAATTGAGGTCAAAGATAGGTCATAGACAGAGTAGACCTGATGTAATGTTTGATGGCTGCAACTTGGCATACAACACAAAACATGCCACTGTACAAACCATTCATGTGGAAAACAAAGTTGTTCGTAAACTGAAATCACAACAAGTGACTAAAGTTTCAGCATGTTGGAAAAGATGACTCTCTGAAACCAGTTGTCTTCAGTGATGCTTCCCTAGGGAACCTTAGAGATGGAGGCACACAAGGTGGACATCTAATGGTGTTAATGGGTGAAGGGAGGATCAGAAGGGTTGTCCGAAGCACACTTCCTGGACAAACCCTTGCTCTTGCGGATGGAATTGACAATGCCAACTTTCTGGCAACTCTGTTCAGAGTTTACCACTGGTGAGAAAACGGCACATTCTACCTGTAGTTTGTGTCACTGACAACTACTCCTTAGTTGATGCTGTCAAGTCAACCAAGTCTGTCACAGAGAAAAGTCTTTGTCTTGAGATAAGCTGCATCAAGGAACTTATTCAAGCACAGAGAATCCAGCGGATTCTGTGGTCGGCCACAAAGGAACAGCTTGCTGACTTGTCTAACTTAAAAGGGAGCATCCGGTCTTGTGCTCCTAAAGGCACTCAGTAATGTAAAGTTAAAACTTTGTCACACAACCCATTTGTAAATGGGTAACTTAAATAATACTTGGGACATTTAATTATTTTGTTGATGTTTTATTTGTCTTTAAAGAAAAGTGGGAGATTGTTAAGTTCATGTTGTAAGTATCCCTATATTTCTGTTATTACGGTGCTATCAGTCTGTTATTAGTATGCCTGTGTGGTAGTCTCTCTGTGGATGGACCTGGCCTGAGTGCAATGGCAACTGTGTAAATACGGTGAATTAAATGTTGTTAAACTGGAACCTAGTCGTCGTGTCATTTCGAATTAACAGTAGCTACAGGTCGTCTGACAAATTCAATGGAAAGAAGTACCAGTAATGCAAGTCAGTCAGCTATTAACTGAGGGTGGTCTACTCACTCGAAGAGCGCGTCGTGTCCTCCGGAGCAGAAGAACTTCTGCAGCATGAGGTGGTAGGGGTACTTCCTCTCATCAAACAGCATGGGGGACGTGAAACCCACCGAGCAGATGAAGAATGTCAGCCTGGAGGGATAGAGAGAGAGCAGAGACATCATGACCATGAGACCATACATCTGATTCCTATCCAATCCTCTCAGGTCTATAGAAGAGCCTTGGGGGTTGTCTCATCATTCTCTATCCTTCTCCAGAAGTGTGCATTGGATTCATCTAAGCATTGGCTAAAGGAAGTTTCCACCACTGTTCGAACATAAGAGTGTGTGAAGGTGTACGTTTCGTGAGACGGGTAGAGAATCAGGACACAACCAAGGTAGCCGTTGTGAGTTACAGTAGAGTACCTGAAACGAGGGGTGGGGGTATAATAGTAGAGTACCTGAAACGAGGGGTGGGGGTATAATAGTAGAGTACCTGAAACGAGGGGTGGGGGTATAATAGTAGAGTACCTGAAACGAGGGGTGGGGGTATAATAGTAGAGTACCTGAAACGAGGGGTGGGGGTGTAATAGTAGAGTACCTGAAACGAGGGGTGGGGGTATAATAGTAGAGTACCTGAAACGAGGGGTGGGGGTATAATAGTAGAGTACCTGAAACGAGGGGTGGGGGTATAATAGTAGAGTACCTGAAACGAGGGGTGGGGGTGTAATAGTAGAGTACCTGAAACGAGGGGTGGGGGTATAATAGTAGAGTACCTGAAACGAGGGGTGGGGGTGTAATAGTAGAGTACCTGAAACGAGGGGTGGGGGTATAATAGTAGAGTACCTGAAACGAGGGGTGGGGGTGTAATAGTAGAGTACCTGAAACGAGGGGTGGGGGTGTAGGGCGGGGGCTGCCAGCTAAGGCCCTTGGTGAGCAGCTTGGTGAGGGAGGAGGCGGTGGCCCGGGCGGCAGGGGTGGGGGCTGTGCCCGTGCTGGTGGCGTGGTGAGAGCGGCGCTGGCGGACTGGAGAGCCCACACACAGCTTCACCAGCAGACCAAAAAGCTCGGCCAGAGCCCGGCCCAGACGAGACGACGCTGGAGTAGAGAGAGGGGAGAGTTACCACACCAGGATGAAAGAGACAGCCAGCATTCAAAAATATAGAATCAGCAGTCACAACGGAGGTGTTTCAACCTTCACCAGAGAGTTATAGACAGAGGAAACATACACCCTTTCTTCACTAACGCAGAGATTCTGACAGTACATTGCTGTATTTGATGAGACTACCATTTTACAAATAGACAATGGTGTGAAAAATAATAAAATAAAAAGATAACTCCTGGATGTTCTCACCGGAGAGCAGGGGTTTGATCTGCTTGATGCGTGTAGCCATGGCGGGGGTCAGTTTGGACTTGGTCTTGGGGTCAGAGATGCCGGCGGTGGGCTCGTCAGTCTCCATGGGGGCTAGCGTATCCCCGTCCAACCCTATCCCCTCCAGGAGACCCGTGGCAGAGGGGTCCACAGCAACAGCCTCAGACTCAGCTAGGGAGAGCGAGGGGGGGGCTAGTGTTTAGAGCTAGCTGTGCTGGAAGAGAAGGTTTGGCTAAATATGCTTCTACATTCCTTTCTTGCTCAAACGATGCCCAACAAACTCCAACATTCCAAAGTTGACAGTTGTTTTTAGAATGTAAAAAGAAAAACAAACTGCCTAAAGCACACTGCCAAACATTGCCCAACAAATGTCCTATTGCTTTCATGAATTATCATTCTTAGCCATTTGATAACATTTTATTTTTGTTATTTTTCAGTAGTAGGGGGTCTCCGTTACCAGTTCTCCTGGATCCAGAGGCGGAAGCAGTGGCTGTGGTGCTGCCAGACGGCTTCTCCTCCTTGGGAACCAGCTTCTGCATGTCAGCCTGGCCAAACTCACAGCCTGGGGGGAGACTGGGGGAGGAGAGGAGAGACACAGGAGAGAAAGAGTTACTGTGTTCTGTCGACTGACTGCATGCTGAGGAAGAGATACAGCCACACACACAGCAAGACGGAGGGGCAGAGAGAGAGAACAAGTGAGAACCCAAAGGCCAAAAGATAGAGGGCTAAAGAGAGCTAGAGCCAGGAGGAGAGAGAGAGCGTATCAGACAGGCTTATCAGAGGTAGCGTACCTGTTGGGTGTGCAGAGGGACAGCAGCACGGTGCTCTCCCAGACCAGAGAGCAGTAGAGCTGGCTCAGCTTGTTGAGAACACTCAGACCCAGCTGGGAGCCCCACTGGTTCACACTGATGGCCCTGATCTCACTCTGCACAACACACAGGGGAAGAGGGGACGGTTAATGCACACACCAATACTAAACCACTCACAGTCAAGCAACTCCTTCCCAACAATTACCTCAAACCACAGAGGTGGTGCGCCCTAAATCCACAGAGGTGGTGCTCTCTAAAATCCACAGAGGTGGTGCTCTCTAAAATCCACAGACCGTGAGGCTGCAGTACCTCTACAGTTGGTTGATTATATGCTGTTGACATCTTTAAATTAATACAAACATCAAAACCTAATCTACAGCCTCTACTTTGTGGGCTACAGGTGTGGTGTGACATAATGAGAGGTCCTTGCTGATTGGTTTCCAGGTATCTTACCTGTCCTACCCTGCAGGTGTGCACGAACATCAGGATATAAGCGTGCGCGGCGGTGAGCGCGTGCAGCAGTGGCGTGGCGCGGGCCGACAGCGTGGCATCGGTCACGTGACCGGCAGTGGCGAGTTCTCGGAGCAGCACGGAACCCCCGGGGACCTCGATGGGGCGGTGGAGCGGCTCGAGGGCCGACAGGATGCTGTCCAGCTGACACAGCCCCTCCTGGAGCACCTTGGGCTCATGGGACAGGGTCTGGGGACCACGGGACAACAAGCAACGCTTCAGTATCAATACAGCACAGTCACAGGGACCAGAGACTGAACTGTGTTACATTTAACAGGTCTCCCTGGAGTTTAGTCACAACACAGTCAGAACCTCAGGAATATAAGCCTACCATCACAATAGCACAGGTACTATATTCTAAAGAGTCATTAGTCCATTTTTCAGCTCTGCTTGAGATCAATCATTAACAAATTCCCTGAAATCATATCCCCACATCTCTTAGTCACACAAGTATGGACTTGCAGAGCCCGGCTACAGCCTGGCAGGCTTCCTATCCCCATATCATAACCACACACCTCCCATCCCAACCCCATATCCCCAGTGGCAGGTCTCACCAGTATGGACTTGCAGACCCCGGCTACAGCCTGGCAGGCTTCCTATCCCCATATCATAACCACACACCTCCCATCCCAACCCCATATCCCCAGTGGCAGGTCTCACCAGTATGGACTTGCAGACCCCGGCTACAGCCTGGCAGGCTTCCTATCCCCATATCATAACCACACACCTCCCATCCCAACCCCATATCCCCAGTGGCAGGTCTCACCAGTATGGACTTGCAGAGCCCGGCTACAGCCTGGCAGGCTTCCTATCCCCATATCATAACCACACACCTCCCATCCCAACCCCATATCCCCAGTGGCAGGTCTCACCAGTATGGACTTGCAGACCCCGGCTACAGCCTGGCAGGCAGCTGATGTGGGGAAGTCGATGGGCAGGTTGGGCAGACCGAGGATAGAGACCAGGGGCAGGAGACCCTTCTGGTTGACAAACTCCTGACAGTGGTCGTCTGTCGTGTTGTTACTCAGGATCGACTCCACAAACTTCATCTGGGAAGGAACACAACAGGGGAAGGTTAAGGGGTATGGTCACACACACATATTTAGCAGATGTTAGTGCGGGTGTAGAGAAATGCTTGTGTTCCTAGCTCCAACAGTGCAGTAGTCTCTAACAATTCACAACAATACACACAAATCTAAAAGTAAAATCATGGAATTAAGAAATATATAAATATTAGGACGAGCAATGTCGGAGTGGCATTGACTAGAATACAGTAGAATACAGTATATACATATGAAATGAGTAAAACAATATGTAAACATTATTAAAGTGACCAGTGATTCCATATCTCTATATACATTGAGCAGCAGCCTCTAAGGTGCAGGGTTGAGTAACCAGGTGGTAGCCGGCTAGTGACAGTGACTAAGCACGTCCCAAAAAGTGTTTGATTAGACGATAGTGCACACCGTTATATGCTCCCAGAAGTCATTATTTTGTACAAATGTTCAGATTAATTTTGAACACAAGAGAAACAATGTCATAATGTGATCTTGGAGAGACTAAAATTGTCTGTCATCACTTCATTGACAATTTTTGGTGAGTGTAGAGGGTCTTGATTTAAGTGTGCTTTATTGCAGGTGATAGTTTCATCACACTAAAATAACCAGAGAAGGTGCATCAACACACGTACCACATTCAGAATGTAATCCATCAGAGGAATTGGTATCCTCTCTTCAGTGCCAACAACCCTATAGGAAAAACGACAGAAACCCCATTATCCCAACTACCGATCACAAACATGTAACAAAATGTAAATACATAAATGATTTATGAATATAGAGAAAAATAATAATATCAGGAGCAATAAATCCTGAAATGATCAGGAAGAATCACATCTCTGATTTGGTATGTCATACAGTTCAACTGGCACTGACTGTCTGTTGCTCTCTGGCTCCCCCTGCTGCTGGGTGAAGGTATGGAGCGCCTCCTCTTCCTCCTCGTCTTCGCTGGAGGCCTCCTCGGCGGCGTGGGAGGAGCGGGCGGGAGGCGCGGTGACGGTGCCATCAGTCTTCTGGATAGAGGGCTTCTGACAGATGTACTCCGGGGCTCGGCCCAGGTTACATATCTCCTCCAGTAACTGGGAGAGGACAGTTTACCTTTTAGTCATTTAGCTGGCGCTCTTATCCACAACGACTTACAGTTAAGTGCGTTCATCTAAAGATAGCTCGGTGAGACAACCACATATCACAGTCATACACTGCTCAAAAAAATAAAGGGAAACACTTAAACAACACAATGTAATCTCCAAGTCAATCACACTTCTGTGAAATCAACTGTCCACTTAGGAAGCAACACTGATTTGACAATAAATTTCACATACTGTTTGTGCCAAATGGAATAGACAACAGGTGGAAATTATAGGCAATTAGCAAGACACCCCCAATAAAGGACTGGTTTTGCAGGTGGTGACCACAGACCACTTCTCAGTTCCTATACTTCCTGGCTGATGTTTTGGTCACTTTTGAATGCTGGCGGTGCTTTCACTCTAGTGGTAGCATGAGACGGAGTCTACAACCCACACAAGTGGCTCAGGTAGTGCAGCTCATCCAGGATGGCACATCAATGCGAGCTGTGGCAAGAAGGTTTGCTGTGTCTGTCAGCGTAGTGTCCAGAGCATGGAGGCGCTACCAGGAGACAGGCCAGTACATCAGGAGACGTGGAGGAGGCCGTAGGAGGGCAACAACCCAGCAGCAGGACTGCTACCTCTGCCTTTGTGCAAGGAAGAGCAGGAGGAGCACTGCCAGAGCCCTGCAAAATGACCTCCAGCAGGCCACAAATGTGCATGTGTCTGCTCAAACGGTCAGAAACAAACTCCATGAGGGTGGTATGAGGGCCCGACATCCACAGGTGGGGGTTGTGCTTACAGCCCAACACCGTGCAGGACGTTTGGCATTTGCCAGAGAACACCAAGATTGGCAAATTCGCCACTGGCGCCCTGTGCTCTTCACAGATGAAAGCAGGTTCACACTGAGCACATGTGACAGATGTGACAGAGTCTGGAGACGCCGTGGAGAACGTTCTGCTACCTGCAACATCCTCCAGCATGACCGGTTTGGCGGTGGGTCAGTCATGGTGTGGGGTGGCATTTCTTTGGGGGGCCGCACAGCCCTCCATGTGATCGCCAGAGGTAGCCTGACTGCCATTAGGTACCGAGATGAGATCCTCAGAGCCCTTGTGAGACCATATGCTGGTGCGGTTGGCCCTGGGTTCCTCCTAATGCAAGACAATGCTAGACCTCATGTGGCTGGAGTGTGTCAGCAGTTCCTGCAAGAGGAAGGCATTGATGCTATGGACCGCCCATTCCCCAGACCTGAATCCAATTGAGCACATCTGGGACATCATGTCTCGCTCCATCCACCAACGCCACGTTGCACCACAGACTGTCCAGGAGTTGGCGGATGCTTTAGTCCAGGTCTGGGAGGAGATCCCTCAGGAGACCATCCGCCACCTCATCAGGAGCATGCCCAGGCGTTGTAGGGAGGTCATACAGGCACGTGGAGGCCACACACACTACTGAGCCTCATTTTGACTTGTTTTAAGGACATTACATCAAAGTTGGATCAGCCTGTAGTGTGGTTTTCCACTTTAATTTTGAGGGTGACTCCAAATCCAGACCTCCATGGGTTGATACATTTGATTTCCATTGATCATTTTTGTGTGATTTTGTTGTCAGCACATTCAACTACGTAAAGAAAAAAGTATTTTATAAGATTATTTCATTCATTCAGATCTAGGATGTGTTGTTTAAGTGTTCCCTTTATTTTTTTGAGCAGTGTAGTAAGAAAAATGTTCCTCAATAAAATAGCCATCAGCAAAGTCAGTGCTGGCAAGATAAGACAAGTTTGAGTGTTAGTGTAAACAAGGCAAGGGTGTGTTAATTTACCATACCGTAAAAACCCCTCTAGGCATAAATAATGAGTTGTTCCTGTTACAGAAACAATAATGTTGTGCTAATTCACTAAGCAGTTTACAAGGTTAATCTATATGATTAGGGTCCTAGTTTTTTTGTGACCATGTGACCTGAACCAGTTGAACTCTGTCCCTAGTTAAAAGCCGCAATAAGAGCTCAGTTTTTCCTGGTCAAGTCACATGCTGAGTTACAACTAGAAGTCTAGACATGATCAATGGTAGGGATGGGCCTTTGAATGAGTGTTTGAGCACGCACTACAATCATTTTGAGTAATTGAGTAATCACATGTTAGCGTGAAATGGGGCTGAAGGCCAAAAAAGTTTGCAGTATGCTAAAGGTTTTTCCAAATTACTGGTGGTTCTGATACACAACTTTAACATAGTCACTGCACTTGACATACTCCAAAATAATAAACATCTTAGTTGGAAATTGTCAGTTCTTATACATTTAACCTGCTAAAATAGTTGTATTTGTAAATTGAGTACTTGTATTCGATTATTAGTAATCGAATACAAACCTGTACTGGAGTACTCACTCCCATCCCTGATCAATGGTGCTGATCATTTCAATTTTTTCCCTGATCATTTCAGTTTTTCCCTGATCAATGGTGCTGATCATATCAGTTTTTCCAGGCCTCCTGTACATGTCATTGTAAACCCACCTTGATAATGGCAGTAGTGGCGTCAGTCTTCAGAGTGGGTTGGTGTCTCATCAGTTCATCCACAGCACTGCCCAGGTTGGACGCTGTATCTCCTGTACACACACACACCAGCATGGTTACATACAGACATCTGAATCAACAGTGTATAGTGTCGCCATACTACACTGAATAAAAATATAAACGCAACATGTATAGTGTTGGTCCCATGTTTCATGAGCTGAAATAAAAGATCCCAGAAATTTTCCACATGCACAAAAAGCTTATTTCTGTCAAACGTTTCTGTCAAACATTTGTTTACATCCCTGTTAGTGAGCATTTCTCCTATGCCAAAATATTTAATCCACCTGACAGGTGTAGAATATCAAGAAGCTGATTAAACAGCATGATCATTACACAGGTGCACCTTGTGCTGGCAACAATAAAAAGCCACTAAAATGTGCAGTTTTGTCACAACACAATGCCAAAGATATCTCAAGTTTTGAGGAAGCGTGCAATTGGCATGCTGACAGTGGTCTAAGGCACTGCATCGCAGTGCTAGCTGTGCCACTAGAGAACCTGGTTCGAATCCAGGCTATGTTGTAGCCGGCCGCGACCGGGAGACCCATGGAACGGCGCACAATTGGACCAGCATCGTCCAGGGTAGGGGAGGGAATGGCCGGCAGGGATGTAGCTCAGTTGGTAGAGCATGGCGTTTGCAACACCAGGGTTGGGGGTTCGATTCCCACGGGGGGCCAGTATGAAAAATAAAAAAATTATGTATACACTCACTAACTGTAAGTCGCTCTGGATAAGAGCGTCTGCTAAATGACTAAAATGTAAGAATGTCCACCAGAGCTGTTGCCAGATAATTGTACTCCTGAGTGGCGCAGTGGTCTAAGGCACTGCATCGCAGTGCTAACTGTGCCACTAGAGATCCTGGTTCGAATCCAGGCTCTGTCGCAGCCGGCCGCGACCGGGAGACTCATGGGCGGCGCACAATTGGCCCAGCGTCGTCCAGGGTAGGGGAGGGAATGGCCGGCAGGGATGTAGCTCAGTTGATAGAGCATGGCGTTTGCAACGCCAGGGTTGTGGGTTCGATTCCCACGGGGGGCCAGTATAAAAAAATATGTATTCACTAACTGTAAGTCGCTCTGGATAAGAGCGTCTGCTAAATGACTAAAATGTAAATGTAAATATAATTGAATGTTCATTTCTCTACCATAAGCCGCCTCCAACATAATTTTTGAGAATTTGGCAGTACGTCCAACTGGCCTCACAACCGCAGACCACGTGTATGGCGTTGTGTGGGTGCAGTTTGCTGATGTCAACGTTGTGAGCAGAGTGGCGCATGGTGGCGGTGGGGTTATGGTACGGGCAGGCATAAGACATGGCCAACGAACACAATTACATTTACCGATGGCTAATTGAATGCACAGAGATACCGGGCCCATTTTTGTAAGGTATCTGTGACTAACAGATGCATATCTGTATTCCCAGTCATGTGAAATCCATAGATTAGGGCCTAGTGAGTTTATTTCAATTGACTGATTTCCTTACATGAACTGTAACTCAGTAAAATCTTTGAAATTGTTGTATGTTGCGTTTATATTTTTGTTCAGTAAACATTCCTATAAACACACACACCTACAGTACCAGTCAAAAGGTTGGACACAACTTGTCTTTATTTCTACTATTTTCTACATTGTAGAATAATAGTGAAGACATCAAAACTATGAAACAACACATATGGAATCATGTAGTAACCAAAAAAGTGTTAAACAAATCAAAATATATGTTTTATTTTTCAAAGTAGCCACCCTTTGCCTTGACAGCTTTGCACACTCTTGGTATTCTCTCAACCAGCTTCATGAGGTAGTCACCTGGAATGCATTTCAATTAACAGGTGTGCCTTGTTAAAAGTGCATTTGTGGAGGGGGGGGGGGGGGGGGGGGTCAGTCAATCCGGAAAATGTGAAGAACTTTAAAAGTTTCTTCAAGTGCAGTCGCAAAAACCATCAAGCGCTATGGTGAAACTGGCTCTCATGAGGACCGCTTCAGGAAAGGAAGACCCAGAGTTAACTCTGCTGAGAGGATAAGTTCATTAGAGTTACCAGCCTCAGAAATGCAGCCCAAATAAGTGCTTCACAGAGTTCAAGTAACAGTCACAACAACCCAACAACTGTTCAGGACGTGGTCTTTCAGGTCATTCTCAGACCACTAAAGGAAAAAGAAAAGATTTCTGTGGTCAGAGACACACCGACAAGGACATTAGACGTGGATAGTTTGGCTGAGTCAAATGGTTAACCAGGCTTGCAGACACAGATAGGTGGGAGATCTCGATGTGAGTTCCACGTGAAGCTAGGGATGGTGTGGGTGTTCACACGAAGATTCAAGGCTTACCAGCATGGGTGCAGCGATAGCCATCCATTGTTTCCTTTGGTACAACTTTGTTTTCAACAGGACATGACCCAACCAACCTCAGGCTTGTGAGGGTTATTTGACCAAGAAGGAGAGTGATGGAGTGCTGTGTCAGATGACCTGGCCTCCACAATCACCCGACCTCAACCCAATTGAGATGATTTGGGATGAGTTGGACTGCAGAGTGAAGGGAAAGCAGGAAAAGCAGCCCAGCATATGTGGGAACTCCTTCAAGACTGTTGGAAAAGCATTCCAGGTGAAGCTGGTTGTGAGAATGCCAAGAGTGTGCAAAGCTGTCATCAAGGCAAAGGGTGGCTATTTGAAGAATCTCAAATATAAAATATATTTTGATTTGTTTAACACTTTTTGGTTACTACATGATTCCATATCCATTATTTCATAGTTTTGATGTCTTCACTATTATTCTACAATGTAGAAAATATTTAAAATAAAGAACAACCCTTGAATGAGTAGGTGTCCAAACTTTTGACTGGTACTGTATTTTTCAACAGAGTGAATAGTGTCCCAATATAGTAGCTTCCTTTAAGTTAACACACCTCTCACGCTCTCTCAAAGGTCTCTCTCGCTGTACTAGATTGCTATAACTAACACACACACCCCCAACTCACCCAGAGGGTCAGAGCTGCGGCGTCGTCTCATGGCAGGCAGGTAGTCAGGTGACAGCAACACCTTGAAGAGGCGCTCAAAGGGCTGGCATTGGACGAAGGAGTGCAGGCCTCGCGCGTTCAGGCACAAGGCACTGAACACGTTAGGGAGAGAACCAAGCACCTCCCGGGTGGCCGGGACCTGCAGAGAGAGAGACTGTGAGAGAGAGAAAAGGGAGAAAGAGAGAGAAAGGGGAGGAAGAGAGAGAGCGAGTGAGAGACAGAGTGGCGAGGGTAGGGAACAACTGGGAGGAAGGGGACTGGGAAGGGAGGAAAGGAGGGTAGGGAAGGAGAGAAAGAGGGTAGGGAAGGAGAGAAAGAGGGTAGGGGGAGGGAGGGTAAGAGGTTAGGGGGGATACGAAGTTAGGGGGAGGGAGGTAAGAGGTTAGGGGGGTACGAAGTTAGGGGGAAGGAAGGGTACGAGGTTAGGGGGTGGAAGGGTACGAGGTTAGGGGGTGGAAGGGTACGAGGTTAGGGGGTGGAAGGGTACGAGGTTAGGGGGGGTACGAGGGGTACGAGGGTAGGGGGGTACGAGGGGTACGAGGGTAGGAGGAAGGAAGGGTACGAGGTTAGGTGGAAGGGAGGGTACGAGGAAGGGAGGGTACGAGGGTAGCGGGAAGGGAGGGTAGGGGGAAGGGAGGGTACGAGGTTAGGTGGAAGGGAGGGTACGAGGAAGGGAGGTACGAGGGTAGCGGGAAGGGAGGGTAGGGGGAAGGGAGGGTACGAGGGTTAGGGGGAAGGGAGGGTACGCGAGAGGTACCAAAACGTAAGGATCAGAGGGGGGGAAAAGAGGAAGGAGGAGAGTAGGGAGGAAGGAGGAGAGGAGAGCGGTGAAAGCCAGGAGGGAGAATGATGGTTATGCAACGCTGTGTGACGGAGGAGGGAGGAGGAGGGAGGGGAGGAAGAGAAGGAGAGTAGAGGATGGAGGAGGAGGAGGAGAGAAGGAGGAGGAGGGAGGAAGGAGGAGAGGAGGGTGAATGGAGGGAGGAGGAGGGGAGAAGAAATGGAGGAGGAGGGGAGGAGATATGGAGGAGGAGGGGAGGAGATGGAGGAGGGGAGGAGAGGAGGAGGAGGAGATGGAGGGGAGGGGAGGGAGAAAGTAGGAGGTGGCGTATGTCGCACGGTTAGCGGACGTTGGTTTATGTATGACCCTGTTGAAGGAGCAGATGTGACATGTAAATACTGTCCATGTGTAGGCGCTATGTCCATGGGATTACGAGCTGTGTTGTAATGTATGACCCTGTTGAAAAAGACAATGTGACATTTAAATATGTCAAATGTGTAGGAGCGGAGAAGAGGGAGATGAGAGGGGGAGCAGTGAGAGGAGATGAGAGGGGGAGCAGTGAGAGGAGATGAGAGGGGGAGCAGTGAGAGGAGATGAGAGGGGGAGCAGTGAGAGGAGATGAGAGGGGGAGCAGTGAGAGGAGATGAGGGGGAGATCCGCTGAGCGACCAAAGAGAGGGAGAGAAAAGATTGAGAGAAAGAGTGACCCCGCATTCAGACAACAGCGACAAAAACTTCCCTCGCACTTATCAAAGCAAACCTACATTGACGACCATGGAGTGGACGTTTCATATCCCGCTTTGTGTTGCTATCTCACAATGCTCTATTTTCTACGTTCCACTTTGCCCAGATTCGTCCAGCCAACCAGAAAAATGTTGGCGGGACAGTGATCGGTTTAGATTGGTTTAAATCCTTCCACATTTCAGAGGGGGAGAAAGGGGATTGGACGTTATACTAATGCTTTCACTTGCAGAAAAGTTTTTTTGCGACTAGTGCCTGAATGCGGGGTGAGCCGAGAGGGGAGGGAGTGCTGTGAGACTCACGTCTTTGATGAGCAGGGCATGCAGCATGACATCAGTCAGGCCGTTATCCTGCAGGGAGGAGAGCAGAGATGGCTCCTGGAACACAAACACTGTCACCACCTCCGTCGCTGTGGAAGAGGGAGAGAGAAAGAGAGAGGGGGGGGGGGGGGGGGGGGACCAAGAGAGACATTTTTACAATCAGAAAAAACTGAACATACTAATTATACTATTCCTTTCTGCCTCTTAACATCAACCTGGCATATGCTTTGATGGACTTTGCAGAATTGTCTCAATGATCAAGTGATATTACTAAACATACTGTACAATATAATGCATCTCATCGAAGATTTCTCTGAAGCATGTTGTGCGACCTGAGTACTCACCCAGCAGGAAGAGAGAAGGTCCATAGTACTCTGCATTACTGATGATGTGCTTGAGTGAGGTAGGCAAGGACCCGTCCATGACTGGAGAAGAGAGGCCATACAGAGAGACAAGGAGGTTAGTCCAGGGGGCATTCACACAATACATTTACATCATGGTTTTGTTGAAGCACCAGTACCTATTTTAAGCATTACAACCTTAACCCATCTGACCATATAGGGCCAGTTTCCCCCAGATAGCTTAAATCTAGAGTATGTCCATTGGTCATGCTTTTTAGAGTCTGGTTATCATAGCTCACTCACCGTGACGGATGCCATCAGAGAAGGCAGGGTCCTGGATGGCTTTCTTCAAGAAGTTTAACATCGACTTCAAAAGAGCTGCTCTCTGGGGAATACACTGCACGCCTGGAGGGAGAGAACACATGGGAGATGGAACACATATGAGTGTGAGCGCCCGTGTGTGTGCTTGACTGAGCCTGTGATAGTCTAAGCTGAGGGTGTTTGTACCTGTGCGGGGCGTGCTGGCAGTGCTGCTCTGTGCTCGGTGGTCTGTCTCAGGTCTGGAGCCAGAGGACGTTGAGGGACCAGGGCTGCTCTCCATCCTCTCTTCTGACACTGTTAGGAAGACACAGTTTTAGCAACCACAACACACAGCCATAACAGTACAACACCACACCGCTAACAGCCATAACAGTACAACACCACACCGCTAACAGCCATAACGCCACACCGCTAACAGCCATAACACCACAACACACAGCCATAACACCACAACACACAGCCATAACACCCGAGGGGCCAGGGTTCCAGTCTAGAAGCACGGTTTCGACTGGTCCTACAGTTTTGCTTCGGTACTGCATAGGGATGTACATCAGTCAATTTTTCTGTCGACTAACTGACCCTCATTAACATGCAACAATAACAAGCAAATCATCTTACAGTCAAAATGCTATAGCCTATCATTGAACACGCAACTCCAGTAATGAAGCAGCAAAAGTTTTTTAAAAAAAAAACATTTGCCAAAACGCAATTCTGTTATTGGCATCAGGAAGTATTTTCTATGGATGGATTTTCACAAGGCTACTTTGAAACAAGGTAAGACATGCCTCATTATTTGAAGTAAAGCTTCCAGATAATTCCTGCCTCAAGCTCACATTGCAAAGTGGTGGGTGACGCGCTGATAAACTGCCTACCGTTGACTACAGTCGTGGTCAAAAGTTGAGAATGACACAAATATTGGTATTCAAAGTTTGCTGCTTCAGTGTTTTTAGATATTTTTGTCAGATGTTACTATGGTATACTGAAGTATAATTACAAGCATTCCATAAGTGTCAAAGGTTTTATTGACAATTACATTAAGTTTATGCAAAGAGTCTATATTTGCAGTGTTGACCCTTCTTTTTCAAGACCTCTGTAATCCACCCTGGCATGCTGTCAATTAACTTCTGGGCCACATCCTGACTGATGGCAGCCCATTCTTGCATAATCAATGCTTGGAGTTTGTCAGAATTTGTGTGTTTTTGTTTGTCCACCCGCCTCTTGAGGATTAAGTTTCCTGGCCATGGACCCAAAATTTCGATGTTTTGTTCCCCGAGCCACTTAGTTATCACTTTTGCCTTATGGCAAGGTGCTCCATCATGCTGGAAAAGGCATTGTTCGTCACCAAACTGTTCTTGGATGGTTGGGAGAAGTTGCTCTCGGAGGATGTGTTGGTACCATTCTTTATTCATGGCTGTGTTCTTAGGCAAAATTGTGAGTGAGCCCACTGTTGGCATGACACAGGACTGATGGTAGCGCTCACCTTGTCTTCTCCTGACAAGGTGTTTTCCGGATGCCCCAAACAATCGGAAAGGGGATTCATCAGAGAAAATGACTTTACCCCAGTCCTCAGCAGTCCAATCCCTGTACCTTCTGCAGAATATCAGTCTGTCCCTGATGTTTTTCCTGGAGAGAAGTGGCTTCCTCGCTGCCCTTCTTGACACCAGGCCATCCTCCAAAAGTCTTCGCCTCACTGTGCGTGCAGATGCACTCACACCTGCCTGCTGCCATTCCTGAGCAAGCTCTGCACTGGTGGTGCCCCGATCCCGCAGCTGAATCAACTTTAGGAGACGGTCCTGGCGCTTTCTGGACTTTCTTGGGCACCCTGAAGCCTTCTTCACAACAATTTAACCTCTCTCCTTGAAGTTCTTGATGATCCGATAAATGGTTGATTTAGGTGCAATCTTACTAGCAGCAACATCCTTGCCTGTGAAGCCCTTTCTGTGCAAAGCAATGATGACGGCCCGTGTTTCCTTGCAGGTAACCATGGTTAACAGAGGAAGAACAATGATTTCAAGCACCACCCTCCTTTTAAAGCTTCCAGTCTGTTATTCTAACTCAATCAGCATGACAGAGTGATCTCCAGCCTTGTCCTCGTCAACACTCTCACATGTGTTAATGAGAGAATCACTGACATGATGTCAGCTGGTCCTTTTGTGGCAGGGCTGAAATACAGTGGAACATTTTTGGGGGGATTAAGTTCATTTTCATGGCAAAGAGGGACTTTGCAATTAATTGCAATTCATCTGATCACTCTTCATAACATTCTGGAGTATATGCAAATTGCCATCATAAAAACTGAGGCAGCAGACTTTGTGAAAATTAATATTTGTGTCATTCTCAAAACTTTTGACCATGACTGTACTATCAGGTGATAGGATACTCCACTCCTCAAACTAGGCTCCCATGGCAAATGGGAGGGGCGCTTTAATTATGAGTTAAGATTGAGAAATATTTTTCCTTTTAAATTGTGGCCATCAAAGTTAAAGTGATTGCATTTAGAATTGTTATTTGTTGCACAATGACTGGCCTTACAAAAGCACGTTTCACTCCAGTGAGGAGCTACTCTGGCGCTGTCTGATAGGTGATAGGATATTCTGCTCCTCAAACTAGGCTCTGTATGCGTGATAAATAAGATGCGAGACGACTAACGATAATAAACACGCCAATTTAATTCCACTAAATTATGCAAATTAATCCAGAAAGACCATTTCCATAGACGGCCACAGAGAAGTCAGATTGGAAAATTACTAATAAGACACGTTAGTCATCACCTTTGTAGCTGAGGTCTATTCCCCCCCCCCCCCTAATCACTGTTAAGATATTAACATTTTAGATTTATCCAATGTCTACCATGTTTTTGGATAACGTCATCGCTGCTTCCTGTGCACACAGTGCTAGTGCGCATGTGATGTTGGTCCATATAAACCAGATGCAAGCAGGATATAGACAGTTCATGAATTGGCGTTCTGTGAACGTGAGTATATTACCTTGAAAATAACAGTTGGACATCTTGGACGCAGTCTCCAGTTCTTATTATATTTCAGTTATAACACCACCACACCCAGCCACAACACCAGAGCCAGCAGCCACAACACCAGAGCCAGCAGCCACAACACCAGAGCCAGCAGCCACAACACCAGAGCCAGCAGCCACAACACCAGAGCCAGCAGCCACAACACCAGAGCCAGCAGCCACAACACCAGAGCCAGCAGCCACAACACCAGAGCCAGCAGCCACAACACCAGAGCCAGCAGCCACAACACCAGAGCCAGCAGCCACAACACCAGAGCCAGCAGCCACAACACCAGAGCCAGCAGCCACAACAGCCAACTCTGGATCTATATTATCACCCATAACAAAGGAAAGGAAAACGTGGAAAAATGGAGACCATTTAACTCTTTTCATTCTAGTTTTGGGAGCTCATTAGTTTGTTGGTAGCGACCATAACACTACAGCACGTAGCTAGCTAACTATTATAGAACCATCACTGGCCTCCTGTAGCTCAGTTGGTAGAGCATGGCGCTTGCAACGCCAGGGTTGTGGGTTCGATTCCCACGGGGGGCCAGTATGAAAAATTTATGCACTCACTAACTGTAAGTCACTCTGGATAAGAGCGTCTGCTAAAATGACAAATGTAAAAAATGTAAATCACTGGACAGTAAGTCCACATACAGTTTAACCCTCAACAAAAGTCAATCAAATGGATCTATATTGACTGACCAAAACAAGGTATCTTTTTTAGACTAACACCTTAAACTAGTGCTATTATAACCATGTTGATCCCTTAATATGGTCTCTTCAACAAATGTAGGGCTATAGCCCGATGTACAGAACAGTTGATTGACAACAGAAAAGAAAAGGAGCCTACCGCTTTCTGACTGGCCGTCCGCGTCCGTGTCCATGTCCTCAGATTCCACGGTAGAGTTGAGTCTCTGGATCTTTGGCTTGATGACAAAAGGGCACTCTTTTCTCGACAGGTCCACCTCATGCTGCAGAGAGAGAGAGAGAGAGAGAGAGAGAGAGAGAGGGAGAAGGAGAGAAAGATGGATAGAGAGTGAAAGAGGGGGATAAAAAGAAAGAGGAGGAAGAGAGAGGAGGAGAGTGTACAGGAGTTTGGCACACGGTTGTTCAAGCCATGACTCCGAGCAAAGTACAGAGCCCCTAGAGTGCTGCGTCAGATCCCAGGCAGTGAGGTGTGTCGTCACCCACTCAGGTTATTTATGCAACACATTTATTATTTCCCAGGTGGGTCACAAAGGCCCCCAAAGCAACTTCAAAGCCCTCTGGCACCAACATGTCAATTTAAACTAATATAAGCGTTTTTGGCTGGGGGCAAAAGAGATAGGCAGAGGAGCCTGCCCTTGTGTGTTAGGTGTGTACGTGCCTGTGTACAGGACCCTACCTCCAGCCTGCTGATGAAGATGGTAAGGCCGGTATGTGACTGGAAGGCTGCCATGTCCAGGTTGGTGATGAGGTCCACCACTCGGACCGCACGCGTGACAAACGTGATCTGGTCCTGCTCGTCCCCCAGGAACTTGATCACCTACAGAGGAAGTGAGGGAGAGGGAGCTGAGACTGGGTGCATCCAAACACCATAGACCAGATTCACAGACCAAGCCTATTCTTGTCTTAAAAAACAATGACCTACGGGCAACATAAGCAGGAAGGATATATTTAGGTCTGTTCAGCCTTTTTGCAGAGCGAGCGAGTATGCTGGACCGGACATACACAGACATCTTTGGGCGATCAACAGATCTTGAAAATATCAGACACCTGCGCAGCATATGTACATAGGGAAACCAGGCCAGCTCAGCAGAATAAAAAGGATACGAGTATGCTTGGTGAGTAGACGCCAGGTGAGCGAGTGTTTCTTTACCTTGAGCAGGGCTTCCATCATCCCACAGGACACCAGGGCCTCCCCCCCAGCGTCGTAGCTGGCCAGGTGGTAGAGGAAGGAGAACAAAGCAGTGGCAAACTGGTGCGGGTACGGCTCCATCAGAGGGTCTGAGGAGACAAACACACCCACCGCAGGAGGTTAGAGGCACAGTCAGGGATATTGATCTCTGTTCAACGGTCACTTCAATCAATTATTTTTGATGCAGTTGCCCATTTGTTAAGGCAGCCCTGCTTCCTAGAGCTGGGTCCATCAGCCGCCACTGGATTTTACTCAGTCACACAGACAGGCATAGTGACGGGAAACTGAAATACCCATAGACTCTAGAAGAATAGATCTTAGAGTTTCTTTTCAGAGCTTAGTACAACAGTCATATCCGACCATAACCCCAGATCTCACGTTGTGTTACTCCATTGTTTGTACCTATCAAACTAAGTCGCTCTGGATAAGAGTGTCTGCTAAATGACTAAAATGTAAATGTTTGTCTTCTCATTGGACTGGCATCAAAACCAGTACAAGTACAAATCGACCAATGATCCTCTTCCACTGACAGACAACTCACCGATCATGGCCTGTATGCAGTTGCGCACCAGTACAGGTAGGAAGCCGTGGTAGGAGGCTGTGCCGGTGCAGTCGATGATGTTGGACAGCTTGGGTGTCCTCTCCAGGTGCACTATGGATGTTAAGGTACGTAATGACGCTGCCTTTATGTCCTGAGGAAAGAGACAGGGTTTTCATGAAACTACAGAGCTGCATAGAGGCCTAAAGGTCTGTTTTCATGGACTTTTCAGGATATCATTTTTTTCCAGGACTGTGGGAACACTTTAGGGACATATACAATGCCAAGACAATCATGATTGTATTGTCATGCAATTCCAAAACATTGGACAAAATCTGACCACATTGCAGTGATCGCTGTCTTGTATTAGTTACATTAACTACAATCCAGTGACATCTGATACTGGTCTATAATATGACATGATTGCAGTCACAATATTGGCTCCAATTTCACACCTGCTATTGGTATGTGACACAGACCCACCAACCCATTAGGGGCAGCAGGATAGACAGAGGGGAAAGGAGAGAGGGGTAAACTTAATTTCTTACCACTAGCTGTTTGTCTGTAATCTGTAGCACATCCACCAGCTCCTCTATCAAGCCGTTGTAGAGAATACTGTTGGCCGACTCCTGGAGTGCATTGGAGTACACTGTGGAGGGAGAGAACGCCACAATACAATTAGCTACCACGCAAACTCATGAAATGGATGAAATTAATTAACTGTATTGATCCCCAGAGGGAAAATTGAATTTGATGCGTCAGACATAGACAATACAGAAACACAGGTAAACATCAGAACACAGAGACATAAGCACTGACGGCCGACTGAACATTGGTTGAAGGAAACCACCATATCATTGGAGGCGGTAAATGACGGTTTGAGAGTCTGGAAAAGTTCTATATAAATCCAATCAATTATAACCTCTTTTGAACTATATCGAGGCAGCAAACACACACTACACTCCCTCTTACCCAGTATAGAGATGGCGTGGAGCCTGGCCTGTACAGCCTGTAGTCTCTTTTTGTGGTTGGAGAAGCCATGGGCCAGTCGGATGTGTGTGAACAGCAGGGTCTGCTTGTCTTTAGGGATGTTGTACATCACCGTCAGAGACTCCATGATCTCACTGGGACTCTCAGAGATCTGGAAAGACACACAGGGAAGAATGTGAGCAGGACAAGATAGAACATCAGGAAAATGATTTAATATGAATGTGGGATCAACGTCAGAAAAGCAACTTAATCCTAAACGAATTAAAGGGTAAATTGACTATTTTTCACAGTCTTCGGTTAAATTAATTAAATGCTCGGAGAAAATAGACAACATTTGTCCCTTACCTTGTCGAGCTGTTCGATGTGAATGTAGTGTAATGTGTTACTGCTGTTCTGTTGGGCGGAGAGAAAGTTCACAAATGGTCAATAAATCCACTCATAACAAGACATTACTTACTAAAGACCAGGGACATGCATTAGTTGCACACTAATATTTGCTTTCTGGTACAGTACAAGGAAATGTGTCAGTCTTTACCTTCCTCTCCACTTTGACCTCAGGGCCAGGTTCAGCGTAGAATTCAAAGTGCAGTGTGGTGGCACTGGGAGGGTACTTCTGCTCAGGTCACCATTACAGGGATAGGGGAGGGAGGCCAAGAGAAAGGAGATATGGAAGGAGAGGGGAGGGAGGCCAAGAGAAAGGAGATGTGGAAGGAGAGGGAGGCAAAGAGAAAGGAGATGTGGAAGGAGAGGGAGGCAAAGAGAAAGGAGATGTGGAAGGAGAGGGAGGCCAAGAGAAAGGAGATGTGGAAGGAGAGGGAGGCCAAGAGAAGAGATGTGGAAGGAGAGGGAGGCCACCAAAGAGGGGCCAGGGAGAGAGACAGGGGGATAGGGAGGGGGGTGCAAACAGAGGAGAGGATAGGTGAGTCGGGGGGGGGGGGGTTGATGAAAACAAACATCATTAGTATAATTTGACAGTCATAATGGGAAAAGTAATCATTACAAAGCAAATGAGCCAATTGTCTGGAGACCGCTAGCCTTTATAGATTGTGACAAAGATAAAGGTTCAGCCTCACCGTCATAGGCAGGTCCCTGCAGCACTCGGCCAGACCGAAGCCATTCTCCTTCCCTCCCCAACTCTACAGGGATAACAAAATCACACAGACTCAGAACAGCTCCTAAAACCTATCCATATACAGTGGGGGAAAAAAGTATTTAGTCAGCCACCAATTGTGCAAGTTCTCCCACTTAAAAAGATGAGAGAGGCCTGTAATTTTCATCATAGGTACACGTCAACTATGACAGACCAAATGAGAAAAAAAAATACAGAAAATCACATTGTAGGATTTTTTTTGAATTTATTTGCAAATTATGGTGGAAAATAAGTATTTGGTCAATAACAAAAGTTTCTCAATACTTTGTTATATACCCTTTGTTGGCAATGACACAGGTCAAACGTTTTCTGTAAGTCTTCACAAGGTTTTCACACACTGTTGCTGGTATTTTGGCCCATTCCTCCATGCAGATCTCCTCTAGAGCGGTGATGTTTTGGGGCTGTCGCTGGGCAACACAGACTTTCAACTCCCTCCAAAGATTTTCTATGGGGTTGAGATCTGGGACTGGCTAGGCCACTCCAGGACCTTGAAATGCTTCTTACGAAGCCACTCCTTCGTTGCCCGGGCGGTGTGTTTGGGATCATTGTCATGCTGAAAGACCCAGCCACGTTTCATCTTCAATGCCCTTGCTGATGGAAGGAGGTTTTCACTCAAAATCTCACGATACATGGCCCCATTCATTCTTTCCTTTACACGGATCAGTCGTCCTGGTCCCTTTGCAGAAAAACAGCCCCAAAGCATGCCCCAAAGCTTCACAGTAGGTATGGTGTTCTTTGGATGCAACTCAGCATTCTTTGTCCTCCAAACACGACGAGTTGAGTTTTTACCAAAAAGTTCTATTTTGGTTTCATCTGACCATATGACATTCTCCCAATCCTCTCCTGGATCATCCAAATGCACTCTAGCAAACTTCAGACGGGCCTGGACATGTACTGGCTTAAGCAGGGGGACACGTCTGGCACTGCAGGATTTGAGTCCCTGGCGGCGTAGTGTGTTACTGATGGTAGGCTTTGTTACTTTGGTCCCAGCTCTCTGCAGGTCTTTCACTAGGTCCCCCTGTGTGGTTCTGGGATTTTTGCTCACCGTTCTTGTGATCATTTTGACCCCACGGGGTGAGATCTTGCGTGGAGCCCCAAATCGAGATTATCAGTGGTCTTGTATGTCTTCCATTTCCTAATAATTGCTCCCACAGTTGATTTCTTCAAACCAAGCTGCTTACCTATTGCAGATTCAGTCTTCCCAGCCTGGTGCAGGTCTACAGTTTTGTTTCTGGTGTCCTTTGACAGCTCTTTGGTCTTGGCCATAGTGGAGTTTGGAGTGTGACTGTTTGAAGTTGTGGACAGGTGTCTTTTATACTGATAACAAGTTCAAACAGGTGCCATTAATACAGGTAACGAGTGGAGGACAGAGGAGCCTCTTAAAGAAGAAGTTGTTACAGGTCTGTGAGAGCCAGAAATCTTGCTTGTTTGTAGGTGACCAAATACTTATTTTCCACCATAATTTGCAAATAAATTCATTTAAAATCCTACAATGTGATTTTCTGGATTTCTTTTTCTCAATTTGTCTGTCATAGTTGACGTGTACCTATGATGAAAATTACAGGCCTCTCTCATCTTTTTAAGTGGGAGAACTTGCACAATTGGTGGCTGACTAAATACTTTTTTCCCCCACTGTAACTTCATTACCTAGGCTAAATATCAAGGCACATACATTAACAGACAATAACTTTTACTCTACTGCTCTATACGGTTGGCCAGTTAGTTTTGAAATACAACACCAAGTGCTAACAACAAAATAAGCTGTGGCTTACATGTTGAAAACCAGTAAGACTGAAAGCCAAAAACAAATGGCTCTGTCACTCATAATCAAAGTTTAGTCGGCTTAACATGGACATGCATAAACAAGCAATCAACAAGCATGTCTTTATCAGGATATCTGATAACATGTTCTTCTTCTGCCACCTGTACGGTACCTCAGCCAGATGTTGTAGGCGTGCCAGTAGAGGGGTCCTCTTGTCGGAGCCCAGTCTGGTGATGTAGTTGGAGCGTTTACTGAACACGTACAGGAGGTTCAGCACAGACAGAACCACCTGCATGTCACACGACGCTAACAAGGTGGTCAAGTGCTGTGAGGAGAGAAAGTGAGAGACTGATTGGCTCATTCCACCTAGGTTTGTGACAGGTGCATCACCCAGAGAGAAGGAGACAGTTTATTAATTTAACCTTTACACAATGTGTCTCCTAGATAATTTTTTTCCAAAGGCCCCCAAAGCAACACCTAGGCCCTCTGGCATCAAAACTGTCAATTTAAACCAAGATGTCAAACTATTTTAGGCAGGGGGGTCCCAACAGAGCTAGGCAGGGAGGCCCGCTTCACCCACACAATGGGAGAGGAAACCGCGTCATTGTGAACAAATGAGTCATTGTGAACAAATGGGTTGTGTCAGAAGGGAGAAAATGTTTAAGGGAACCTGAACTTGTCCGATAAGAAGTGGTCCACAGTTGAATATTCAGTATGCCCTACTGAACATGACCCTGGTCATTGTGTTAACTGGAGAGTGGTCCTACTGTCCCTGGTCATTGTGTTAACTGGAGAGTGGTCCTACTGTCCCTGGTCATTGTGTTAACTGGAGAGTGGTCCTACTGTCCCTGGTCATTGTGTTAACTGGAGAGTGGTCCTACTGTCCCTGGTCATTGTGTTAACTGGAGAGTGGTCCTACTGTCCCTGGTCATTGTGTTAACTGGAGAGTGGTCCTACTGTCCCTGGTCATTGTGTTAACTGGAGAGTGGTCCTACTCAGTGGCAGCTCCTGAAAAAATTCTCAGGGGGGGCAATTTTTCTGATGATTTAGGTGACCTACACACATTTTAAAAAAGATATGTCCAGCAACAACATGAAGACAGGGGCAGCATATAAGTCAATACTGATATACACATTACTTGCTTCAAAAAGGCCTCATGGTTGAATTGGAAATATGTGCACCTGAGCATAATTCACAACAAGCAAGCAGGAGCTTTTGATAGAGGCTACTGAAAACATTGATGCAAGTTATTGGTAATAAGAAATGTTTATAGACTTCCATATTCTGCCCTCTTGTATAGATTTGTGAAAATGAACAGTGATAGACATTTTGCCTGAAAACAGAATTTGAAAATAATTTCTAGAAAAGGTAAACACAGCTATCTGTATGGCTTTAACCATATTCTGGCCAATTGTATAGATTTGTAAATATGAACAACCATATTCTGGCCAATTGTATAGATTTGTAAAAATGAACATGAACAGATTTTTTTTTTTTTTTTTTTACTTTTTAAAAAAAATGAAAAATAACTATTTTAAACAACATCAACTGTGAACTGATTTGGACGTGTGTGTGTTAAAGAGACAGACAGGGAGGGACAAAGAGCGAGAGAGGCTACATTACTTGTACTGAAACTGTTCTAGCTTGCTGCATGATCAAATTCAGCTGATGCGCATAGCAATGCACGCAATGGGCATTCTTGAAATGCTCACGCACCTTTTGCTGCACACCAGCCTTCTCTCCCATCATCACACTGGCTCCATCGTAAGCTTGCGCAATGAGTTTGACTTTCTCGTCGTCGGCAAAAAGACCGTTCAGTCTCTCCAAAAGCACACTGGCGATTGAGACTGAGGTTGATTCCGAGATGCGAAGGAACTCAAAAAAGCGCTCCTGCACTTTGTGGTTGCTATCTATGTACCTCAGCACAAGCACCAGCTGTGTCTGTGTAGAAACGTCCGTGGTCTCGTCAGCTTGGATAGCTACGAAGTTCGCCGACTTCACCTCCTCCACAATATGTTCCCTCATGACCGCTAGCATACACTCCAGTAGCTCGTTTTGAATGGTCTTTGATGTGCCCTTGAAAACTTTAGCATTTTTAAGATGGTCATCAAACACCTCATCTAATTGTGCCACAAAGTTGACAAGTCCAAGAAAAATACCAGGGTTGGTGGAGCCCTCAGTTTCATCTTTGCCTCGCAAAGCTAGCCATCTTGACAGTAGTACGTGAATTGATTGACGCTGCTACCCGCTCTTTTCTTAGTTATGTTCATGGTTACTTATGTTACGTATGACGAAAGCGCGTAAGTGCAAGCCCTCCCGGAACCCATAGAGATTGTATTGAAAGCTCTGATATTTGAAAAAAAAAAGATTTTACATGAGAGTCTATGAGAGACTCCTGGGCGATTTTCAACCTGACTGAAATCGCCCCAAAAGGGGCGGGGCCATTTGAAGCACGACTTTAGCCTGATTGGACATTTAGTGGCAGATCAGAGCACGGCGCTTGTAACGCCAGGGTAGTGGGTTCGATCCCCGGGACCACCCATACACAAAGATTTATGCACACATGACTGTAAGTCGCTTTGGATAAAAGCGTCTGCTAAATGGCATATTATTATTTATTATTAGATCAGACGTCTAGATTAGAACACTGATAACTACTGTTGCCGTGATATAATTGATTAGAAAAAAAATCCCTTCCTTTTCCCGTTTGGCAGTGCGTCGCCCATATCGCCCTAATGAACACACCGCCCCTGGTCCTACTGTCCCTGGTCATTGTGTTAACTGGAGAGTGGTCCTACTGTCCCTGGTCATTGTGTTAACTGGAGAGTGGTCCTACTGTCCCTGGTCATTGTGTTAACTGGAGAGTGGTCCTACTGTCCCTGGTCATTGTGTTAACTGGAGAGTGGTCCTACTGTCCCTGGTCATTGTGTTAACTGGAGAGTGGTCCTACTGTCCCTGGTCATTGTGTTAACTGGAGAGTGGTCCTACTCCTACCTCTATAGAGCTGTAGAGGTGCCTGGAGAAGCTGTACTCGATGAGCAGGGCGGTAAAGTTGAGCACGGCTAGCAGCAGGGCTTTGAGCTGCCCGTTGTCCGGCCGGTCACACACCAGCAGCCAGGACATGTTCTCCACAGTCTGGCCCGCGTCACACAGGATCCCATCGAAGCGGTCCAGCAGGTCCACCCAGTGGTACAGCTCACACTGGAGAGGAGAGGGGCAGGTGAGGACTCTAGAAATCACTTAAGATACAGGTAACGTTCTGCTGATTGAGCATCAACACCTGGGCCACGTTCAGCAGACAAATGTTGTGGAACGTTACAGATAGAAATGTAATGAATATAACTGTTACGTGTCAGAGGATTGTTTGTTCTACAGCCCAGGTGAACGAGGATATGTCTCAGGTGACCCCAATTCAGGGTCATGTCGGTTTAATACACAGTGCCGGTTTCCCAGATCCAGATTAAGCCATTGACTCGGTACTGGTAACCCCTGTATATAGCCTCATTATTGTTATTGTGTTACTTTTTATAATTTTTTACTTTCGTTTATTTGGTAAATATTTTCTTGAACTGCATTGTTGATTAAGGGCTTGTAAGTAAGCATTTCACGGTAAGGTCTACACCTGTTGTATTCGGCGCATGTGACAAATGAAGTTTGATTTGACTAAAACGCATAATATTAAAAACGAGGAGGAAGCTTAAAACGGTTCTGGGAAACCTGAAACATTTCTTAAACTGGTTCTGGGAAATCTGAAACATTTCTATACATTTACCTGATCGGGTAAGGTACCGCCTCTGTATGAAAATGTGATCTAATACAAAGAATGAACGTCACCCAGAAGTGTGACATTAACAAATAATTTGTTAAGTGCCTCTCCCTCCCCTAGGTATTTTACCCTCCTGCTCACCTTGCCAATATTCCAGGTCTTGATGTGCTGCAGCTCCAACAGCAGTTGCTCGTCGCTGCATCCCTTGAGCTTCTCTATGAGCGTCCTGCAGTCCGCAGGCTGTGAGGAAGAGAGGGCGAGAGAGGAGTTTGGAGGGTGGTAGAGAGAGAGGGGGGGAGGACTGTAAAGGACATGTACACAGAGTGCAGGCCTGGGGACCTCCTAGTGAGTCCAAGACGGACTACAGACAGAGCCAACATTATGATGCATACTCACAGCTTCTGTGGGGGTTTTCTTTAACTTGCTTCTGTCAACCTTCATTGTCAATAGCTTCTATCTGATAATCCTGTTGGAATGCAGAACATATAATAGATGAACATGCAGTCTGTAGAAAAACAATGCATGTGTTTCCATGGAAATTGTCCAAGAGGCTTCTAAACAGCTTCTACCCCCAAGCCATAAGACTCCTGAACATCTAATCAAATGGCTACTCAGACTATTTGCATTGCCCACCCCACCCCCTCTTTTACGCAGCTGCTACTCTGTTTATCTATGCATAGTCACTTTAATAACTCTACCTACATGTACATATTACCTCGACTAACCAGTGCCCACGCACATTGACTCGGTACCGGTACCCCCTGTATATAGCCTCGCTATTGTTATTTTTATTGCTGCTCTTTAATTATTTGTTACTTTTATTTAGTATTATTTTATATTGTATTTTTTGGATTTGTTTGGTATTCTTTCTTAAAAAGGCATTGTTGGTTAAGGGCTTGTAAGTAAGCATTTCACTGTAAGGTCTACACATGTATTCGGTGCATGTGACAAAATTTGATTTGATCAACAGAAATGAGCAGTTAAATAGTACAAGGTAAGTTTAATTGATTTCGGACTGAAATGGAACTTATGCAATGTGTATTTTAGAGAAGAAGAAAATATACATGTGTCACTTACAGTTAAGTAATTTGGCAATACCCACTTAACAGCATGTTTCATTCACAATGCCTAAAACAAGAGAAAGACAGTCATTCACATTACAAAGATGCAGGCAATATGAAGGAATCAAAGTAACTTTCTCCTGTGTCAAGGCACTAATTTCCCTACAAGCCTTCCAACCCTTGTAAGGGAGAGAATAGTGTGAAGTCTCATAACAAACACATTTTGACATTTGGCCCTAATCAAAAATCATTCCTCCCATGAAAAATGGGTGTCTCTTGTCCAACCAGGGGTCGTGTTAACGCAGAATTCTGTGTTTTTCCATGAAGAAAAAAAGATAACGTATAACAAATATCTTGCTGCATTTTGTAAACGCAGATCTATAATGCCTCTTTGTAATTTCTGCTCTGTGTCAGACTAATTTGACGCTTCAGTTGCACTTCACTGGGATGAGAATAAACAATCAGCATACAGCTGATGTCTAGCTACTTTTCTCTGGTGCTTTTCTTCGTGTAGCCTACTTTCTCAAGTAAAATGCAAGATTAACTTCAAGCAAAACATTAGGAAATGTAGCTGGCTGCATTCTTTTTATGATAAACATTAGACATATGATGGCCATGCATCGTTTTTGCAAAAAAAGACCTTGCTTTTTCATTGTCAGCTCATTTACTTGTGTGGCTGCTAGCCAAATAGCGTTGCACTTCTGTTGTCATCTGATGAAAATGAAGCTATTTTATGCCTAATGTGTTGCACTAATGTATTTTCAGTTAAGGAAAATTATAGTTGCATGCCCCTGATCACTCTATTGAAGAAAAAAACACTTTACTTTAATATAAAACACAGGTGAAATGGTTTAAAATGTTGATTTTTTGGATGGTCTGTGTTATGAAAATGTGGATTTCTGAACTCTAACATGCCCCCTGCCAACACAGACAGACAGACCAAGGAGGGCCTAACTAGATACATCAATTTGCTCAGTGGTGCAGACTCCAATCAGGTAGCCTATACAATTAGGTAACAGTCAGAAGTCTGGACACAGCTTCTGAGCAAGACAGCCAAGTGTGGGTTCAAAAGTATAGGCCTAAGGGTAGTTGCACATCCACACATTTCCACCAGTATTTCTCTGAGCAACATACGATCAAACATGGGTAATTTTCACATTATCTCTAAAAGGCTTGGTTCACTACAAACCCCAGACAAATCAGAAAGGCTATGGCTGCATGCAACCCTCAACCTGTTTGCAATTGACTGAATTCAGGGACTTTGCTCATCTGGTTCGAAGCGTTTGAAAACCTTGCTGATACAATCTCTTGATGAACAAGTTAACCAGTATATTAGCTATATTAATCTACATTACAACATAACTGAATAGCTGAATGATGACGTTACCAGTTTAATGTCTTGAACCTGTCAGGGCAAGTACTTCAAAAGCATTCAAACGTTTGTATTGAAAATACAAAGAATGTTCACCAATAGACCGCAGAATCCGAGAACATCGCAGTTGGCTAACTAGCTACCAGCGTTCTTGTTTAAAAAAAATGTCATATGGCCAACTAATAGCTAGCTAGCTAACATTAACGTTCTCTACATAACGCCCGGCCAAGGGTCATACTCAACGTAACAAAATTAGCTAGCTAGCAACCTAGCCTAACATCAGACAAGCATGTTGTTATCCAAAACAAAGCTTACGTTGTCAAAGAAGCATACACGAAAACACAGCATCAACCGAATGGTAGTTAGGCAACTGTTAGCTAGCTTACGTTACTGTAGCTCGCTAGCTACTGCGGTAAGGAAATGATTAGCTAGCTAGCTGAAAAAGGGAGTTGTTCACTAGCTAACGCGGCTATCTAGCTAATTGAAAAACAATTTCAGTCGGGTAACTAGCTAAACTTTAATCATAAATATGAATTGCTACCTCTTCGAAAGAAAACGAGTAAATTCGCGTTAAGCCAAAATGTCTGGGTGGGAGGTAAGTTAGCAGCTAGTTAGCTAGCTGGCAGACAGTGGGGAACTGGCTAACTAGCTACTTTTTTCAATATTGTTTTTGAGGATGTCAACACAAAAAAATCAAATACTAGAGGCAATAGAAAATAAGACGTATCTAACGAATGTGTGGTAAACTCGCTAGCAAATTAACAAGTTATGCTGAGGCTAGCATAGTAATGAAAAGTGGAGCGATTCAACCACGGCTACCGCGAGTTTTTTTTCCCCATTCCTCAAACGGTTAAACACGCCGTCAAATCTAGCGCCCGGCTGCAGTAGGCCTCACAAGAAGCCCGTACTCTCCTGCCCTGCATCCTTACCAATTCACAAATACACACAACTCGCTAGCTGGCAACAGTCACACCCGACTAGAAGTGAACTAATCGGTCGTTTATGTTTTACCATACCTCCTCCAATAATATTATGCTTGAGGTGGATAAAAAGACGCCCTCACTTACCGCACACGCGCTGGCTAGCCAGTTGGTTAGCTAGCCGAAACGTATAATAACCCGCTGAATCATTCCCCCATACCGACCAAACGTGACAGCGAGTTGGTGGTGTATTTCAGAGTTTTAGTTGCTCAAATTTGCGTAGCTAGTTACCTGTGATATGAGATGGACGTTCATTTATCCCTCCCTCTAAAATATGTTCATATCTCTTTTTATCTTTTAATTTTAACTGCAGAAATATTTCGGATTTGAATTCCTGTGTGTTATTAAGTATCAAAATACTTTGTGGGGTGGAGGACAATTTTTTTGTTCACATAAAGTATTATTTTCAGAAAATAGTAACTATCAAAAACACCCCCTTTTACCTTTTCCAGTACTGGTGCACACCTTTTATCTATCCCCTATCCAGCAACCAAATTGTCCAGTTATTCTCTTTATCACAAGACTTGTATCTATAGATCCTCTATTAAAGTTCTTTAAAACATAAACACAAGTCACCATCCATCCACCGTGTAACTACTGGGTAATGTTATCCCCTGAATGAGCCGAAGGTATACCAGTGTAGGCAGAACTCGTCTCCACTATCATTTAGCAAGCAGCACTTCGTAAATGTAAAACATCAGCAGGTGAGCAAACATACTTTTGGCAATCTAGTAAAATTAATTAGATGAATGCAATGAACTGTTGGGTTTACTCTTCCATTTGCCCATGCAATTGCAGCATTAAGGTGAAGCCAGCATTACAGTGCCTTTGGAAAGTATTCAGACCCTTTGACTTTTTCCACATTTTGTTACATTACAGCCTTATTCTAAAATTGATTAAATAAATAAAAACCCTTAGCAATCTACACACAATACCCCATAATGACAAAGTGAAAACAGGTTTAGATTATTTTGCAAATGTATAAAAAAATACCTTATTTACATAAGTATTCAGACCATTTACTATGAGACTCGAAATTGAGCTCAGGTGCATCCTGTTTCCATTGATCATCCGTGAGATGTTTCAACAACTTGATTGGACTCCAACTGTGGTAAATTCAATTGATTGGACATGATTTGGAAAGGCACACCTGTCTATTTAAGGTCCCACAGTTTACAGTGCATGTCAGAGCAAAACCAAACCATGAGGTCGAAGGAATTGTCCGGAGAGCTCCGAGACAGGATTGTGTCGAGGCACAGATCTGGGGAAGGGTACCAAAACATTTCTGCAGCATTGAAGGTCCCCAAAGATACAGTGGCCTCCATTTTTAAATGGAAGAAGTTTGGAACCACCAAGACTCTTCCTAGAGCTGGCCGCCTGGCCAAACTGAGCAATCGGGGGAGAAGGGCCTTGGTCAGGGAGGTGACCAAGAACCTGACGGTCACTCTGACAGAGCTCTAGACTTCCTCTGTGGAGATGGGAGAACCTTCCAGAATGACAACCAACTCTGCAGCACTCCAACAATCAGGCCTTTATGGTAGAGTGGCCAGACGGAAGCCACTCCTCTGTAAAAAAAAGGCACATGACAGCCCACTTGGAATTTGCCAAAAGGCACCTAAAGACTCTCAGACCATGACAAACAAGATTATCTGGTCTGATGAAACCAAGATTGAGCTCTTTGGCCTGAATGCCAAGCGTCACGTCTGGAGGAAACCTGGCACCTACCCTACGGTGAAGCATGGTGGCAGCATCATGCTGTGGGGATGCTTTTCAGCGGCAGGGACTGGGGAAACTAGTTCGGATCGAGGCAAAGCTGAACGAAGCAAAGTACAAAAGATCCTTGATGAAAACCTGCTCCAGAGTGCTCACAACCTCAGACTGGGGCGACGGTTCACCTTCCAACAGGACAACGACCCTAAGCACACAGCCAAGACAACGCAGGAGTGGCTTCGGGACAAGTCTCTGAATGTCCTTGAGTGGCCCAGCCAGAGCCTGGACTTGAACCCGATCGAACATCTCTGGAGAGACCTGAAAATAGTTGTGCAGCAACACTCCCCATCCAACCTGACAGAGCTTGAGAGGATCTGCAGAGAAGAATGGGAGAAACTCCGCAAATACATGTGTGCCAAGCTTGTAGCGTCATACCCAAGAAGACTCACGGCTGTAATCGCTACCAAAGGCGCTTCAACAATGTACTGAGTAAAGAGACTGAATACTTATGTAAATGTGACAGTTAAAAAAATAATAATAATACACTAGTCAAAAATGTGGATACACCTAATCATACAAGGGTTTTTCTTTATTTTTACATTGTAGAATAATAGTGAAGACAAACTATGAAATAACACTATGGAATCATGTAGTAACCAAAAAACTGTTAAACAAATCAAAATATTTTATATTTGAGATTCTTCAAATAACCACTCTTTGCCTTGACAGCTTTGCACACTCTTGGCATTCTCTCAACCAGCTTCATGAGGTAGTCACCTGGAATGCATTTCAATTAACAGGTGTGCCTTCTTAAGTTAATTTGTGAAATGTCTTTCCTTCTTAATGCGTTTCAGCCAATCAGTTGTGTTGTGACAAGGTACGGGGGGTATACAGAAGATAGCCCTATTTGGTAAAAGACCAAATCCATATTATGGCAAGAACAGCTCAAATAAGCGCAGAGAAACAACAGTCCATCATTTAAGACATGAAGGTCAGTGAATCCGGAACATTT